ATCTCTCAGGCTTGTGTGTCTCGAGGTAGAAAGGAAAACAACCCTTCACGTTGTTCTTTGGGTTCTAATTACAGCCACAGGAGACAGGAATTCTGAAAGCCTGAGTGGTGGATGTGAAACTTATTGCTTCAACAGACACATCACGAGCAGGCTATCAATCACCTTTGGCATTTATTAGTACGTTGTGAGTAGTCTGAACTCAAGGATGTGACAGTCTCATCCATCCTGGAACAGAGAAATCCATGGGCATTTGCATTGGAGGGTGAACTCACAGCTCCAGGGGACTGTTACTGCAGCTGCAGTGGTTGTGTGATCAGCGCTATGCATTTTCTGTAAGCAAAGAGACCCTTTGTAAGCTCTGTAAAGGTAAATCCTGTGTATTTAACCCAGGAAGCAGAGTTTTATGATATCCCTGCATGCCTGTGGTGTAAGGTGGTTCTAGATGGCATTTGTGCTGTAATTACGGAGTCCACACATAATGTACTTGGGTTTTAAATCGCATCACGGGTGAATCAGTGCTGATGGGTGTAAAGTCCAGGGAAGTTTAAAGCCATTTGATAAGGACTGAGGAATGCTTCCTGGCTCCGAGATGTCTTCTGCTGTGAAGGGAGAAGCTAAAAACCCAGGTGGGGCCTGCCCTACGTCTAACACAGTGTTAGGAAGCAATCCATCATCAGCAATGGGGCAACAGCACAAGAGGGACGTGGAGCTGCTTCGGTCCAAAGGAGGCCATGGGGATGCTGCGAGGGCTGGAGCAGCTCTGCTCTGGAGCCAGGCTGAGAGAGCTGGGCTGGGTCAGCCTGGAAAAGAGAAGGCTCCTGAAGGGGAGACCTTAGAGCAGCTCCAGTGCCTAAAGGGGCTGCAGGAAACCTGGAGAGGGGCTTGGGACAAGGGCCTGTAGGGACAGGCCAAGGGGAATGGCTTGAACCTGCCCGAGGGGAGACTGAGCTGAGCTCTTAGGCAGAAGCTCTTCCCTGTGAGGGTGCTGAGGCGCTGGCACAGGGTGCCCAGAGAAGCTGTGGCTGCCCCATCCCTGGCAGTGCTCAAGGCCAGGTTGGACACAGGGGCTTGGAGCAAGCTGCTCTAGAGCAAGGGGTCCCTGCCTGTGGCAGGGGTTGGAGCTGGATGAGCTTTAAGGTCCCTTCCAACCCAACCCAGTCTGGAATTCCATGATTCCATGTTAATGTGACCTCTACACAAAGGGGCCTGATCCCGATGCAGGTGCAAGGACGCGATGCTCCATTGTCAGAGTATCTGCTGCACTCACACATTGTGTTTAACAACCCTATCCCGTGCTCAAATGAGGAACACAACAGTCACCTCCGGGGGCTGTTCCAGATTTACATGAATGCAAAATGAAACCAAAAATAGCCGTCCTTGAGACCGTGCTGAGCAGCTGATCCATCGGTCGTGGCACCGGGTGCTCGCATCCACCTTCATTGGGATGAGTCAGTGGCTGGAAAACAGCTCCCACAGCCACAGCCAGAAGCATGAAGCTTCAGTAGGGGCTGCAGCTCTAACGAGACACCGGTGTGACGGGCTCTGCTGAGCTATGGGATAGAGGGAATGACATTGGAAGTGTGTCCAGTGTGTCTCTGAGAGGAGCGCCAGTGCTGGAGCTCGGAGTCGAGGTACTGCAGGAGGAGACCCCGGTGCGGGTGTGCGAGGGCAGGGCTGGTGTGCAAGGGGCACACTCAGTGTCACACACTCAGTGTCACACAATCAGCGTCACACACTCAGCGTTACACACTCAGTGTCACACACTCAGCGTCGCACACTCAGTGTCGCACACTCAGTGTCGCACACTCAGTGTCGCACACTCAGTGTCACACACTCAGCATCGCACACTCAGTGTCACACACTCAGTGTCGCACACTCAGCGTCGCACACTCGGTGTCACACAATCAGCATCACACACTCCGCGTTACACACTCAGCGTCACACACTCCGCGTTACACACTCAGCATCACACACTCAGCGTCGCACACTCAGTGTCGCACACTCAGTGTCACACACTCAGTGTCACACAATCAGCATCATACACTCAGCGTTACACACTCAGCATCGCACACTCAGCGTCGCACACTCAGTGTTGCACAGTGTCGCACACTCAGTGTCACACACTCAGTGTCACACAATCAGCGTCACACACTCAGCGTTACACACTCAGCATCACACACTCAGCGTCGCACACTCAGCGTCGCACACTCAGCGTCACACACTCAGCGTCGCACACTCAGTGTCACACAATCAGCGTCACACACTCAGCGTTACACACTCAGCATCACACACTCAGCATCACACACTCAGCATCGCACACTCAGTGTCGCACACTCAGTGTCGCACACTCAGCGTCGCACACTCAGTGTCACACAATCAGCATCACACACTCAGCGTTACACACTCAGCATCACACACTCAGCGTCGCACACTCAGTGTCGCACACTCAGCATCGCACACTCAGTGTCACACACTCAGCGTCGCACACTCAGTGTCACACAATCAGCATCACACACTCAGCGTTACACACTCAGCATCACACACTCAGTGTCGCACACTCAGCATCGCACACTCAGTGTCACACACTCAGTGTCACACAATCAGCATCACACACTCAGCGTTACACACTCAGCATCACACACTCAGTGTCGCACACTCAGCATCGCACACTCAGTGTCACACACTCAGTGTCACACACTCAGTGTCACACACTCAGTGTCGCGCACTCAGTGTCACGCACTCAGTGTCACGCACTCAGTGTCGCGCACTCAGTGTCGCACACTCAGTGTCACGCACTCGGTGTCGCGCACTCAGTGTCACGCACTCAGTGTCGCGCACTCAGTGTCGCACACTCAGTGTCACGCACTCAGTGTCACGCACTCAGTGTCGCACACTCAGTGTCGCGCACTCAGTGTCACGCACTCAGTGTCACGCACTCAGTGTCGCGCACTCAGTGTCGCACACTCAGTGTCACGCACTCGGTGTCGCGCACTCAGTGTCACGCACTCAGTGTCGCGCACTCAGTGTCGCACACTCAGTGTCACGCACTCAGTGTCACGCACTCAGTGTCGCACACTCAGTGTCGCGCACTCAGTGTCACGCACTCAGTGTCACGCACTCAGTGTCGCGCACTCAGTGTCGCACACTCAGTGTCACGCACTCGGTGTCGCGCACTCAGTGTCACGCACTCAGTGTCGCGCACTCAGTGTCGCACACTCAGTGTCACGCACTCAGTGTCACGCACTCAGTGTCGCACACTCAGTGTCGCGCACTCAGTGTCACGCACTCAGTGTCACGCACTCAGTGTCGCGCACTCAGTGTCACGCACTCAGTGTCACACACTCAGTGTCACACACATGCACCCCCAGCATCACACTCACGGTACCACACATACCACATCATGCACCAGTATCACACGCACACCCAGCATCACACTCACACTGTCACTGTCACACACACATGAGACCAAGCCATTAGGCCCCAGCTGAAATAACCTTACTTTTTAGCATGAGTATGATTTAGCACCTAAACGTGAATGCTCCCTTGTCATGGGGCCCCTCTGAGGGTGGGAACCTGCCCTTCTGGTGAGGTTTGATAAACGGTGCATCAGAATTAGGGCTTGTAGGTGCCTTGCATCTGCTTCTGTGAATGGCTTCTAAGCAGGGACATCCCTCATGGTGAGAAAGGATAAAAACTGAACAAAGAGCAGAGCACGTAGCCCACAGGTATTAGCAGTTGAAGGTAAAAGGTAGCCAACAGCCCGTCATTGTAGCCCTACCCCAAGTGTGCAGTAGGATAGGAGGACGACAGTTATACAACTTACCCAGCTGTATGTGTGGATTCTTCAAATAAAATTATATCAAGATGAGGATGCAAAGTATAAAACCCCTGAAATTTACCGTGCTTGGGAGATGTGGATGGAGGTTTGAACCCCCGAGTGCTCCCAGCGCCAGTGAAGGTCTGTGCTTTACTTTACAGTGCGTACCGTGAAGTGATTTCTTTGAATCACACACACAGTCACACTCATGGTGTCACTCCCGCTGTCACTAACAGTCACAGTCACAGTCACACAGTCACACTCACAGTCACACTCACGGTGTCGCTCTCTGTCACTGTCACTCGCACATACACACTCACGGTGTTGCTCCCGCTGTCACTCACAGTTACACACACACACACACACAGAGTCACACACACACACACACACACAGTCACACACACACAGTCACTCCAGACACAGTCACACACTCACACATACACACACACGCACACATTCACAGTCACACACACATACACACACTCACAGTCTCACACACACACTCACACTCACGGTGTCGTTCCCGCTGTCACACACACACACACAGAGTCACTCACACTCTCTCTCACACACACACATGGAGTCTAACACACACACGCACTCACACACGGTGTCGCTCCCGCTGTCACACACACACGCACACATACGCACACATGCGTACACACGCACACACACGCACGCACGCACACACACACGCACACGCACACACATATACATACACTCAGTCACACACAGTCACAGTCACATGCACACGTACGCACACCCACATGCACACGGTCACACACATGCACACACACGCACACATGCGCACACGCGCACACATATACATACACTCAGTCACACACAGTCACAGTCACATGCACACGCACACACACACACTCACACACACGCACACCCACACGCACACGGTCACACACACGCACACACACGCACACACGCGCACGCACACACACGCACACGGTCACACACACGCACACACGCGCACGCACGCACGCACACGGTCACACACACGCACACGCGCGCATGCACGCACGCACACGCGCACACGCACGCACACACACACACACACACACACACGCGCGCGCGCGCGCGCACACACTCACGGTGCCTCTCCCGCTGTCACTCACTCCCTCCCCGCCCCAGTCCCGCCCCGGTCCCGCCGGGCGCATGCGCGTTTCGTGCGGCCACGGGCCGGGAAGCGCCGGTTTGCGGAGCAGCCACCGGCAGGACGCGGGTGAGAGGAGCCGGGGTCGGGGCGGGCAGCGCGGGGCGGGCGGGCCCTTCTGCTTCCCTTTCCCCTTCCCCCTTCCCTTCCCTTTCCCCCTGAGCGGCCTCCCCGGGGCCTGTCACAGCCGGGAGCCACCGCTCCCGACGCGCGGCGGCCCCGGGCCCAGCCTGGTGCTGCTCGGAGCGGGGCCGGCGGTTCCCCTCGCTGCCGGGGCCGGTGCTGCCGTTGCCGGACAGACGGCTCCGGTCACGGCTCCCCTTGGCCGGGCCCGTCCCGCAGAGCGGCTGGAGCTGGAGGAGGAGCCGGAGCCGGCCCGGTCTGTCCAGGTTTGCGCCCCACAATCCCAGCGCTGTCCCCGTAAGTCAATAGAGCTCCGGTGGCCGGGAGCCCTCCGGAGGCAGCAGGGTGCGGGCTGGGTCGGCCCTGTGTCGGGGTGTACCTGCCGCGGCTCTCCATTCCTGCCCTCTGCTTTACTGAGAGGCGAGCGCTTTGTTCTGCTTCAGTCTTTATTTTCCCGTCCAAAGGGAGTTCTCTTGACGCTTGTTTTGAATGGAAGGAGTCCAGGTTTGGAGCTGTCGGGCTTTATCTTCTGCTCTTTGGCTGTCAACCCAGCGGAGGGTCAGCGGAGGCTGAAGAAGGCAGGACTGATAGATCTGTGTGGTTGGAGTTACTCCTGTGACCTCCTCACTGGTGCTCCTGTGTTGCTCTAGCTGTGTGCTGGTGGTATTGGGTGCTCAGATGTGTTTAGATGTGGGGTGCCCGGCAGGAGCTTTGGACCCTGTTGCCACCGTTGGACCCTGTTGCTGTGTTCACAGCTCTGGTTGTGCAGGGCCCAGAGGTGCAGATGGAACGATGCAGGGAGTTTAGGAGCGCTCTGGCTGGGTGGTTTGGGTTAAGGGAGGCACAGGGTACCTGTGATGCTGCTCCGGTCATGCCCCTGCGCAGGGTCATGGGATTGTTACAGCCCCGTTGCCTCCCTGTGCTTTATCTGCATTCCTAATCCATGTGTAATCCTTTCCCATGGGCTCTTTGTCGACCTCCTGGTCCTGTCTCTTAAACTGTGTTAGTGGCACTTGACAAATCCCCCCTGGGCACTCTCAGTTCTAAGCTGAGTGCTAAGAAGGCTCCCGAGGCCTTTTCTTGTTGGGGTACAAGCTAGCACATCAGTGAGGCGCTGCTCACAGCTTCAGTTCAAGCACTGGAAAAGGGACTTGGCATTTTCAGACCCACGAAGTTCAAGATCTTGCATGTAAAGCGGAGGAGAATTTGGCTCTCTGGAAGTAGAACAGGTTTGGGAATTCAACATGGCTTTCATTCCCTCCTGCCCCTCCCGAGCTTTCTCACCACCGTTGGCTGGAGCTTGAGGAGCAGGGAGGGAATCTGCTGGGAAACACAACTGAAACGCACCCAGTTCCTTTCCTGTCCAAGTCCCTGATTTGAGCCGTGTGGGTAAAGGCTACAGAGGTTGTCCTGGGGTGCAAAATACACCCAAACCAATGCAAATACAACATCTGAGCCCTGTTCCGAATTCCCTCCTAAGTGGAGGGTGTTTGGCTGGAATATTGAAGGTTGCACTTCAAGTTGTGAGGGGTTTGTTTTCATTTGGAGCAAGGTAGCCCATAGGATTTCTAATTGGAGGTAGGACTGTTTGCTGAATAAACACTTTCAGTGGTTGGGATAACTTGAAGCTTTTCAAGGTGTTTTTAAAGCTCAAGGTGAAGTGTTATAGTCCATGGGATTTTAGGAAAGACATGTAGTTACCCTCCCTGGGACACTAATCTTCCAAGGATAGAGCCAGTGTGAAGAGCTGGTGCAGCTGAGCTACTAGTAGCGTCCCAAACTCAGTGCTTGTCAAGTGGGATGCGTAACACATCTCTATACAGCTCTGTGGCCCACATGGCAGCCCAAGGGAAAGCTGTTCAAGCAGCTCTGGGATTGGATTCCTCAGCTTTTACTACCTGTGTGCTGCTGGATTCATGGAATGGGGAGAGGAACTGCAACTTCAGGCCTCTTCTTGTTTGCCTTAACTCAGGGGCTCCTGTAATTCTGGCGTACTGAAAGCTCTCCCGCATTCCTCGCTTCCCAATCCGTGCAAACAGCTGCTGGCTCGAGCACAGGGAACTGGCAGGAGGCTGAAATCCTCCCCTCGCTCCTTTGGAGCAGCATTCCCAGCTCAGGAAATGCTTTTCCACCCTGATGGGGAAGTGAATATCGGAGCACGCGATGCTCACGTGCAGCCAGCCCCGTACCTTTGCGTGTGGTCTGGGATTCAAAGCATCGCTGCTCCAGGGGGTGAGCAATAGGCTGCTGTCACCCCATCGGTGTCCCAGCGAGTGGAGGGGGTACATGAAGGAGGCAGCTTCTCTGCTGGGATGCTCTCTTTTTTCCATTTCCTGCTGCTGTGCTTCAAAAAGGAAGGAAAAGGAATCGCTGACTCCATCCAAACAGCTTCCCCCTGCTGTGCACATCTGTAGGATGGGCAGATGAGTATTTAGTGACAACAACTTTGGGGGGAGAAAGGTGTTGGTTCTGTCTTTGGGGTTCAGAGCACCTCATGTAGGTGGGTAGGACAGCGAACCCTGCAGCTCTGCTTTGAGTCCAAGCTGAGCATGGACGTGCTGGTGGTCCCTTTGGAGGAGATGTTTTGGTGTGAAACCTGCCATTAAAAGAACTGGCAGAGGCAGGTGTTGGGTTTGACACCTCAGGTTTTAACTGGCTGGTTTGAGCAGGAAAATAACTGTCGGTGGTGTGTTAGGGAAGAACGAATTCCATGGGGAAGATCCATTGCAGAGACCAGGGTCTTCTCCTGGTGCCCTGGAGCGGTTTGTCACCAGCACCACTTGAGCTGGGGGTGTTGTGTAGAACTCTCAGAGCAGCTCATAAACCGATTTACACCGAATTCCTGGAGAAAGCGTTGCTTTCCTCTCACGAATGCAGACGTGTGGGTGCGTCTCTTCGCCTCTTGCTCTTCTTCTATTGCTTTTTTAAGCTAGCACGCCACACGAGCCTGATGGATGGGATGCTCCACGGAGCGTGGGATCTTCTCCATCCGGCAGGAATGTCATTCTCCTTGCAGATGGCATCCTCCAGTGGAAGCCACCCACTGCTGCTCTGCCTCTTGGGCACCCGAACTTTTCCATTGGATGGGAAGGAAGCTCATAGCTGCCTGCTGGGAGTTAAGTGAGCAGTCAGAGATGGAGACCTGAAGAGGAAGAAGGTGACTGTTCTGAAACAAAATTAATTGCACTCATTCACAGTTATACCCACCTGCTCGTGAGCAACAACAAGGGGTTGTCCAACATTTGGGCACCAAGACGTATGTGTCCAGATGGTCTGGATAGGATTCCTTGCAATGACAAAGCAGGCAGGAATGCCACGTATCAGACTTATGCTGTCTCTTGGGTAGCTTGGTGATCATGCAATGGCTTTGTGGTTTTGCATCCATAGGGGGCTAAGAGTGGTCTTTTGTCTCTGCATCCTGTCTCTAAGTCCTTAGGATTTGTTCACTGCCTTTGTGTCGTTACCTGGATGTCTTAAGGCTCCTACTCCATTCTCTCTTCTTCCCCAGATCATCTCTTCATGGCTTTAGTCTTTGGCCTGAGTCTTTGTTGCTGCAGATTGTTCCTTGTTTCAAGATGTTCCTTGTTTTCCAACCTGAGAAGCTGCAGCTAGATGTAGTGCGGTCTTAAGGACCTGCTAAATCACTGCTTTCAACACAGGCTGCTTATTACACCTTGTGTTCCTCCTAGTGCTTCTGTGCTTCTTTCCATCCATTCTTCACTTGGATAGTGCTCAGTGTATGCACTACTGTGATTTGCAGACTGTGCATAAAGAATTGTCATCTGCCTTTGTGTGCACATACAGTGCTGCACAGGAGTCAAGGGACTGGTCCTGGATCAAAACTGCCTGGTCAGAAGCCTGGATGGAGCTGATGATCAGTGAGAAGAATTTGAGTACCACTTGTATAACCAAGTCATTCATGTACACGTGTGCTTGGGGAGCTCCTGCTCCCAAGCTGATATCTCACATCAGGGAGGTCAGTGTAATGCTGCCAGAAGCAGTGTGAGTGGGGACAGGTATGGGGTGGCCTTGGCATGATCCTGGCTAGTGCGTGTCTGAACCTGGGTCAGGGTTTAGGGATTTCCTTGGCAGTGGTCAGCAGTGGTTCTGGGCTGGTTCTGTACATATCTGCGGTGACTCCAGTGGTGTTTGGTGCTGCAAGCTATGGGAAGCAGAGTGTCCTTAGAGGTTTTGCTCCAAATTAACAAGAAAAGTTGCTAGCATTGTCAGGGAGTGGGAGGTGATACCCCATCTGCCCTCAGCCAGAGGGTTTCGAGGCCAATCCACTTCTCTGCAGTCTCCTAAATGCATAGCAAGCATCATCTATGCAAGGCTGAGCTTGTTCCCCTCTCTTAATTGGCTTGTGTGGTATGGATGCAGGGTGGGGTGGATTTGGGGCATCATTCTCAGCCCTATGAGCTCTCTTTGTTTCTTGCTGCAGGTCCCCCAGAAGAAGATGGTGTGAAGCTGCCCCTTGCAGCGTGCCCAGAGCTCAGGGAGGAGCATGGCTGCAGCTCAGGATGCAGGAGGCAGTTCAGCCGGGCCATCCGGACTCCCTGGTTCTGCCCCGGGACATGGCAGCAATTCCCCAGCTGTGGCAGTGTGGGAATGGCAGGATGAGTTTGGCAGGTGGAGGCCATACAGAGGGAATGTCTGCAGCTACATTGAACAGGTTTTTCAGGCCTCTCAGCAGAAGGGCCGGCGCTCAGGATCAGGGCTTGTCAGCAGCATCCCTTTGGGACATGCGGATCCCATCTTGGCCCCCTATGTCATCGACATCCCAAGCTTGATGCAGTTCCGTCAGGACACAGGTAAGGGAGCTCCCCTGCCCATGCTGGGGTTTTGATGGGGCTGCTTGTGTGGTTGGAGATAAGTGGGACCCCATTATGTGTAGGAAAGCTCTACAAAGCTCTGTTGTGTGCTGCCACAGCGGGGCAGTGCTTTGAGGGGTGGTTTAGTGTGTGGTGACCCTGCCCATGGCAGGGGGTTGGAACTGGATGATCTTAAGGTCCTTTCCAACCCAAACCAGTTTATGATTCTATGTCTGCTTCTCTCCTGATGCTGTCTGCCACCCAGCACGTTGGCACACGAGAGTATCAGTATTAGCTGGCATGAATCACTGGTGCTGCTTCCTCTTAAGGAACCTCATCACAGGACCCCTGCAGCTCACAGAGCTCTCAGAGCTGGAAACTTTCTTCCTGCTCCCACCCATTCAAGACCACTGGTATAAAAAGGGCCTTTTCTTAGGCTTCAGACCCTCCTGTTCCCAATCTCCTCCCCTGTTCCCTCTACAACTGGAGTGCCAGCTGCTTTATCTTGGCATGCCGCCCCGCACAAGCTGCTTTGCGCAAGCCTGCAGCCCCCGCAGAGCGCCGTGATGCTGCAGCAGAACGTTCCCCACACTTGTGTGCACAAGGCTGGCTTGCTTCCTCCCATGGAAGGGTTTCATAGCAGGACTGAGACCTAATTTTCATTCTCATCTCTCTTTGGGTCACTGAGGCAGCTCAGGATTTGATGAATCCTGTGCTCTTCTGCAGATGTGCTGAGCAGCTGTAGCTTAGGAAGAGGGCAGGGGTGGAATGCATGCTCTTCATGTCTGGAAAATCCAGGGAGATCCCAAATTACACACCCTGAATGAATGGCTGCTGTGGGAGATTCTCCATGCATCACTTTCTCTTTTGCCAGCATCTCTCCCATCACCCCAGGGCACAATCAAGCATCACCCCAAGCTTTAGAGATGGGCAGCGTGCTGGTTTCTTGCCAATTGAAGCAATAAATGAGCAGTATCTTGAGTCAACTGCACGATTGGGTAATTCCTAAAGGAAAGGGAAGTGGTTGGAGCAAATGTGAGCGGTCATCACAGCTGCATCCGTGTTTTTATTCTGGCTTCGTGACCTTAGGATTAGGTTTTCCAATGGTGTCGTGGGTGGGGAGCTTTCTTCATGGCAGGTCTGCTCAGCATGGCCTGTTTGAGTCCTGCTGAGGTTGTGGCTTTGGGCAGTACAGCATGGTCCCACCAAAGCTGGAACCAGTGGCTGTTTCTTGCTTGTTTCCAGCCTTGTTGTGTAGCCCATTTTGGTGAGGGTGAAGGATGTGTCCCAGTGTGATTGAGACATCCCTCTTCTGTATCTCTTTAGAGCTTGTACCACATTAGACCCATGTGAAAGATCTCAAAACACTTAGCCCATTGTCCATCACAGGGTGGTTCAGAACTGATCATCTTTGGGGGACAGTCCAGTACAATTTGGGAACGGTGTTGCCTGTCGTGCCCTCCTCTTTCCTTGGACAAGATCTGTGGTTGAGTTGTTAATAACCAAAAGGGCTGATTCCACTTCCCAGCTCTCCTGCAGTGTTTCCTGCTGATGCGGAGGGATGCTCATCAGCTCAGTGAGCCTCCCTTCACAGGTACCTGTGCGCTCTGCAACGTGACTATTGCAAACACTCATATCCCCTTTCAGTGGCCCAGTTCTAAGCAAAGCTTTTTCTCTCTGCAGGGCTCTTGCCTTAACTGTGAAGCTTTCTGTGCGAGCAGCCAGCTGACCTTTGTTATGTGCAGGAGAAAAGAATCTCTGCAGGAAACATCCCCATGAAAAATCTGGAAACGGGGCAAAAAATAGGCTGTTGTATTCTGCTCATTAGCTATTAGACAGACAAACAGGCTCTTCAAAGGAAGCCAGCAGAATAACAGGAAGCCAGTGTTAACGGGACCAAGAGGGAATGACAGCTGTGCAGGGGGATCTTGTGGGCAGGATTAGCTGTGGCTTCAGCTGCTGGTCGAGGCACATTAGGTGGGAGTGAATGCAAGGGAGCAGCAGGACTTGTCCTCTCACCACAGCTGTCTGCCCACCCTGGAGAGGAATCCCAGCTTCCCTGCTAGCCAGGGGGAAGGGGGATGTTTTGCAAGTGTGTGGCTTGGCTCTTGGTGTTGGTTCCTAAAACACAGGTTGTGTGCAAGCTCCTAGAGCCCCCTCTGTGCTGCTTTTAACTTGTGACCTGCCAGTGGAGCAGGGGCAGGGTTGCTAATCCCCTCCAACATGTGTCCCCCAGGGCTTTTGGACACCTTGCTTTACCTGTGGTAGTCCCCTTACTCCTGAGAGCAGGTTCTCTGCAGTCACCTCTAAATGCAGTGCATTTCCAGCCCATCTCATCCCTGTTCCTTCTTGCTCAGGGGTCATCCCTGCTGCTGCCTACCTGTTGAGGTGTGGGTTTGTGTTTCTAACACTTGACAGGATAGGAGCAGTCATCACTAGAGCTTGCTTTTGGCTGTTTCATCTGCTTTCCCACATACGATGTCTCTTCTTGTCTGGGAAAGGTCTCCTTGGTTCTGCTGACACCTTCTGCCCTGACTTGTGCCAGAGGAAGCTCTTGTCCCACAGGAATCCCTGGGCTCATGGTTGAGCTGTTAGGATCCAGTTCTTACAGGGAGGTTGCTGTGTTTCACTGCCTGCTGATAGCTTTTCAGGTGTGCTGATGAGGTGGTGTCTGTTGGATGCAGACACTGGAGAGTCTCACTGTGCAGTTAGCAGGATGCTTGGTGCTGCTCTGACCACAAGCAGTGAGTTGGGAGGAAGTGCTGGACCTTCCCTCGCTGCTCATCCCTGAGGCAGGCCATACCCTGTGCCTTCAGCTCCCCAGCAGAAACACAGCTCCTGCCATTCCTTGGTCTGCCACGTTCTTACTTTGAGAGAGCCACAGCCTTTGTCACCTCTGGAGCTCAGGTCTGTCTTTACTCACCTAGTTTCCCCAGTGGCATGTGGGACATACCCTGCACCCCAGCAGGGGGTCTGGTTATGGTCTGAACACCAAAGCACTGCACAGAAACCACTGGTACTATACAGAAAAAAGCCTGGAAGTGTGATAGGAACGGAGATGTGACTTTCATGCTGTTAAATTTTTAGCAGTGAGGAGGCAGTTAATGCCCTTATGGTTTGAGTCAAGTCCTAGTGCTTTCCACAGTATCCCAGTACTATGGGGTAGGGATAAAAGCAGCATGAAGCAGAGGTGCTCCAGCCAGCATTCAGCCAGAGCCTGAGCACGGGTAGCAGTTGGGCTTCAGCAATGTGGAGTCCCATGTGTCCTCCCTCTTCCTTCAGATGTGCTTGTTGGGTGGAATATCCTCAGCAACATCAGGGCAGTTCTGCACAGGCTTAGGTGTGGATGACTGAAAATGTGCCTGTTTTCACCTGGGGTCCTGCAGCCGTGTCACAGCTCTCACAGCCTCTTTAGAGGCTCTATTTGATTTGTTTTTTCACCTCTTGGTGCTGTTCTCCAAGCTCCTCCTGTCTCTAAGGACTCTGCACCCCTGTTCACCCACCTCCTGCAGCCCCAGACTTGCCCTGCAACATTTCCTGCTCCTCTTTCTCACTGCAGGATGAGAAAGCAGCTTTGACCCTGGTACAGGAACCCGTGCTTGCAGAGGTTGCTGGGTTCCTGTCCTCTTGGATGACTTACATCCCTCTCATTAGGCTTCTCCTTTCTGAAAGAGAGGAGTGGAGTCACCCTGGAGAGCCAGATTTCCAGGGGGTTGTGAGCTCCTGCTGTTGCTGTCGAGCAGCATCACAGCAGTCGAGTGCCTGCTTTCATTTCTCTTCCTTTATGTGAGCAGCTGCTCTCTCCAGTTTCCACATCACTCCTTATCTCCTCTCTAGTCTTGCTGTATCTGCCAGCCTGCAGGAGCTGGCTCTGCCTGTCCCCTCTCCAAAGTCTTTGTTCTTACACTCATAGGACCTTACCTACTCCAAGAGCAAAATTACCCAGACCCGTGCGGAGCAGAGTGGGTGTTCAGCCCCTTACGCACGCTCCCCGATGGTGCCTTGTCTCTATAGTTACTCTGTTGTCAAGGCTGTGGGAGTTGGGTTTTTTTAAACCAGATCTGTGCTTCAGCCTGATTTACTTCTATTTTCACTCTATTTTAACGTCAGGGAGGCATCTGTGCTTGCTGTGCCTTTGTGCTGGGGTGTGTCTGTCTCTACATCCTCTCTCCTTCCCTCCTTTCCCACCCTTCCTCCCAGCAGCTTTTGAACCTGTTGCCAGCCCACAGTCAGATTTGGCAGAGGGACAGGGATCTTTGGGATGGGGATATTGCATTTCTCTGCGCTTCATGAGCAAACCCAGTCCTGTTGGGAAGACAAAGCCTGTTAGTGCCCTTCTTGTGGGAGAGGTGGGGAAGCCACCCTGATGTAGACACCACAGATCTGTGCAGAAATGAGTCCCTGAGACAACATCCCCATTGGAGCTGTTGGAGCAAGTCCAGAGGAGGCCAAAAGGATGATCAGGGGGTGGCGCAGCTCCTGTGTGGAGCCAGGCTGAGAGCACTGGGGCTGTTCAGCCTGGAGAAGAGAAGCTGATGGAGACCTCAGAGCAGCTTCCAGTGTCTGAAGGGGGCTCAAGGATGCTGGGGAGGGACTCTTCACCAGGGACTGTAGCGATAGGACCAAGGGGGAGTGGATTTAAACTGAAACAGGGGAAGATCAGGTTGGATCTAAGGAAAACGTTCTTTACTGTAAGAGTGGTGAGGCACTGGCACAGGGTGCCCAAGGATGTTGTGAATGCTCCATCCCTGGCAATGTAAGTAAGGCCAGGCTGGATGGAGTCTTGGGTGACATGGTTTAGTGTGAGGTATCCCTGCCCATGGCAGGGGGTTTGGAACTGGATGACCTTAAGATCCTTTCCAACCCAACCCATTCTGTGATCGATGATTCTCTGCTCACAAGATGGTTTTAACTCTTTCCCCCTCTCCCTGCACAGGCACGATGCGCGCCGTCCGCAGGCACCTCTTCCCTGGGGATTCCGCTGCCGGGCAGGGCATCGTCTGGGAATGGCAGAACGATGAAGGCGGGTGGTCCCCCTACGAGATGAAGGTCTGCGTGCTCCTGGAGGAGGCCCGTGCCAAGAACCACCAGCAGGTAGATCTCAAATCCCTGGGCTACAACTACATCGTTGACGTCGTGGCTCAAGTCCAGACCAACAAGAGCACGAGCTTCCGCCGCAGCGTTCAGCGGCGCTTGGACATCCCGTACCCAGTGACAACCTCCCCAACACCCCTTCACACAGAGGTGGCTTGTTCCTGCCAGCAGTGCTGGCTAAACAGCGGGACTGGTCCCATCACCATGCGCTACCGCCACTCCATGATAAACGTTCCCAACTCTTCTACTGCTCATCAGGGTAGGACAGCATCCGTAAGCTCTTCCAGCGTCGGCTTTGTGCCCTATAACAAACCAACTTTGTCTGGAGCAAGGTCAACACCAAGACTCAGTGCACAGAGCACCTGGGCTTTGCCTCAAGCTGGGGGCCCCAGCACAGGACTGTCTGCATCGAATGGAGTCAGGTACAGACCCCAATTCCCCTTTAAATACTGTGCATGTTGAGTAGGAGAAATGTCTTCACCAAAAGGGTTGTCAAGCACTGGCACAGGCTGCCCAGGGCAGTGGTGGAGTCACCATCCCCAGGGGTGTTTAACACGTGTAGATGTGGTGCTGAAGGACGTGGTTTAGTGGTGGACTTGGCAGTGCTGGGGTAATGATTGGAGTTCAAGGTCTTCTCCAACCTAAACACCTCTATGACTGCTGTGCTCAGTCTTTGTTATATAGGAGCCTCTCTGTCCCAGGGTCTTCTCCCTAAGAAGGAGAGAGAGGTTTGTGCCTTTGCATCCTGTACAGTGGGTGGAAAGGCTTCTCCTCTGCTTTCCTTTCCTTTTCTCCCACTTGAAATGTAGTCCCTGTCTTCTTCTCTCTCTGAACCACTGGAGAAGGGAGTCAGGTTGTGATTCGGCAGATGGAAGAGAACTAATAGGGGGTGGTAGTGTTACAGGTTACACTTAAGTACAGCTTTGAGGGGTCTGAGTGAATGAACAGGGGATTTGTGGACAGCCTTATTTAACTCAAAATAGGCAGTAAGCATAGAGTGGGAAAATTCTCTGTGTTCAAAGCTCTTCCCCTTGAAGGAGGGAGCACAGGACTCACTGTGTGTGACTGAGACCTCTGACAAAATCAGCAAGTCCATATTGGACACATATAAGGTGAACATCAGGAAAACCCCACCAAAACTGCCCGAAGCCATGGATGCGGTCAAGGGCTGTTAAAATCCATTGTGATGATGTTTAGGAAACCAAACCAGTAATTCACTTTCCCCTTCCTTTGATACCTTGAACCGTATCGACCCCTCTCTGAGGTCCATGGGGTGACACAAGCAGTTTGAGCAGTGTCCAGGCTATTCATCAGTGCTGATGCAGAGATGCCACTGGATAAGCATGGAAGAAGTTCATCTTGCATGTGTTGAGGTGCTGTTGTGATGTTGGAGGTCAGGAAGCACAAGCAGGATTGTAAGTGGTCTGAAATCCAGCTAAGCTTTGCCTTGTGCAGGTTTTGCATTGTCCTTTCCTTTCATCTTTCTTCAGCAGCCTTGGCTCTTTTCTGACAGGACTGAAACTGTCACAGCATGGATTTGAGCTCCCATCCGAGCGCCTGGAACCGAGGAAGGGCTGTGCTTACACCTTACCAGTGTGGGAGGAAGGGCTTCACTTCAGGCCTTTCAGCTCTTGCCACCTAGGTGAAAAGCAGTCTCATGTTCTTACAGCTCGGCTCCTCTCCATGGCACAGTTATTCGCTCTGGGATAGAGTGGGGCTGCAGCACTGGGCTCCAGCAGGGATTTTGGGCTAGGGGAGATCAGTGTCACCCTTGGGAAGTGAGGCACTTCCCTCCTTATTCTTGTAGGCTGGCCCCTGTGAAGCCTGGACATCCAGATCAAGCCAGATCCCACTGACTCCTCCTGTGTGCAAGCCTTTGCTACCAGAGGTCTTTGTGGCTCTTCTATGGTAATACTTGCAGCCAGTATCTGCCAGCATTAAACTGAGGACCAAGCAAGGGCTGTGTGGCTGCTCCCTCTGTAAGTGGCTGGCAGTGTTCAAAGCAGTATAGGCATTTCACCCTCCATAATCCAGCCGCTGAACCACACTGTGTGAGCACCTGAATAACCAGAGGGGAACTTGCCAGGGCTGATTTACCTCTCCAAGCTACCCCAAGTACATAGAGATAAGAGATGTAGGAGGGGTTGAAAGCACATTCTGCTGATTACATCAGGCACAGGGGTTTGAGGTTTGAATCTCATTTGTGTTTTAAGATGGTGAATCTGGAGGTATCTTCCTTAGTGTTGCATCTCTCAGGACTTTCCCTCTTCAGGGTCATGTGAGTGAAATGACTTCTATCCTGTTCTTCTTTCTCACGGTCTTTTCCGGATGCTTTCTTTGCACCTAGTGATGTTTTGGGGCATCTTAAGCATCCAAAATGCTTCTCTGTTCCAGTCCCTTTCTAGTAGGGCTGAAAATCAGAGCTCGGTACTGCCTGGAGGAGCCCCCAGGAAGACTATTGAAGAAGCTGCCAAATTCCCCCTCTTGCAGGAGCCACTGGTCAGTGCATGGGGCTGCCTGGAGCCCCCATCCTTCCCCAGGCCTCGGTGTGATTTGCACAGTGACTCTCAGAGTGGGAGGATTAAAAAGGAAGAGCCAGATTCTGCAGCACTTATGCCAGGAGCCTCTCTGGAGCCCATTGGGGCTGGGTATGTTGTATGCTACTGATGTCCTGAAAGGAAAAATGGGAGATGTTTGAAGCACGGTCTTCTCACCATGAACTGAGCCCATGGCACAGATGATGCTGACTGGGAGGAGAGGGACAGCCAGGAGGAGACCTGGAGGTGCCCAGCTAGGATGCTGGGGAGGACATACTCCTGGCAGCCTGCTGGGCTGGGTCCTGTTTGCTGCTGGGACAGTTGGAAGGTGAAACCCTGCAGCAGGTATTGCTGGCAGAGCTTGTGCTGGGTTGATGCAGCAGCCCTGTGAAGGCATCGCATGGTTAAATCTTCGCTGGGCACAGCAGAACATGCCCCAAGGGGAGGGCGAGTGTGATGTGAACCCTTGGCCTGGCCAAGCCGTGGGGGTGCTGATGGGCACTTGCCTGTTTACAGGGCTCATCAGGAGGTGGTTTTGCAGGCAGGGTGGTCTTTATGTCTACAGCTCCCTTTCTGTTCCTTAACCCTGTTGTTTTCCACCAGCGGTATCTATGGAAGCCTCTCTTTTCCATACCCACCACAGGAGCATGCGTGGTTCACAGATCCAACCCATGGCCGTGTGCTGAGCCTGGAGGGATGCAGCAGCTGGGGGCTCACCCAAAAGGACCCCAGGGAAGGGTAGAACAAAGATGTGCATTGGAAGCTCTTCATGGGTGACAGTCGATGTCTGGATCTCCAGTCCTTTGCATTAGCTTTGGCCAGGGGTGCTGTCCCTTCTCCCTGCCAGACAGACACATGCACACAGGGGGGCAATCTCCATCTTCCACTATAGTGCTGTATGTGAAAGGCCTTTGTCAGCACCAGCTGACAGCTCAAGATGGCTTTTCCCTGTCACCCCTGTGCTGGGTGGGTGTAATAGCTCCTGGCTGGGATTACAGGCTCAGGCTCGTGAAACCCATGTTCCAGCACAAAATACTCCCATTTCTGTGAATGAGGGGAAACCCGAGTAGCCAGCTCTAACAATGTGCTTCGTTTAATTCCCAAGCCCAGAACATTCCTGGGTTGTTTTACCCCTGAGGTTCCCCATCTTCCTGCCTCAGCTGCACTTGGACTGGTGGTTAATTCCCTTCTCTCCCAGTTGCTGCCCTCATTCCTCCTGCAGCCTTTGTGGCAGTGATGATGAAGCACTGATTATCCTGCACTAATTATGTTATATGAGTTTCTGTCTGCATCCAGCATTCCTCTTAGCTGGGATGTGCAATTCCCGTGCTGGCCCATGCTCATGGACTGAAGGGAAGCAGTGGGCCACGGTGGATTCTCTGGTGTCTAATAAAGGTTGTGCTCACCCTGCAGCTTTTGGCTCCAAAGCAGCCGTAGCAGATTACTTGGGTTTACAGAAGTGCTTATCTTCATAAAGCTTGCAGGGATGCCCCAGCTCCTGCCTCAGAGCAGGAATGGCTCAAAAGCTATTAGGGAGAACCTGACCCACGGTGCAGTTATGTACCCTCAATTGGTTTAGGGGAGGCAGCTAAAATGGGCAGCACTGAAGCAAACATCTCTCCTGTGGAGCTGAGAAAGAGCTGTAGTTCCTCCTGGAAAGCTGCCTAACTCCCTGTGTGGTGATGACAGTTACTTCTAATAGGCAGGCCGGAACAGCCCCCAGTGCTGTTAGTGCAGCACAGACATGCCTGGGCTTCTGTGGCATTGGCAGTGATTGAATGGATTTCCTGCTTGCTGGAGGGAGGATGTTGGAGTGAGGGGGTGAAAACGCAGGTTTAATTTCCCTGTGCTCTCGAGAGGGTCAGAGACACTGGAAAACCCTGGCAGGCGTGCCAAGGCTTAAATAGATGCTAATATCCTTGGCTCTGCTGCTACTGCATTAAATACATGTGGGCAAGTTATTCTGCTGCTTGGTGCATGAGTTTCCTCCGGTGTATTAAACCCAGTTAATGAGCCCAGCCTGTCTCCCAGGCAGTGCTGACAGCTGCAGATGCAGCGTGTCATGGCAAGGGTTGGTCCTTATACCAGTGGTGTTAACTGGATCTGGGAACCAGGGGTCAGCTCCCAGCCACCCCCTGGCATGATCCTTCCCATCCCACACAGGGAAGCATCCATGCCTGGGGCAAGAGCTGCCCTATTGCATGCCCTGTGTTGTGTAATTACAGAGAAGGGCACTCTGAAACACAGTAAGGAATGCCCTGCTTGTTACATTGAGCAAGTAAAGCTGCAGGAAGCAATATACAGGGGGATATATTAGTCCCACAGCCAGAAAAATCCCCTCTGTAGCTCTGATGGTCCCTCTGAGCTTGCATGGCTTTGGTGCTGGTCTAGTTTGTGCCTACAAATAAGGCAGGCAGCTTGGAGGGTTGGGTTTGATTTAAGACCATGGGTAATGGGAGTCCTGGGGACTTGGGAAGGATGCTTGGAGTATTGTGGTGTTCCTAAGCAGGATCTGGTGCTGCACCCCCAAATCTCCCATGGGGAATGACCCACAGTGAATGTTTTATAGGATCTGGAGGTGTAACCAAGGGATCAGAATTTGGGCAGGGCCTTTCCTTTTCCTCTCTCCTCCTGTGCATCTCTCAGCGTTGTCCATAAGCACACCCATGGGCTCCTTGGGGGTGGGAAGGGAGTTCTGCTCAGTGCTGGCTCTGCTGGGCCCATTCTGACTCGTCCTCAGCCCTCTGTGAGCCATCATGGTTCTGTTGCCAGGCACTCTTCCCAAGTAGGATCAGGGGAATCTCCTCTGCTTGGTGCCAGGAGCAAAGCCACAATCCACGTGGCTGCATGCATTGCACCCAGGGGTCCTTCTTTAGAGGGATTCTGTCTTGGGTTTGGCACCTTGAGAAGAAAAGTAAGGGAGAAACTGCTGCATGGTCATTAGTGTCATTGACATTCAAGTCTGAGAAGGGGGTTAGACCTTTGGGTGCCTCACATTAATGGGATACAGTCCTAATCTGAGGGAAGTGTTGGCTGTCAGGAGTGGTACAAAGATGCTGCAGTATAGGAATATGTGGCCTGTTGGCTTGTGTGAATGGAGAGAGGAGGGAAGAAAGGGCTGTATCAGGTGAAGAGGGTGAGTAACAACTTAGACTTCCCTACTGCTCCTCCATTAGGATGTTGGGTGTCTTCAGCTTGGGTGATGTTCAGCTCCAACCTGGCTGCCCAGTGTTTGAAGTGGCAGCTTCCTCTTTGGTCTTGTGCTTTGCTGTCTCACTGGTGCTGGAGGATCTTGAAATCATGGAGAAGTGAGTGGTTTTGTCATGCTGAAATACAGCCTGCCCTGCCTGTCCCCAGAGCAGAGTGCCTGGAAGCTGCTGATGGGAAACCTCCTCAGGATCCCCTTGCTGAATCTTTGGGGACAGTGTCTTATTTTGCATCCCCTTCACAGCCTCGTGATCCCTCATGAGCTCAGTCACATCCAGCTCATAGAGCAGCGGGAGAGCAGGAGCTGCAGGACAAAACTGGACCAGGGAGGAGGAATCAATCCCAGGAAATGCAGGCATTGACTTTCAGGTGTTGCAAGCACAGCCTGGACATTTGGCTGGGACCCAAAAGCACTGATGGGGTAGCAGTGTCCCCTATGAGCAGGAGCAGGCGTCTTAGTGGATCCCTCCCATCCCTCTGCATTGCAGTGCTTGTTCTTGCACTGATGCTCTCCAAATCTCCCTCACCTCAGACCCCCTCCATCCTGCCTGCATCCTGTTTTCTCCTCACTGAGACTGGGTTGACTAAATCAAAAGGACCATACCCTGGCCTGGCTTCAGCTTTTCCCAAGCAGCCAGTGCTGGCATGGGGATGCTGGAGTAGTTTGGGTCTGAGCTGATGGGTCTGAGCTAAATGTGTGTGTTCGTGCTGCTGGCACCTTGCTTTTGGAGTTGAGGCACGGCCCACGTTATACTATGACAGCAGTCTCTTTCCTTCTCACCTCTTCCCCTTCTTCCTCCAAAAAGCCCCATTTCAGACGCAGGGCAGGCTGCGAGGAGCGTTTCTGCACCTTTCCTGATGTGACAACACTTCCTCCCGTGCCCTGTGGCTGCAGATCTCCCCAGGCAGGGCTGTGGCAGAGGCACCTCCACGCACTGTGCATTTCCCTTGGTTTCATCAGCCTCACTGCTGGGCTTTCTACAGATGTAAGAGGAATCACGGTGTGCTCGCACGGTGTCAAGTGGATGGGTCAGCACATCTTACGGTGATGTTAGCTGAGATGATGCTAACTGAATGTGCCTGTGTTCAGCCCACGTGGAGTAACAAGTACTTGGTTTCTCCTTCATCACATCAGTTGGCTTAAAAAGCCTCCAGCACTCAGAGCTGGCACACTTTGCCTTCACACCAGGGGTGCAGCCCATCAGCAACTGTTTGCTGGCTGATGGAGAGTAATTCATCTGCAGTGCAGTTGCAGCTTCCAACACTGGATTGCTTGCAAGTGCATCAATTGCTTATCTATTTCCCTGTGTAAATCTCAAGGGCTCTCAAGGATTCTGTCGTGGTTTAACCCAGCAGACAGCTAAACACCATACAGCCATTCACTCACTTGCTCCTGCATGGGATGGGGGAAAGAATTCGAAGGAGAAAGAAACAGAATCCGTGGGTTGAGATAAAGACAGTTTAATCGGACAGAAAAGGGAAGGAAAATAATAGTAAAATAACAATAATGATGATGATGATGAAAAGAATTGTAATATCCAAACCTAGTGATGCACAATGCAATTGCTCCTTGCTGACAGGATGGTATGAGAAGCTGAAAAGGCCTTGACTTGGTGTAAGCACTGCTCAGCAACACCTACACCATCTGTGTGTTACCAACAGTATTCTCACAGTAAATCCAAAACACAGCTAGTAGGAATACGATCCCAGCTGAAATCAGGACAAGTCTGTAGAAGCTCTAATTCTTGTGTGACTTGGAATTGAAAGGAGTGAAGAATTTCTCTGGTGGGCTGCTGGAATTACTGGTGATCCCCTTCCCAGAGCAGCCCTGGGTTTGCTATCTTCACCCTCAGGTGTAAGGACCCTTGTTGCAGCCCCCCTGGAAGGATCCCCCACTGTCCATCTGCTCTCCTGGCACAGCAGAAGGTTCAGCTTTGGGCTCTGGTGTGGTTTTGCCTTCCATGGGGAAGTGAAAGGACCCAAGGTGGCTGCTGCGCTTCGCGGTGCGATGGTGAAGCACAAGCTCTTCAGCATCAGTCATGTGCAGGGTCAGAAGCTGGGTTAGGGGGTGCCCAGCATCTTGTTGGCTTCTTGGCTGCTCAGCTGGAGGAGGGAAGGGAGTCCAGTGCCTCTGTGATTTTGGGGAGCAGTTCTTGAGTTCCTTTACATTATCTAGTCCTCAAAACCCATCCTTGAATGCAGCTGGAGAGGGAGCAGCACTGCTACTGGATCTGAAGAGGATAGTAGGAACAGAAGTGAAGCAAAGGGATGAGATAGAGAAAGAGGAGGAAAACACCTGAGAAAGAGGCTGAATCAGGAAAGAGAAAACTCATAAAGAGGAGTCACAGCATGTGATTTGAAACCAAAGGGAGGATTTCCACTGTGTTCGGTGGGTTTGAATTGGGCCATAGCGAGAACAACCCATTGCGTCATTTGACATTGCAAAATTAGGGGCAGCAGAGGGGAAAGCACAGTCTTTGAAAGAGACAGAAGGGAAACCTCTGAGGTCTGGGGAGCTTTTTAAGGGTCTGGAAGAGCCGGTCTCTTGGCCAGGCTATCAGTGCAGCATCAAGCCCTGCATCCTTGCCCGGGGGGTTCTTCAGCAAGCTCAGCACGTGTGTGGTTGGGAACCCGTTTCAAACTGCAGCAGGTAGGAGAGGAGGGAGGTGGGGAGGGGTCCCTGTTGTGAGGACAAATCTCTTCAGCTCTGGTCAGTGTCATGGAGTTTAGCAAGGCTGAAAGGAGGGACCTCTCTCTGGGAAGCTTTTGTGGGCACAGGAGAGAGAATCCACTTGCATCCCAGCTGGAGAGCATTAGGTTCCCCGTAGCGGGTGGCATTTAGGCACTTAGAATCATTGAATAGTTAGGGTTGGAAAGGACCTTACGATCATCAAGTTCCAACCCCCCTGCCACGGGCAGGGACACCTCACACTAAACCATGTCACCCAGGATTGACCACCATAATCTCTAAGTGAGTTCCTAAGAAGCTGGCCAGGTTTGATATAATCTGGGGGGACCTTGGAGATGGTTGTCTGAATGCATCGTGTGTTAACTGCAGTGATGCACATGAGCCTGCATCCATCCCAGACACATACATCACCTGAGATGAAGTCTGTGGGTGACTTCTCATTGCCAGCCTGTTGGATTTCAAACGTTCCTGCTCTGCTCATGTAGATCCAGGCTGCTTTCTCTTCTGCTGACCCCCTCATCAGCTTTCATGCTCATCTGTTCCTTCCTAATTCCTGCCATCAGTTAATTGCATGGCCCTGACTGCCCACGTATCCCAAACTAACCTGCAGTACAGCTGCCAGTACTGGGAAATGCTGCCAAAACAAGTAAGCTAGGAACCTGAAGAGGATGTTTCATGTCCAAATCCTCTTGATTTCCAAAGGAAGGTTGGTGCCCAAAGTCTCTTTCAGCCTTTCCTCCTCATTCCCACATCTTGCATTAAGCCCTTGGATGCCCAGGGCTTCATTCTGTTCATCCCAAGGCTACAGCTCTTTCTTGGCCTTTCCCTGCCTCAGTTTCCCCATCTTGCTTCCTTTGATCTGTACAGCTGCAGCCTCTTGTACAGCATGGGGGTTTATGCTCTGGTGAGCAGTATTTCTCTGGCTGGACACCAAGTTACCTGGAAGATTTAAGATGCCATGGTCAGCTCTGTATGGAAGCATCATGGGATCAGAGCAGTGAGTTGACAACAGGGTCTACCAACATGCCCCTTGATGACTCAAGACCATCAGCCAGTTAGAAAGAGGTGGGGCTGCATGCATCTACATAGGTCTGAAATCCACCTTGGAGATGAGTAAACCTATTAGGTAGCTCTGGGCTCCTTAAATGTAGGTGCTGGACCAGTGCCTGGGTGGGGGTTTCAGCTGGGGGTCATCAGAGCAATTAATCCCTGTTATTTATCCAGGAGGGATCAGTGCATTGCTGCACTGGTTGTTTTGCTGGCGGTGGAGTTGTGCTGTTGAGCTTGTCCCTTTGTTTTCCTCTCCAGTGCCCCAGCCCTGCCTGTCAAGATGTCCAAACCCAGCAAGGTGAACCAGGCCCTGGCAGGTAAGGATCCAGCTCTGCTTTACTTGCTTTGTCCATAGGGTTGTGTGAGCAGCCAAGTGGTTCAGCTTTCTGTGGCACTTCTTCTCCTTTGTTAGTTTTTAGGCAGAGCCTGCAATGCTGCTGGCATTTTAGGTGTTAGGCCTAAAGACAATGGTAAACGTGGGGGAGAATGTGATGGTCAAGCCTTAGGAATTGCTTTTCTCATCAGAGCTGGTCCTGAGGCTCTCAAAATGAGTGGGTTTATTTGAGGGCTGGGTACTCATCTTCTGCCATGGATGGTCAGGTAGCAAGGGGGGGAGCACATGGATCAAGCTCAGTCCTACCTGTTACTTGCTCCTGCTTTTTAAAGCCAAAGGGAGGAGCGAGGTGATGTGTGGTTTTAAATATCACCCTTTTTTAGCATGGCTCTGTTACAAAAGCTCAGGTGGTTTTCAGGCTAAAAATTGATTGTGTTGCCTTGTTCTGGGGGGAAAGGAGGGGCTGCAGGTTGAATCAGACATTGCCTCCTGTGGCAGCAGAATGCAGGTTTGCTTGTTATCATCCAAGCCTGTGAATACAATACTAAATGCACACAGGAGTGTGCCTGGGGGGGTGGGAATAAAAGTGCCACTTTTCAATGCTCCTTTTCAGAGTAGATTTTCCTGTTAAACATGAAATGGTGTTGCCTTGCAAATGAGAACTCTTGCAGCTTGCAGTGGAAGCCTTTCCATGCCGAAAGCTGTCAGTGGGATCTGCTCTGTTTTGGCTTAGCAGCACCAGGGCCCTGGTGTGGTGGTGCCTGGGGGTAGGGGTGTTCTGCTGAAAGCAGATGCCTTCTCCATACTGCTATTGACTGTGCACTTGAAGTCATAGCGTAAGGTGGTAACCTCGGGGTTGAGGAGTGGGAAAGGCCTGATGTATGGTGTTTTCTCTATCACTTTCAGCCACTATGGTTGCTCTATTAACCCTCTCCTTCCTCTGGCTCTTGTCCATGCATGATCTGTTGATGTTATTAGCTCCTTGGACACTGAACTTTGCTCCTGAGCAAGTGGAAGTAGTCACACTCTCACTGCGGGTACCACTTTATACCAGGCAATGTGATGGTGTTTGCTTTGGTCTCGAGTGTCAGGCTTTACCCTGCCTCAAAATGATACCCAGGACTGATGTTTCCAGTCATCTAATGAAAACTGTGCCTTGCATGTCTCTACAGCCAAACGAGCACTGCATAAAGACTAACACTGGGTGGCATCTGGCAGCATGCAGTCCATCTGTCTCCCTGTTAGTGTGGAAATGATGCATAAAGTTGAAGTGGATGTCCTGAGCAGGACTCCCCTTGCTTATAAAGGCTCTGGATTTCATCCCCTGGCTATTTGCACTGACTGTGTAATTAGGTGCTTAATCACATGAAGGTGCCTGCAGCACAGAGCTGAGGAGCCCTGGTGAATCCAGGCTGCGTTCATGTTGTTAACTGTGATCTCATTCTGCTCATACAAGTCATCAAGTGTTAATTTGGAAGAGGTGAATGCACATGGTCCATGTTTAGGCACAAAAGGCTGCAGGAAAGCCCCAAATAAGCCATTTGCCACCATTTAATGAAGTTAAATGAAAAGGTAAAGCTTCTAATGGCTATCTCTGTTGTTGGAGGCTGGGGGTGCAAAAGAGGGCATCATTATTCATTGCAATCATCTGTAGCTCTCCACAGGGCAGCTAGTGAGAGGCACAGGGTTACAGGAGAAGTGCAGAGTGCATGGGCTGAGCATGATCAGAGCAGCTCCCTGGAGCCAGCATCCTCAGATCCAGGTCTCCATAGGACATGGCTTTGATGGGCGCTGTGCTGCTGTCTGCCCAGTGTGACAGACCTCAGAGGTGCAGCAAGCTTTGGATTAGAGTCTGTCCTTGCAACTGCATAGAAACAGAGGGAAGATGTGGACAAGTTAGTGAGGAAAAAGGGGAAATAAATCTCTGGGTATGTTTCTGGTTAAAAGCAAGCAGAGGAGTTCTGGTAAGAGAGCAAAATTATATTGAGACATTAACTGGCTGGGTCTTCAGAGCCCTCTTCTTCCCTGTTTCCACTCTCTGCTTCCAGAACCTCTTCTGGGAAGTGGTATTTTGCTCCTATTTAAGATGCTGCAGATGGTGTGAGAGTTTCTCATTGTTCAGGTTATTCTCTAACACACAGGCTGCCTGCTTTGGTTCCTCTGCTCCCTGCTGCATGACTGCTTCCTTCAGCATTGAGGTGGGAAGGCTGGGGACCCATGGGCTCTGTGATGATATGGGGGGAAGAGGGCAGTCTCAGATGTGAACTGGAGAAGGCTTTATGCTGGGAACCCTTGGTCTCCATCCTGAGATGCCTCCCAGCAGCTTTGTCTCTGGTTTGAAGCAGGAGAGCTAAACCCCTTGGATCTTATGGGTGATGTTGGGAAATGCTGCAGGTGCATCTCTTGGATGCAGAGGGATCTTCTGCTGGATAAACAGGAAACAAGGGATCCTGTGGCTCCAAATGGGTTTTGTTTGTGTGATGACTGCCTGGGGATCTAACACTGATACTTCTTTCTAACAGCACCATGATTTCTTTTTCCTTGCTTTCTGCTGGTTTAATACTCCAAGGTGCATGTGGGAACTTGCCCTTTAAGCTTTGTTTTTCCTCCCCTGACTATTTGGTTAGTATGGTGAAATAGCAGAATAGAGGTGTAAGCAAACTGCTGAACCACAGTGGTGGCAGCAAAGGATCAGCTGGACTAGAATCCCATGGGAATAATGGAGTTCCGGTGGTGTGTGTTGGGCTGGGGTTGGATGAGGCAGGCATGTGAAGGCCTGTTTAATACTGGTTTTAAGATGAAGGCTGGAAATGAGCTTTTTGGTTAAATGAAACCAGGTGTTTCTCATCTGCATGTTTCCTGGAGCTGGGGTGTTTGGGAGCATCCTAACCATAATAGCTTTGCTAGTGGATATAATTGCACTGATTAGCAATGCTTTGCTGAGACCTCATGTTATTTGAAGGTAAGCTCTGCCCTTTCCCCTTTACCTGCTTAAATCAGGACTGGAACCAAAGGCATACCAGCGTGAGGTGTGTGACCAGAGCTATGTTATACTGGGTATGTGAGCAAGTGTGTGGTTAATGCTCATCACATTATGTAAGGGTGTGTTTTCCTATGCTCAGCTTCTGCACAGGATATTACAAAAGGTCTTTATTTGCACAGCAGGCTGAGAAAAGGTGGTGGCTGTTGTCATAGCTCCAGTGAAACTCATTGTACCCCATGGAGTCAGTGATGTGCTTCTGGCCAAATAGGTGCTTTGAGGCAGAACTTGGAGTGCTCATAGGATCAGATCAAGAGCCAAAGGATGTTTTGCAAGGCTTTCTGTCTTTTCCCTCATGCAGTCCTTGCAGGGATGAAACCCAGTGGGAAGTGGGAACATATTAAATAGTGCTTTCTCAAGCTCCTGGGCTCAATAATGAGCAGCAAGAACACATGGATGTCCCAGGTAGTCTTGGTTTGGGCAGGCTTATCTTGTTGCAGTTTGGCCTTTGCATATTCAGGTGAGAATCTGTCCAGGTCTAGAGCCACGTTTGCTCCTGACATCACTCCATGGATGCCTACAAGTTGTGAATTGAAATAGTTGTGTCCACAGGTCAGAACTGGAGACTCCATCTGCAGAGGTGATGTGTCCATGTATTGGTTTGGCACTCAGTGTGAACACACATACCCATAGTGGGGACTCTTGTCACTGGAGGGTTGGTAGATGCTGAGATTTCCAGTGTTGTATTAGAAGCTTGAAGAAGACATTGCTGCTGGGTTGGGCGATTGGGCAGGAGAGCAGTGTAACACTGGAACATCCCCTGTGTGAATGCTCTCTTGACTGGAATCTGCACAAGATGATTCATTGTGTCTCTCCAAAGGCAGTGGAAGGGGAAAGTGGAAAATGACCTTTTCTTGGCCAGTTTGTCCATGGGAGAACACTGGGTTCTGGTAGTTCTCCCCATCCCACGTTTGCCCTGTGCTGTCTGTGTGGAGTTGTAGATGCATTTGCAGCTCATAAAGTGAAAGCTGCTGGGCTAAGCCCTTACTTTCCTTGTGATGATTCACGATGCTGGCAGGCAGGTTTGGGCATGTTGGTCCAGGTAGAGAGGGGATGTGTTAGAGTGACTGCGCTCAGCTGAGGTTCTGTGGCTCATGCTCTTCACTTGGTTTTTGAAGGCAGTGCTTTGTCCACCAGCATCAAGAGCCTGAAGTCAGTGCAGCCTCTGCTTCTGTCATGTTTCTCTCTGAAAGGGGCTAATGTTAGCTTAATAGTATTGATCTCTTGAGAAGGAAGCATCAGTTTTGCATTTGCCTATCAGTCGGCTGTGGGCTTGCTTTTCAGACGTCAGCCCCTGCAGTCTGTGCTGTCACACTGCTTAGGGGCAGGGTTATTCAGATAACGTCATGGTCTCCTTTTCTGCACTACTTTTGGGGAACTGCATTTTGCAGCTTGGTGGGATCAAGCTCTTTGAGATGTCCAGGTTGGACACAGGGGCTTGGAGCAAGCTGCTCTAGTGGAAGGTGTCCCTGCCCATAGCAGGGATTGGAACTGGACGAGCTCAAGGTTCCTTCCAACCCAAACCATTCTATGATCTCCTCCAGCATCTTGATAAGCAAGAATATTGTTGCTCCAGGTTCTCTAAGCAGTGTGAATGGGTACTGCATGCTTCTGCCCTTTAACCTGCTGAAAGGGGAAAGGCCCTACCTGGTGTATGTGTGGTGGCAGCTGTGGTGCTGTTGCTGGGTTTCAGTTGTACTCATTCAAAAACCAAGTGGCTCTTGCTATGGGAATGCTTCAGCTCCTAAGGCTTGCAGGTGTAAATGAAGGAGTGCTGGCTTAGGCCCAGGCTGAGAGCACAGAATAGCCTTGTGGTCCTTAGTTCAAGACTTAAACGAAGATGGGGATGGGGAAACTTCTGGATGTGATGCTTGGTTGGAGGTCTGCTGGCTTGTACTGATGATGGGGTCTCTCCTGTGCTGTACATGCTGGGAACAGCCCTGTGCTGTCAGTAGGGTGAGGGGTACTACTAACCCAGTGTCTGCATGGACTGGATGCTCTCCAGAGATCCCTTCTAATCCCAACATTCTGTGAGCAGGTTCTGGTATATTTATTGTACTTGGACCTTACATGAAGGAGGTACAAAACGTGGTTGATGCTGTGCAGCGATAGTTCTGCTTGCAGGGCATTGCCACAGGCTTTGCTCAGGGGGTTTCTAGTCACCAGGCACAGGTTCTTAGGGTTGCATAGCTGAGGCAGAAAATAGCCTTACCACTTGCACACCAAGCTGCTGCTTCCTGTCACAGCTTGGTTTTCAGTTGTGTTGTGGGCAAGGTACCTCATTGTTGTCCTCAACAAATGTGCTTTTAGATCCTTCCTTTCCCAGCCTGCCTGGAAAATGAAAACCTTTAAAACCTTAGCTTTGGCTGTGAATTCCTGTGCAGGAGTTGCCATAGCGTTAGGATGTGTTTTTTTGCATGGCCTGCTGTTGGGGAAACACTGGCTTTTAGGCTGTGTGCTGGTCTGTAGCCATAAGCATTTTGGTTTAGTTCTAATGATGCTGTTGCAGGTGGGAATTCACTTCTTGGGAAAGCAGAGGCAGGTGTGTTACTGAGTGGGAGTTGAAAAGCAATATGCTAGCTTAGAATTCCAACCAGCCTCTGTTTCACAGGGAAGCATCATTAGATCAGCATGATCAGCCCAGTAGCTCTCTTTGTGCCAATTTTACCTGCAGGGAATGGCTGTCCCTTTTAATGATTCATTAGCTTGAACAACCTGCATCCCACAAATACAGCTGCTTGGGATGGATGGGGCATGTGAGAGTTGCATTGCAGCTGGGATGCTATGGAAAACTGATGTGCCAAGGAGGAGATGGTGTGGGGTGAGTTGGGGGCTGCTTTGGCAGCGGGTTGAGTGGGGCAGCCCCACACTGCTGTGGTGTTTGAAGGCAGTTAAGGGGATCAGCCAGTGTGGTGATGTTGAAACCTGTAGTGTCAGGGAGGAGTGAACAGAACCATTAGGAGTTATGGGTCAGGGCTGTTTCTAGGGCTCCAGTGAGCAGGACTTTGCACCACAGCACGCTCAAGACCCAAAGACCCCTAAAGCCAAGGCACAGAGGAGGGTCCTGTGCATACACCAGCACAGAGGCTCACGGGTGAGACTCCTGCCTGTATCTCCCTACATCAACTTGCTGCTGGGCTCCTCCCTCTGAAAGCCTCTGCATCCTGTCCCTGTGCTGACCCCAACCCCGTTGCCTCTCAGGTGTTTGATGTCCTCTGAATCAAGGGCTTGGGTTTTGGTTTTGTTTTACCTTTTGATTTCCTTTTGCAGGGTTAAAGGTGATGTTAATGAACGTGTTTCCCCGTTGTTCCCTTCCCGCATGTCACTCTCATACCCACTGTAGGCATGACGGCTATTCTGATGTCAGCCGCTGGACTCCCCGTGCACCTCACCTGTGTGCCACAAGCTGCCAGCACCCATAAAGCCACTAAAAAACACAGCTCAGTTAAGGAGGGGAGGAAAGTGTCCAAGAAAGGTAGTTCCTGCTCAAAATCTGGTATTTGCTTCCATCTCCTTCTCTTTATTATCCTCTGCACTCGGTCTGCCTCCCTCCTTTCCTCTTGTCTCTTCCTCCCCAACCCTTGTGGCTCTTCTGATGTGACTGTGTTTGTCAAGAGGAGAGGTAGGACACTTCTCTGGCCTGTGTGGTCTCTGACAGGCTGTAAAAGATGATGATGTAAACCCAGTCCTGCTTGTTTCCATCAGTTATTAAAGCTGGAGCAGCCCACTTGCTCTCTGTGCATGCTGGTCTCCTGCAGTCTCCCCCATGGTCCTGCTACACCTCTTGGGGAGCCCAGGGCATCCACATACCAGGACTTCCTCTGACTCACTGGTGGGACAAGTCTGGGAGCTGAAGGAGCATCAAGGAGAGCATTTAATCTGTACCTGCTCCCAAAAGGCTTGCTTGTGAGCCGCGCTTGTCACTGAGTCATGGGGTGAGAGGGATCTTCCAGACAAGCAGGACTGAGTCATGCAGGGCTTGCACGGTTGGATTGCAGAGGACTTGTTCTCTGTCTGGAGTGGAAGGGAGGGAAGCACTCCCAGGTGGATGGGCTGGGTTACCCCAGCTCTCCGGCCGACCTGAGCCACCTCCAAGGCAGGGCCTTCATTTCTCCTCTTCACATCTCACTGGCATCCTGCACCCTCACCCTTGCAGAGTGTGTCTGAGCCAGTTTAGAGTCTGACTCCCACCTGTGTGTAGCATCCCTGGCACTCTGCAGGGGAAGGTGTGGATCCAGCCTCATGTAGCTCTAGAAGCTGGTTGCCAACTCTGGCTTAGGTGTCCTTCCTAAGATGCTTGCCCTTCAAATAAGTGAAGGGGGGGACTAGAGGTTGGGGGGTGTTCAACGTGGAGATGCTTGTGTTGAAGAGAGGGAAGAGCCCCGAGGTGGAGGGGAAGAGGCCCCCTGCCTGTCTGCAGAGTTTGTTGGTGGCAGCATCTCTCTTCTTGGAGTCCAAAAGGTCCAAACCCATCTGAAAGAAGCAGGCAGGGTGGTAGCAGGAGAATAGAAGTGAAATGTGGAGGGAGGAAATGCATTATGGAGGGAGCTGGGAGGAGGAGATGCGAATGCCAAGAGCAAGTGTGGAGTAGGATGTGTGAGAGAGGGGGAGGAGAAAGCAGGGGGTGGCTGGAGAAGCAGCAAAGAACAGGAGGAGCAAATGAAATGGGAGGTGAAGAAGAGTGGAGGTGGGTGGCAGAGGGTGAGGATCTCACTCCAGAGCCAACTGGTGAAGCAGTGGGGTAATGCAGCTCCTGGTGCTTCATTCCCAGCATGGGCAGCATCCATGCAGCCCTCTGCAGCAGGGATGAGGTAGGATACCCTGGAAACAGGGCCAAAATGGAGCTGTGGAGAGGCCAGACCCCACCACAGAGGCATTGCCTTGTCCCTGTTACTGGAAGAGCACAAAAAGGAGATGTTGGTACCTTGCTGCTGGTTAATTGCCTCAAACTAGCTGTGTGTAGGGCAAGGTGTGCCCACAGGCACACAGCCCTGCATCCCCTCATCCTGGGGTCTGTTGGTACAGGGCTCTGCACTGCTCATAGCATCCAGCCCCTTCTTGGCATGGAGGAGATGCAGGTGCAAGCAACCAGGATGCTTGCAGCAGTGTGATGCTAATGGGAGGATGTCTTGCAGCTTCTGAGTAAGATGGGGAGAGCAGCTACACAGAGCATGGAACTGGGAGGATGGGACATGGTGGGTGAGAGCAGCACACACCGTGTTAGGAACCCATGTGAGGAGCAGAGGGGTGGCTGTGGCTGTGCTGGGTGTTACACAGCCCATCAGCAACACCTTTACCCCCATGAGGTGGGGGTTCCTCAGTGCTTGCTGTAGCACACACGTGTTGCCTGCTGGGGCTGGTGAGCTGCACCTTGGGCATAGGCTGGGTGTGCTGGGGCAGTGCTGGCATCAGCCTTGGTCCCATCATGCCAGCTCACCAATGCCACCTGCTGTTGCAGGACACCAGCTCCTTCTCCCATCTGGCATGGCAGGATTTGTCCCACCTGCAGAGGAGACTGCCAGCTCTGCCCTTTCCAGCACTGACCTTTCAGAGCTGCCTTTGCAGCGCTTGGATTGCTTTTAGCAATGATTGGGTTGCTAAATGATGCTAAAATCCAATGATTTGGGTTGCTAAAATCCCCCTGCTTGTTACAGAAAGCAGGATCCCCTTTCTGGGCGGGGATGCCAATCCTGACAGTGCATGACTCAGGATGAGGAGGGTGCTCAGTCCTTCCTAGGAACAAGTTGTGTTTGTACAACCCTCCTCTGGGATTAGGAACATTGTTCTGCAGTGCAAATACTGAGCCTGACTCTTGGCCAGACTGTTTTGTTTCTCTTTACAGACGTTGAAGCTGCCAACAGGCAGAGATAGGCCCTTTTTGTGCCCTGAGTTTCTGCATTGTGTATCCTTTCCCCTCCTGCATCCCTCTAGGGTTTTCCATGATGAGCTGTGAACCAGGTGCAGCCCCATCAGTGTGCTCAGTACAGCCAGAATAGGTGGTGGTGGGTGCAGCGCACCCCTCTGAGCCCCTCCTGGTGCCACACAGGCAGCATGGATGGAATAGCAGGCAGCTCAGTGCACAGCTGAGCTTGTTGAACAAAGGCACTAATTAGGCAGGCCACGTTAATTAGCACTGTTGGTGTTCTGGCACTAATGTCTGCACTGTGGGTGCTGCAGGGCTCTGGGCAGGCTGCTGTGGGTGCTGGCACACAGCCTGGTGGTGTCTGCCATCCTGATGGATCAGCACTGCCTTCCCGCTGGCTGCCATGGAGCTGTGCTTCCTCAGGCTCCTCCTGCATGTGCTGGGGATGCTCAATGGTGTGCTTGGGTAGGGAGCAGCTTGTCTGGCTCTCTCCAAGCTCTGCCATGGAGCTGGGCACTGCAGGGCTCCTCTCCTTCCCAGGGCCATGGTTGGGCTTGATCTTAAAGGTCTTTTCCAACCTGGTTGATTCTATGGAGGGATTGAAGGGAGAAGGGGTTGGTTTGGGTCTGGTGTGCACTTCTCGGTCGGTGGGATCGCTTCTCCCCTGGCTTAGGGCGTGCAGTGGCATGGAGTGCTGCGGTACAGAGGGGAGAGATGAGCACTCATCCTTCCCTTCCCTGCCTTGCAGGATGGGATCTGCCTAGGCAAGGGCAGCAGTCCCAGCTGATTCTGATTGCTCTCTGAATGTCCAGCTGTCTGCAGCTGTGTGCGCAGACTATGCCAGTGCCTATGGGATGGGTGGGAATGGGGCGATCCTTGGAGGTTGGAAACCTGCTGCTCCCATAGGGGACCATCTGCAGTAGCAGGGATGCTCTGTGCCACAACCAGAGCAGCAGGTTGCTTGGTTATCCTGCTGGAATGTGGAACAGGGAGAAACCTCGCATCTCGTCTGGTCTTCCTGATCCTTGGGAAGCTGGGGCCAGTAGATCCAGCTTTTCCAAGTCCAGAGGGCAGAGGTGATCAGGGTTGGGTGATTATCCATGGCAATTAGAAACAACCTGTGTCTGGCCTGCAGAGGGTACCAAAGAAAGCCTGCTGCTAACCATATGGCTCGCTTTGGGATACAGAAGGAGGCATGTTACTGCTGCAAGCGCTTGGTTGCCAAGCAAGGATTCAAAACACATCTGTTAAGTGTTGCCTATGGAAAGCCCTTGCTTCAACAAGCAACTTACTAACTACAGGGAGGAAGGGGAAGCATTAAATAAGTTATTCCTCGTTTTGTAAATGGAAGGATGGCAAAAGCTCTTTCACATCCTGGATACATCAATAGCACAGCATTAGGCCAGCTGGTGATAAACAGGACTGGTCAGTTCTGCTATTGTGTTTTCAATTGCTATTGAATCCAGGAAACCCTAGGCACTGAATAGGCTTTGATGATCCCAGGGGATGGCTAGAACAAAGATTTGGAGGCAAACCCTTTGATGAAGCAAATGGTCCAGTAAGGGATTCATGCACTGGAGCACATGTGGCACGTGCCTTGGAGGGTGCTGTGTCTCACAGATGCTTTCTAGCTCTTCCCTGTGCTGCTGGGATCTGGTCTGCCCAGGGAAAAGCCTCTCTGCAGAGCCAGTGGAGGCTGTGTGGGCTTTGCTGCCCTTGCTGAAGCCAAGTCTCAGCATCAAGAGGCTTCCTTGGGAATGGGCGTTCAGGTACTTGCAGCTGGGCACAGATTCTCCTCAAGCATCTGAGCTCCTTTTCCCTGTGCAGACAACTTGAGTGGAGCTAAATGCACTGCAGCATCATCACAGCAAAGTGACAGGAGCAGATCAGAGATTCCCCAGTGCAAACCCATCAGACATGGGGTTTCCTAAGGATGACTGAGGGCTGCATCACCCTCTTCTGCCTGTCTTCATCGCAGTTCCAGCTGGTGAGGTGCTGTGATGCCATTTGCTTTGCCCGAAATCCCTGTTGTACCCCACAAGAGCTTTCTTGTCCTCACTCTTACCCAGCTCTGCCCCAGGGCTGTCGTCTCCTTTTGCTGGTTTGATCTGGATGAGCCTGACCAGCTCTGGACCAGATCATTCTGTTCCTCTGAGCTGCTGCAGAGGAAGGGAGGAATGCACAGCAGGGGCTGCAGGGAAGGAGCATCCTGATGGAGGTGAACTGCTCTAAAGCTGCTCAGATCTGCGCAGCTGGGAGCGTTGTGCCAAGCCCAGGGCAGGCATTGCTCTGATGTAACTCGCCCTCTCTGCTCGCTGCCTTCTCCTTCTCTGTGCAGCTTCTTGGCATTGCTGTGCTCAGCCTACTGCTGGAGGAGACAAGAAGGTCACTTCAGAAAGAGCTGACTGGAAGGCACGGTTCAAGTGGAGAAGGAGCTGGCAAGCTGCACGGGATCCTTGGGAATGAGACCGTGGTTGTTGCCATCGGATACTCGTGGAAGCAGATGGATTTATGGCAGGTAGCAGCTGGCCCTGCTCACGTGGTCCTCTCCAAAACCTGCAGAGATGGAGAAGCTGAAGCCTCTATCTCCCCTGTAACCATGAAGGTCTCTTGGGACTGCAAACCAGAGCCTGGTTCCAACTGCCATGTGTGGAAAGTGCCACCCTGTAGTGGGGGTATCACCTGGGAGCTTGGAGGGCTTCAGGCACAGTAAGCACCAAGCTGAGCTCTGACCATGACCTGAGGTTCAGACTGGTCACATCTCATAACTCATTCCTGCTGCCAGCCCTTGATGTGCTGTGTGTGAGCAAGGTCCCAGCAGAGAGGACTCCTGGACCTGTGTTTCTCCATTGGGAAAGACAAGACCTGGAGCTGCGTTCCCTGTAAGATCTGGTGATGAGGCCTTGAAGCAGCCCCTGGCAGTGCTGAGCTCTTGCCCTGAGAGCCAGGAGGCTGAGGCTTGCCCAGGCTCCTGTTTGTCTCCTGCTCTTTCTTGTATCAGTTCTTGGAAGTGCTTTTCCAGGAGGTTTTGGCATGCTCCTGAAGCGGAGAACACTTGCTTCCGTGTGGAACTTTGGCTTAATGCTTATTGTATCCCATTACCACCTTCCCGGTAAGGGTCTCCAGAGGGTGATCCTCACATGCCCGAGACGCTGAGCATCTCCTCTCCCACCCAGCACCAACCTTGAGAGGGCGCATCCCTTCACCTCCTGAGCTCCTTTTCTTGCTCCATGTGCTCAGTCATCCCCTTGCCCTGCTGCTGCTGCCAGATGTCATGCCTTTGAGGATGGCCAGGAATCATGCCTGAAGACAGCTCATCTGAATGGCTCTCATTTAGGGAAGGCCAGCTCCCAGTCCACCCCCCTGCCTTACCTAACTGGTTTTCCACCCACACCAGTGCTCTGCCTCACTCTTCTATTGCCCCGAGCTAGTTTGTCTGCAGTGAGGAGGCATCTTTCCCCTGGTTGCATCTCCCCAGCTCTCTGTGCTGCAGGGTGACCTTGTGCTCTCTATTGTGGAGCCCTCATAGCACAAGCTGTTTGCTCCTGGCTGGCACAGATCTGCTATCATACAGGTCTTTGCCTGTTGAATGACACCTATGGCATGTGAGCTGTCCTTCCATTCTGCTTCACCGTGTTTGCCTCCAGCATGAGAAGTGGTTATCCATTAAACAGCACCCACACCTTCCTGCTGGTGACATTGTTTTTGGGGGGGGGGGGGGCAGAACAGCTCAGTGCTGGCTCCAGTGTGGCCATCTCTTGATGCACAGCTCTGTCAACCACAGAGTCAGTGCTTGGGAGCACTCTGTCTTCTTTGAAAGCACCAAAGTGGATGGGGAGAGCTGAAGATGCACATTGTGCAGGTACACCCCCAGCCTGGCTGTTGCATGGGGTGATGCTCTGTGTCCACCTGGGAGCTTGGAGTTTGGAGTACCAGTGCTCCCTGTATTAAAGCACATGTTCTGCTTCAAGTTGCTGTGCTAACGCTGGTGTTCTACAGTGGCTTAGAAACCAACTTGAGAGCAAAGCTCTCTGGAGCACAACTCCCTTGCGAGGGGTGTTGGGACAGGTATTTGTGTCTGGCTGCTGCTAGCACTTCCTTTGCTCCCTGCTCTCCATCCTGGTGCTGGCTGGCCAGGATGGAGAACAGAGAAGGACCTTTGCCAGCCTGTCCATCACTGCTTTTCCCCCTAGAAGCAGATGGGGGAAGGAAGAGCAAGATTCCCCCCGGAGCCAAGTGACAGGTCTCTCTTTTGCCTCCTGTTATGTGGAGCCATCAAGTCACTTGTGCTCATGTTTCCTTTCCTAGGCTGGTGGAGGAGCCTGGCAGCCTCCGTGACAGGCCTGATGACCGGTAAGGAGCTCCCCTCCGGGGCCGGGTGCCGTGCGGAGGCATGCGATGCTCGCTGGCTTAGGACAAGCCTTGTGGGGCAGCTCCAGGAAGATGGGCTGGGAGTCGAGGTGTTTGCTTGTGCTCTCAGTGGGAACTTGCTCTGGGTGTTGTGTCGTGTTGGTTGTTAACCCTGGAATGGCTCCAAAGGGACTGAGTGGGCTGCTTGGGTGCCTGTGCCTGGACCGACAGGAAAATGTGACTGTATCGGTGTCCTGTGCTGCAAACAGGTACCTGTTAGAAAGCTGGTTTGGTTTACATCCCTTGTGGCTTGCACTGTGTCTTGCTGGAGGTGAGTGTGTAGAAGCTCAAGAGAAAGGGCACTGTTGTGTGTTCTGCCATGCTCTAAACAGGGCATGAAGCTTAGTGTGTTGTTGGGTGTCCTGGTCAGCTGGGGTGATGTGGGGATGCCTGCTCTCCTGTGACAACACAGGGGGTGCAGTCCTCTCTCCCACTGAGACCATAGCAGCCTTGGGTTGAGTTTGATCCGAGCTAGCCTCTGGTGTGCACAAAGAAAGCCCAGCTGGGACCTGGCTGGCATCGTATGGGGGATGTGGAGAGACCTGGAGCACAGGGCACCAACAGGACCTGTGGGATCTCCCATCAGCAGCACTCGTGGTCCTAGCAATGGCCATTTCTGACAGCAAAGCCTTTGTGGGGCTTGCAGGGATCAGTTGGAGCAGCCTCTTCTTCCCCTTCTAACCCTGACCTCTCTCCTTGGCGTCCTGGCCAGTGACTTGCTTGTCTCCCTTCTCTCTGGCTCACCCTGCACACTGTGCCCATCGTATCTCGTGCCACGTCTGACTTCTCCTCCTCTCTCTTTCTTCTCTCTCTCCTTGTGCAGCGACACCGACTGAGCCAGAAGCAGTGGTGAAGAAGTACCTGGAAGAGCTGAAGGGCTCTCCTGCTGACGAGGTGAGAGGGCAGTGAAGCAAACCCAGCTTGCCCAGTGGCCTCCTCACTGGGGTGCTGTGCAGAGCACAGCGATGCACGAGGATCCTCCTTCCCTGGGCATCCTGTGTGCTAGGTGCTACTGCTTGCAATGGCCCTGTTGGCACTAGGTGGGAAAGCTTCAGCACTCCCTGAAGCCCACATGTGGTAACTGGTGACCTGTTAGGGGACCATGATGGAGAAAGCATGGTGTGGGTTGAAGAGCTAAACCTGCAATGCTTTCCCATTTCCTTTGGAGATGGCTGCAGGGCCTGGGGTAGAGGAGGGAGTTTTGGGCTCTTCTCAGTGCTCAGAGATCAAACCCCTGCACTGGAGCTGCTCTGGAGAGAAGCAGGACATCCCTTTACTCAGTTCCCACTCATTCCCTATGGCTGGTGGCAGCTCTCTTCCTGTGCTGTCCAGGAGGTGATGGGAGTGGGGTGATACCAGCCAGAGGAGGAAACCTGTCTCTGTGCCCCTAAACCTCAAACGGGGGGGTTCAAGTTGAAGGCACATCCTCCTGCAGCATCTCCTTTATCCCTTCCTTGGTGGGTCAGTCATGATGAGCCTGCGCTTGCACTGCACAGTGGTTTTCTCCTTGCTGTCAGGACTGCATCATCTGCATGGAGAAGCTGTCCTCCCCCTCAGGTTACGCCGATGCCTGCGAGTGCAGCACGATCAAGCCAGAGACTGTTGGTCGCCTGACAAGCTGCCAGCACTGCTTCCACATGCTCTGCATGCTGGCCATGTATTCCAGTGGGAACAAGGTACCGAGCTGGCTTCTCCCCACCACATCCCCTGTGTCCATGTGATGGCTGTGGGGCTCTGATGCCCGTTTGTCTCTGCTCATAGGACGGCAGCTTGCAGTGCCCCTCTTGTAAAACCATCTATGGGGAGAAAACTGGTACTCAGCCCAAAGGGAAGATGGAGGTGTCCACGTTCCCCCAGTCCCTCCCGGGCTACAGGGACTGTGGGACGATCCAGATTGTATATCACATCAGCAGAGGCATTCAGGTGAGTGCACGGCCCTGTTGGGTGGCACGAGCTACGTGAGAGCCTCCCAGTGAAGCACTGGGCCCCAGTACTGCACCTGCTGGAGCCCATCACTGAGCAGCCCAAGGTGCCAGCAGCTGCACTGGCTGTTCTTCAATGTGTGGGTGACTTGGAAGGTCTTTACCCACTTTGAGAGTGGCTCCAGGGTCTACAAGAGCCTTTCACCCTGTAGTCAAGACTGCTGCCCATGTGAAGCAAGGAGGAGACCCAGCCTGTGCTCACAAGGTGGGAGAGATCCCAAGGTCTGGTTTCACAACCCACATCTGTGGTTTTGGTGGCTGCAATGAGCCTGCCAAGGTTTGAGCTGGGTGGATTACTTAGGGGGTCAGCAAACCACATGGAAAAACTCCAGTTTGGGGCTTTCTTCCTACCAGAATCGGGGCAATCTGAAGGCTGTCCCAGCATCTCCTCGAGGAGATGCTTTGTATCCCAGTACAAGATTGCCCTTGGAGGTCCCATGTCCCATAAAAACAAGTCAGATCTCATACTTATCATCAGCAATCCCTTGCTCCTTTTGGATAGAAGTGCTGGTTTGAGGTGTGCCCATGTCAAATCCTTCTGCTCATCCTAAATCCAACTCGTGAAGATGGATGTATCCATGACAATTTGTCTTATCTGTTGCAGGGCCCTGAGCACCCCAACCCTGGGATGCCATACACAGCAAGAGGCTTTCCTCGCTACTGTTACCTGCCAGACAACGAGAAGGGCAGGAAGGTGAGGAGTTACACCCTGATAACATGGCCCTTCTCACCTTGTCTCTTGGCCCTGGCTTGGTGCATCAGCACAACAGGGTTGCTGTCCTCATGATGCTCACCAGCTCTTGTAGCTGTTCTCATTGTTTGTTCCTTATGTGTTTGTAATCCCTCTGTTCCCATGCTGCTGTCTGACTGTGAAGGCTTGTTCTCCTTCATCCCTTTACTAAACAAAACCCCATCTGATCCTTTGGAAAGACAGTCCTGGCCTGTCTTGGGCTGTGCCGTTACAAGGGTTTGCACTGTATGGCTCTTCCCATCCCCATGGGTGCTCTGGGTGGTGGTGTTTGTCCCACCTTGTGCCAGTGAACTCCTGGAAGACCAGCACGTGTAGGGAATGGTCTTTCCCACTGGAACACCACAGGGGTAACTGGGAGGTGAAGGAGACCCCTTCTGATGCTGGGATCCTTGCTTTCCTCCTGGAGCAGGGATTTAGGCAGCAAGCTGCTCGCATGGCTCAGGTCGCCCACCTGCTGAAGCTTTGGCTCTTCCCTTCCCACCTCCAGGTCCTGGAGCTCCTGAGGGTGGCCTGGAAGCGCCGCCTCATTTTCACAGTGGGCACCTCCAGCACCACGGGCGAGAGCAACACCGTGGTGTGGAACGAGATCCACCACAAGACGGAGAGGGACACAAACCTCAGTGGCCACGGCTACCCGGACCCCAACTACCTGGACAACGTGTTGGCAGAGCTGGCTGCACAAGGGGTCACTGAGGACTGCCTGAGACAATGAGCTGGGGGGGGAGCCTGGCTGTGCCACCTCATGCACTTATTCCTGTTGCCTTAAGTCCAATCGAGCAATAACTGCACTGCTGGATCTCTGCTGCCTCCTGTGGTCTCCTTTTGGGCTGAGGGAAGGGTATTGTAGAAACTGCACTTGTGTCTCTGTGGGGGGTTGATGGTGACAGCCAGGATGGGCTGGGGCAATGGGCATGAGGTGATGGAGCCCCTTGTAAAGGCAGGAGCTTGGGCTGGGGACAGGATGGGGATAGGGGAGCATCTTGCTCCCATTAAACCACCTGGAAAGCAAATAAAGGCCTCCCTTGCACACAGCAGCTCCCTGTGTGGGGGGCACCTCTGAGGGTGAAGCCTCCTGCCCCTGTGCCAGCTTGGTTGTAATAAACACTTCATTTCCATAGCCTTCAAGCTACCTGGAGGGGGCTTGGGCTGCCTCCCCTCTTGGTGGCTCTCTAGGGACCAGGCTGCTCTATGGATCCGGGGACACTCAATCCAGCCAGGAGAAAGGAGGGAAAGCTCAGCTCTGCTGGGGCAGGAGTTGGGTGCAGGGAGGAGGCTGCTGTGCTCTGTGTGCTGCAGGGACTGCTGGTGCCACCCTGTGGTGACGGCCCCCTTCCTCTGCTGCCGTGGCAGGGATGCTTTCCAGCAGGAGCATGCTCTGGCTGTTCCAAAGGGGATGTTGCCCCAGTCCTGGTGGCTTTGCTGCGTGTTGTCACCTGGTAGCTGGAGCATTTCCAAGAGCTGTTTCTGGCCACCAGCCCCACCTGTAAGTCCCACATCAGAGGCCTTGGTGCATTTGCCAGCTTGCCCGCTTCATGGGAGAGCCGGGATGTGGTTGTACTTCACGGTAGCTCTGTCTTGTCCTCCTGTGACCAGCATGTCCTGGTCATGCCAATACAAAACCAAAGGGGGTTTTGGATCTGTCCCTGTTGTTATCTTGTGCTTGCAGCCTCCTGCTTCCCCTCTGTCAAAGGCTTTAGGGAGAAAACCCTCAGCCATCCGGAGCACTTCAGGGGTGCTGCAAGGATGGAAGCTCCTGCAGCAGCAGGTGGGTGCCTGCGTGCTCCTGCTCTCTGCCCCAATGGGCTGTGCCCGCTCCTCTCCTGCCCTCATTGCGGAAGGGAGAGGTTTCGAGTGCAGACTTCAGCTTTTTGTCACCCTCGGCTCCAAACTGCAGTGGAAATGGAGCAGAGCTCGCTCAGCCCTGCACAGAGCCAGAATTTCCTGCTCTGTGCCCAGTGTGAATCAGCTGGAGCCTCCCTGCCGCTGGGCTGGTGGGGCTCTGCTGCTGTCACCATAGGAGTGAGGCATCTCCTAAAGCCCTTCCCACGTCAAGGGTGCTCTTAGCCCCCTGGTAAGGAGATGCAAGTGGCGAAGGGGTGGAAAGCAGCAGAGCTTTCCCCCACCAGGGACCACAGTGGGCAGAGATGCTTCAGAGCTGGTCCCTGCTCTACCCTGGGGCAGCATCTGGTAGAAGAGGACTCCAGGGCCCCCATGCCTTGGAGCTGGAGGGGACAGAGCCTGAATTAAGTGTTGCTAATGCTACCAGACAGGTCTGACTGTGCTGGTTGTGAGCCAAGCCTTGACCCCACAGGAATGCTGGTACCAGCACTGAAACTGTGACTCACGGTCCCCCTGAGTCACACCCAGAGAGGAACAGGGGGGACCAAGGGGGCAGATTGGGGCTGGCACATCCCCATGGGCATCTGCTGCCAGAGGCGACCTTGAGGCAGGAAGATGGGGAATGAGGCAGGGATTGGAAGAGGGAGGAGGGATGGGGGCTGCAGCTGGATGCTGTAATCTTTGGGTGCCCCATTTCCACTTAATCCGAAGGCTCTGTCCCAGCCCCTTTGGGAAGGGGGGGGGAATCCCTTCCCACACAGCCACTGCCCTTGGCAAACACTGGAGAAGGAGCACTTACACCCTCTGCAGTGGGAGCAAGTGGGGGGCAATGGGGAGGGCTCTGGGCCAGCCCCATTGCAGGGTCATGGGTCCTGTCCCCAGGGACCAAGGAGCTCTTCCCCAGCCCTGGATGGAAGGGGCAGTGTCAGGGTGGGGTGGGACAGCTCTGCCCTGCACACGGCTGGGTTGGGTGAGCTCAGGGTGCGATGGCTCCCCAGCACTCCCTTGCCCTTGGGCAATGCTGCCGGCACCCGGAGCCAGCGGGCGCATCCCTCACGCTCCATGGGCACAAGGCATGCACAGGGCACCAGGGCTTGGTGTGGGAGCAGGGCCACTGCTACGGCTGCATCTAAGGCCACAACCCAGGCGTTGGCTCCTGCCAGCCCATCCTCGAACACGGCTCCGGTGCCTCCTTCCTACCTCTGTTTCCTTTTGATATAGAATCACAGAATGGGTTGGGTTGGAAAGGACCTTGAGATCCTCCAGTTCCAACCCCCTGCCATGGGCAGGGACACCTCACACTAGACCATGGCACCCAAGGCTCTGCCCAGCCTGGCGTTGAACACTGCCAGGGATGGGGCATTCACCTCTTCTCTGGGTACCCGGTGCCAGGGCCTCAGCACCCTCACAAGGAAGAACTTGTTCCTTATCTCCACCCTGAACTTCCCCTGTTTCAGTCTGAACCCCTCACCCCTTGTCCTGTCACTACAGTCCCTAATGAATATCCCCTCCCCAGCATCCCTAAAGGCCCCCTTCAGACACTGGAAGGCTGCTATGAGGTCTCCATGCAGCCTTCTCTTCTCCAGGCTGAACAGCCCTGATGTTCTCAGCCTGGCTCCATATGGGAGCTGCTCCAGCCCCTGAGCATCCTCCTCTGGACTTGCTCCATCAGCTCCATGTCCTTATGCTGGGAACACCAGACCCGCACACAGTCACATCGTTGTCTGTGCCCCCCATCCTCACAGCGCTCCCTGGTGCCTCAGCTCCGGTATCCATCGGGATGGCTCCGGAGGGGTTTTGTCCCCGGTGACCTGGGTTCTGCAGCCGGTTCCCTTTGCCGCGGGGTCCGGTGGGGCCGGCAGAGCTGGTGCAGGAATGCTGCTGGCTGGGAGGGCCCGGCTCCGGGGGCAGCTCATCCCCTCCACACCGGGACAGGGTGAGCAGAGCCGGCACCACGCCATGGAGCTGCTGCGGCTGCTGCTGGCGCTGGCTGGGACCGGCACAGCCACGGGCCTGGGTGAGCGCTGCAGGGACAGGGGATCAGGGGGCTGCGAGGGTTCCCTATGGGTCTGTGTGCCGGGGAGGGGGTTATGGGCTGGGCACGGCTGGGGATGCTCATGGGGATGCAGGACGGGGGCAGCACTTGCTCAGTGCCCGCTCCCGCAGCCCTGCTGCCCTACGTGCCCCATGTACCCACCGCGGCCCTGCCGGGGAAGCTCACGGCCACCACCTTCGCTCTGGAGAGACCCTGCTGCATCTTCGACCACGAAGCCAACGCTCCCGATGCCGTGTGGCTGGTGGTGGCGTTTGCCAACGGTGAGTGCCGCTGCCCCGGCGTGCGCTCCCTCCCCATGGGGGTACAGGGACCCTCACCCCCATGGGTGCTGTGCAGCCTCGGGCGCCTTCAGGAACCCCCCATCCCGTGCTGACGTGCCCCTGTACGAGCGGCTGCCCACGGCGCACTCCTACATGACGCTGGAGACCCCGGTCCATGCCTTCGCCTGCCCAGCACCGAGTCTGGCCCCGCTGCGCGTTGGGGGGGACACAGCGTGCGGGGGACAGGAGCCCTGCAATGGGCCCCTGCCCTCCCCTGGGCCATATAGGTGAGGCTGGCAGGATGGGACCCCCGAATCCCACCCTGGGTAATTCCGGGCTGGATTCAGGGGGTTGGAACTGGATCTTAAGGTTCCTCCCACCCCAATCCATCCTGTGATTCCATGGTTCTCTGTGCCCATCCCACCCCTGGTGTCACCGCCGCTCCCGTCCCGCAGGGTGAAGTTCCTGGTGATGGGCTGCCACGGCCCCAGAGCAGAGACAAGGTGGTCTGAGCCCATCCTCCTTCGCAGAGGTACCAGTGGCACTGCTGCCCCCCCACCCCTGCCTGGTCGGGATGCTGGCACAGCATCAGCCCTATGCCATCACCCCAAAGCCTGTCCCTCCCCTTCCTATCGCACCATCCCTGTGTCCCTGTTACCCCTCATCCCATCTCCTTCCAGCCAGCAGCCTCAGCACCATCGACCCCATGCCCGCGCACCGCAGCAGCACCGTGGTGGTCATCTCCTCCATCCTCGCCAGCCTGGGGGCCGTGCTGGCCGCCGCGGTGCTCGGTGCCTTGGGGTACGGGTCTGGATGGGGACGTGTCCATGGGGATCCTGGGGGGACTCCCCCTCACTGGCCCCATCAGCAGAGAGATGGGGTTAACCTTTAAAGAGCCTTGATTTACTCGAACCGGGGGGGTGCCATAGCTTCCTCAGGAGAAAGGGCTCCCGGGTGATGGTTGGAGTCGGTGGGGACCCCCCGGACCCCACTTGACACCTCTGCTCCTCTCCCCTCCAGCGCCAAGGTGTGGGGGTCCCTGCGCCGCCGGGATTCAGGGACCAGCACCCACAGATCCTACAGGACCCACCACATCCCCCCAGCGCTGTCCCGGCCCCCCGGATGCCGCTGCAGCCCCCCGGGGCTGGGCTGCTTTGCCCCCAGGCCTCCTGCTCCGTGTCCTGCCGAGTAAACTCTCGCTTCACACCCGCATCGCCTCCTCCTCTGTGGCCAAGGGAGGATGCTTCGGGGCGCCGGGTACCCCCAGAACCCACCCGTGGCCGGGCTTGGTGGCACTTGGTGTTTGTTTGGTGTTTGGGGGGGGGGCTGTGTCACTCGTGCCGTGAGCGCGGCGGTTCTCAGCGCGCCCGCCGGCGGGCGCTCACCTCCAAGCGATGCTCCCTGGGGAAACGGGCTGGACCAGTTTGCTACGGGGCTGTGGCCAGCGCTGGAATGCGGGTGGTTGGGGCCGCAGGCGGGTCTGGTGGGGACACGGAGCTCACCCGCCCGCATTGCCGCCCTCGGCACCCAGGAGCCCGCACGATGCTCCCGCTGCTCCTCCTGCTCCTGGCGCCGGCCCGAGGCCAGGGTGAGTCCGACAGCGCGGGTGGGATGGGATCGGGTCCTCAGTGTCCTGCTTGCGGGGGTCCCCTGTGCACAGCACCAGGATCCCCGCTGGACCCGGAGGTGCGGAGCAGCTGATGCCCCCCTATGCTGGGTGCCACCTCCGGTGTCCCTGGTGTCACCTGAGGTCCGCCCAGTGTGGGGTCCTATGGGACGGGGTGGTGTCTTTGCTCCCTCTTTTCATGTGTCTGAGCCCAAAATGAGGGATGGGAGAGGAGAAGGGGGGGACACGACACAGCCGGGTTCAAAGGAGCAGCTCCCTCTGCCCCTGTGCCCCTGTGAGGGCCCCCCCCCTGCGCTGCACCCGCCCGCCTTGTCTCCTCCCGCAGACCCGCAGCTGTACACCCCGGCCCTGTCCAACCGGGCCCTGGGGGGGCTCACGACCGCCTCCACCTTCGTGCTGGACCAGCCCCGCTGCGCCTTCCCCGACTCGCTGAGCGACGCCGTCATCTGGCTGGTGGTGGCCACCCAGCAGGGTGCGCAGGGGTCCTGGGGGTGCGCGCAGGGCTCCCCCCGTGCACCCCGCGGTCCCTCCTCACCCCATCCCCATCCCTGCAGGCGCATCCAGCTTCAACAGCACCCTGGAGCCGGGGTCCCCGGGCAGGGCGTACCAGCTCTTCCCGGGCAGCACCTCTGCCTACATGACCCTCAACACCACCCTCCTCAACTACCCCTGCCCCAAAGCCGACGGGGAGATCGCGGTGCTGCGCGTCGGCAGCGAGACCAGCTGCCAAAGGGATAACACCAGACCCACCTGCAACGGCCCCCTGCCCAGCCCCGGGCCGTACCGGTATACCCATCCCCATAGCCTGCTCATGGGGACACCCCCCACGGGGGGTGCTGGCAGCCCCCCGAATCACATCCACCCTCCCATCCCATCCCAGGGTGAAGTTTGTCGCCTGGGATAACTCCGGTCCTGTGGCTGAGACAAAGTGGTCAGAGCCTATCTACCTGAGGACAGGTACCAGGGGGCTCACCCTGCCCCTTGCACCCATCCCACACCCCTCGGGTTGGGGGGCGCAGGGTGGTCGTGGGAGGGGGCTGGATGCTGAGCACCAGCATCTCGGGGTTCAGCTCTCCTGCGAGCAGCGGGGGGAAACTGAGGCAGGGCACTGCCTGATGGCGCCGTGCGAGGGCACATCGTGTCCGCACGGTGCAGTCGCACACCGGTTACCCACAAACACACCGGGGTGCGCATCCTGCTCCCTCCCCAGCCACGCCATCTAACAACATCCCCCGGCCGGACCGCGGGCACAGCGCTGCCATGATCGCCCTCACCTCCATCCTCACCATCCTCTTCGCCGCCCTGCTGGCCGGCCTGGTGGCCATGCTGGTGTACTGGGGGTGAGTATCACCCCGGTGTCCCATCAGGAGCCGCCACGGGTGATGCATGTCACAGGGTGACACCGGCACCCCCTTTCCCCCCCCATAGCTCGGATGCCTGCGGTGTCAGCAGCACCTTCAGCAAGCCCGAGGCAGTGACGGTGCAGCGGTACAACACACACCACGTCTATGACCACCCCCCCGCCCGGCTCTGAGCCCCCGCCGCGGCCCCACGCTCCTCCCCGGTGCCGGTGGCACGATGCCCGCTGCCTCCGGGGCACGGCCGGAGCTGCGCTGGAGCCGGGCATTAAAGGCCTTTCCGCATGCTTTGTGCCCAGCCTCTGCCTCCTGTGTGTGGTTCCTGCCCCCCGGAATGCCCCCCGCAGCCCCATCCCAATGTGCCCCTCCAGGGCTCTGAGCCCCACCGCTGGGTGCGGCCCGGCTGCCCCTAGGGCAGGATGTGCCCGGCGATGCTCTGGAGTGGAAGAAGCATTTTCACACCCAGCTTGGGGATTGGGGCGTCACCTGCACCCGCTTCCGATGGGGGAATTCCCTGCGGGGTGAGGCAGAGAGGGGATCCTGACCCCCAGCAGCCCTGGTGCTGCGGTGAGAGGCACCGAAATGCCCCCAGGAGTGAGGGGGGGTGGGTATAAAGGGTGTTTGTCCCCATTCCCCTTCACCCCACAGTGATTTCTCCCTTCCCCAAACACAGACTAGGGGCTCATTCACCCAGAACCGGCCCAATCCTTCCTGGGTGCTGCTGGTGGTCCCCTGCCAGCCAAGAGATGGCAAGAGGGGACCGGCAGTGGGGCCTGGTTCTGCACCACGGTCGGGGGGTCTGATCCTGTAACTGGGAGCTGTGGGGTCCTGATCCAGCATTCCTGATCCTGCAGCAGGCTCTGGGACCCTGATCCTGCAGCCTGGGCAGGATGAGACCCTCTAGTGCTAAGGACAAGCGGAGCAGAGAACCGTGCCTCCCTTTAAGTGGACTCAGGGCGGGTGTGCATATACATATACACAACATACATATACACATCACATACATGTACACATCACTTACATATACACATCACTTACATATACACATCACCCACATATATACACCACACACATATATACATCACTTACATATACACATCACTTACATATACACATCACTTATATACACACATCACCCACATATATACACCACACACATATATACATCACTTACATATACACATCACATACATATACACATCACTTACATATACACATCACCCACATATATACACCACACACATATACACATCACTTACATATCACACACATATACACACCACATACATATACTCATCACACACATATACACACCACATACATATACACACCACACACATATACATATCACACACATATACACATCACATACACATCACACACATATACACATCACACACATATAGACACCACATACATACATTAACCCCCCGTATCTCCTTCAGGCTCCTCACAAAGGGCAGCACACGTTTACACCGGCTCCATGGTCACAGCGCCCTTACCGAGCACCCTCCCGCTGCCCGGGCCCGGTGTTAGCAACCTGCCCCCCCGCGCTGCGCTGCCAGGAGCGGCCTCCATGGAACACAGCCAAGGAAAGGCACCAAAGCCGGGATTAACTCCTGCGGATCCCGGCCCCGGCACAGCCAAGGGATGGTGTCACCGGCAAACAGGGTCACCCCCAGCCCGTCCCGTACCCTGAGCTCAAACACCCGTTTCAGCAGCCTGTCCCCTGTCCATGGAGCTGGTGTAAATGTGGTGCTGCCCTTCGCTAGGAGCCTATGGGGAAAATATGTGTTGAGTACATGTCAATATATGTATGTGGTGAGTATATGTATGTATGAATATATGGGGAAAATATATGTATGTGGTGAGTACATGTCAATATATGTATGTGGTGAGTATATGTATGTATGAATATATGGGGAAAATATATGTATGTGGTGAGTACATGTCAATATATGTGTGTGGTGAGTATATGTATGGGATGTGTGTGTGTATATTGGATGTGTATATGTGTGTGATGTATGTATATATGTGATGTGTATATGTATGTGGTGTGTATATGTATGGGTTGTGTATATGTATGTGACATGTTTATGTATGTGATGTGTTTATGTATGTGATGTGTGTATATGTATGTGGTGTGTTTATGTATGTGATGTGCGTATATGTATGGATGTGTATATGTATGGATGTGTATATGTATGGGATGTGTATATGTATATGCACACCCTCCCTGAGGCCACTTAAAGGGAGGGGCTGCGGTTCTCTGCCGTGCTTGTCCTCAGCACTAGAGGGTCTTATCCTGCCGGAGGTGGGACGTGTGCCCCTGACCGTGTGCAGGGCTGGAGCTGACGCCCGGGGAGGTGTGAGCGACGGCGGCAGGGGGCCTTGTCCCTTGTTCCATGTGCGGGGGCAGCAGAGGAGCAGCGCGGGAGGACGGGGCAGCGTGTCCCCATAGTGTCCCTGTAGCGTCCCCGTGGTGTCCCTATGGTGTCACTGTGGTGTCCAGGCATAAATGCCAAGGACCAGCGGTGTCCTCCAGCAAGGCGCTGAGTCCCAGCTCCGGTCTTGAGGATGGGGTTCCCCATCTGCCCTTCGCTATCGATGGCACCAGTACCCCCGAAATGCCACCAGCCCCTCCGCGGGTGCTGCAGCTGGGGGGGGGGTATTAAATAAATAAGAAAGGGTCAAAAGCCAGAACAAGGTGGGTTTGGGGCACGGGAACGGCCGGGGGATGCAGGGGGACCCCGGCACCGCGCAGAACCGACGCCCGGGGTACCCCGCCAAGCCCCGCCTACAACACAGAAGCCACGCCCACAATCCCCACTAACTCCCAATCGTGGCTGGGGGAAACCCACTAAGCCACGCCCATTATCCCGCCCCGCGCTCTGATTGGCTGCTGGCTGCTCTGGTCCGCACATGGGAGCGGGGCTGGGGGAGCCGCGGGTTCGAGGCTGCGCTCGGCTCCGTTGCGCTCCGCTGCCCGCCCGCCCGCCATGGCCCGGCGCAGCGCGCTCTCCATCCGCATCGTGGAGGGCAAGAACCTGCCCGCCAAGGACATGTGAGTGCCCCCAGGGGGGGTGTGGGGGGGGAGCTTGTCCTGGAGGGACCCCTCCTGCCGCGGGGTGTCCCCGCAACAGGTCCCTGTGCTTTGGGAGCACCCTCAGGGCTGTCCCCCAGCGGTGCGTGTACGCCGGGGTTGTCCTCAGGGGGGCTTTGCGATGCCCCTTGCATTGGGGTTTCCCCCCCCGGGGTGGCTTTGTGGTGTCCCCCCTGCTTTGGGGGTTTCTTCAGAATGGCTGGGGGTCCCCACAGCAGTGGTTGTGCTCTGGGGGGGTCCCTCTAGGATGGCTTTGGGGTGTTCACACAGCAATGGGGGTTCTCCTCAGGGTGGCTTTGGAGCCTCATTGCACTGGGGGCTCCTCCTAGGATAGCTCTGAGTGCCCCCAGCAGTGCTTTGGGGCCCCTCAGGAGCGCTGTGATGTCCCCCCTGATTTGGGGGTGCCCTCTGGGGTGGCTTTGGGGTTCCCTCCCAGGAGCACCCAGTGCTATGTGTGGTGTCCCAAGCAGTGCTTTAGGGTACCCTGCCTCTTTGGGGGGCTCCCCTTGTGCTGCCCTGGGGCAGAGCTGTCCCCAGCACGCACCCCACTACCTGCAGCTGGGTCTTTTGCAGGGACCCCAAAAGGAGCTGGGAGGACCCTGGGGCTCCATTCCTCCCCCTGGCTGAAGCCTGGCTGTGGTCCGGGGGGGATCTGCTGGCAGCCCCTTGGGTCCGGCTTTCCCTCCACGTATCCCAGCATTATCCTCATCACTCTGACCCTTACGTGGTAGGATGTGGGCACAGTGTTGGGGTGGGATTGAGGGGAAGATCAAGACAACAGGAGGCTGTTGAGGAGCACTCAGCAGCAGGGCAGGGTCAGGACTCCTGGAAAAGCAGCAAAAATCCCTGCAGCCGTCATGGAAAAAGAGGATAAACAAGGAAAGAAACATGACTTTTGTTTTATTTCCTTTCTTTTTTTAAATCCCGTGTGTCACAGCCTGGTTTTTAAATCCCTTTGGCTCAGCTCCCTGCGGGCAGGCTCTGCTTTAGAGGGCGTTATGGGGTTTAGGAGCCTGTTGCCGCTGTGCAATAACGCCCTGAGCGGAGCTTTCCGGACCGGTGCCTCTGGGACGTGGCTTTGGGCAGGGAAAGGGAAACCCGAGCGCCGGATCCGGGCAGGATCACCCGCTGCCGCCTGACCTTGGCCGCCGTCCCCCTCCTCGCCGATGGGAGCCGGTTCCTTGGCTCCGTCCTGGCACCTCCTTCGGGATCACCGCTGCTTTCCCAGCGGGAATCCCTCTGCGCGTGTTTACAGGTCGGAAGCACCCGTGGGTCATGGGGCACCCCCAAACCCTTGTGGGACCCCCCCAGGATTCAGCACAGGGAGCAGCAGGGGCAGGGTTCGGGTGCTGTTGCTGTGATTTGTGGCTGTCCCTGCTCCAAGGAGCTGTGTGTGCCACCACCACCAGCATCCCTGTGACTGCGGTGGGGCTCAGTGCCACGCTCCTCACTGGCTGTGCCCATGGGTCTCCCATCTCCCCCTGCTACCAAAGGGCTGCTGGTTGGTTTTGCCTCCCACGCCAGAGCCTGCCCTATGCTGAGCTTGGCGCCGTGCAGCCACGGAACCATGGAACTGCCCATAAAGAGGCAGGAAACCTGCTCCTGCTGCTGCCAAACTCCAGTGCCAGAATCCGGGCAGGCGGGAAGAGCTGCAGCAGCTCCGGCTCAGCCCTGGGTGCGTTCTGCCCCTGTGTCCCCTTCCAGGATGCAGTGGGAGCATCAGCCCCCTCCCAGCTGAGTACTTCACAATCCTTTCCCTCCATCTCCGTTGCAGGAAACCAAGGGAAATAACCTGATTTGATTGTATTTTATTGCCCCCCATTCCCAAGGGCCGGACAAAGCAGCGCCACTGCACCAGTGGATGCTTAATCACAGATTCAACCCTCAGCCCCCAGTGCTGGGGTGGATGGCAGCGGGGATCACACACACGTTTCTTCCCCTTCCCCCCCTTATTCATGCTGTGCTATGAAGCTTTAAACTTCAATCTTCATTTCCTCTTTTTAAAGCCCAGCCTTCCCCTTTCCACACGGCTCATGGCACCCCCGTCCCAGGCGACATGGAGCAGCCCTTGTGCTGGAACACCCCCCTGTTAAGGACAAGGTTTTCCTGCTGTCAGCATCAAGCAGCTCCCATCTAAAGCCTGCCCTGTGTTGCTGGGCACGGCTGGAGCAGGCAGATGTTCCCTTTCTGCCTGCCTGCTCCCTGCCCGCCCCATGGTTTGCATAAGGCAGGAAATGTCAGCGACAGGCTCGAGTTAACGACGCCTCATCCCCTGCTCTCATTAAAATCCTCTGCAGAGGGTGGCTGGAGCGGAGCTGCTAATGGCAACCTGCCTGCATCCTGCGGGGACCGAGATGATGGAGCTGCCTGGGGATGGGGATGCTAGTGTGGTACCCGGGATGCGCAGCACAAAGAACACCCCCTGCACCCGTGTGTGGGAGGGCACAAAGCACCCCAAACCCTTTCAATACCTTAAATCCCTTTAATCCCCCATCATCCCCCCCCCCCCTCCCCCCAGCAGCTGGCTCTCAGCCTCCCTGCTTTTGGGATGGGGACATTGCTCTGTGCTTGATGTCCCTGCCTGCAGCCGAGTCACCTCATTTCTGATGCTCTGGGGCAATAACCTATAAAGCAGTGATTTCTCTTTCAGCAGCAGTGCTCAGGAGCCATGATTTGTGATGTCCCGAGGGAGGAAGTGGGGTCAGAGCATCGTGGTGGCTGCCAACAGCCCACGCTGTCTGCCCTTTGCACCCTCTGCATCCCTGGGGATGTCCCCATCCCTATGAAGGTGTCAGGGCTCCGGGTGTAACCTGGGGCTGCCATGGCCTCGCTCCAAGTGTGTTCAATGGGGCTGCGGGTGCCTGGAGCCACTCTGATAAAGGGTGGTTTGTTTGTTCTTGGCTTTCCCACCTGGCAGAGGAAAGCCTCTGCTGGTTGCCCACGGGATGCGGTGGCCGGACAGGCTCATGGATGTGTTCTATGGGCTGGGAGCAAAGTGGGGTCACCACGTGCTGCAGCTCTGGCCAAATCCACCTGCTGAAGCCTTTGCCTTTGGGGTGTCTCCATACCCCAACACCCCACGGTCCCTGCAAGGGGCACTTGTGAGGTCCCCCATCTATGGGGTGGTTTGCCAGGGCTGAAGGCTTTGGTTGCCCATCACCATGCGAGCCCCATGGGGTTGGGGTCCGGGGTCAGGGCCATTGGCTGGTGGCCCTGACAGAGCCGTGCCCTGTCCTTCCAGCACAGGGAGCAGCGACCCGTACTGCATCGTGAAGATCGACGATGAGGCCATCATCAGGTGAGCGGCTCCATGGCCCTGACTGGTCCTCAGGTGGGCTGGAACACACTGCTCCTGTGGGTTCTTCCAGCCACTCTGCTGCAGGCCTATTATTGTTATTACTATTATAGCCTATTACTATTATAGTTTATTACTATTATGTTCTTAATGATAATATTATAATAATATAACTAATTATTATAATTCCTTAATTAATATAGATGCGGTGCTTAAGGGCACTGTTTAGTGGCAAACTTGGCAGTACTAGATTAACAGTTGGACTTGATGATCATAGAATCATAGAACAGTCAGAGTTGGAAAGGACCTTAAGATCATCCAGTTCCAACCCCCCTGCCATGGACAGGGACACCTCGCACTAAACCCTTTTCCAAGCTAAATGATTCTATGAGTCTATGAATTAACTCCAGGCACAGCTCACAGCCTTGCCCCATGTCTTGCCAGCCCACAGCCACAGAACAGTGACAGGGAGCCATCCCCTGCCCCACCTGAGGGTTCAGATCTGTGGGTGCTGCCCCAAGCTCTGTGTCCTGGGCAGCTCATAGGGCTGGGGAAGTGGGGAGTGCCTCAGTGTGGAGCCCCCATCCCCTCCATCACCAGTGCCATCTGCCCCACAGGACTGCCACGGTGTGGAAGACACTGTCCCCGTTCTGGGGCGAGGAATACGAGGTGCACCTCCAGCCCACCTTTCACAGCATCTCCATCTATGTCATGGATGAGGATGCGCTCAGGTAAAGGCAGGTTGGCTGTGAGACACTGGTGGCTTTGGCTGCCTGCGTGCTCAACCCTATTGTAGACACCAGAGAATCCACACCCGGCCATGCTGGCTTGGGCTTTGGGACGCAAAGGGGTGAAGTTGTTTTTGCAGCTGGCAGCAAAGGGTGGCTGAGGTGCTCCATGGGGACAGACACACTGTGGTGGCCCCGGCGGAGCAAGTGGGCTCCATTCTGTTCCATTCCATTCCTGATCCCACACCACGTCCTGATCCCGGCTTTTGTCCTCCAGCCGCGATGATGTTATCGGGAAGGTCTGCATCACCCGGGACATGCTTGTGGAGCACCCCAAGGGTAAGGTGATGAGCGATCAGTAGGGACCCATCTCCCACCCCTGTGATGAGCAGGACCCCAGGGTCCCCTCAATGATCCCCCATGAGGGTCCCTGTTTCCCGCAGGATACAGCGGCTGGATGAGCCTCAGCGAGGTGGACCCCGATGAGGAGGTGCAGGGGGAGATCCACCTGCGGGTGGAGGTGGTGGGGGGCCCGGAATGGCGGCTGCGCTGTGCTGTGCTGGAGGCCAGGTGAGGAGGGGACAGGGACAGGGACAGGGTCCGTGTGTGCAGCGCGGATGTGTCCGTGACTCGGTTTCCCCATTGGAATCAGGGTGTTCTCAGGTACCCGCCCTTGGGTGCAGAGCATCCTCTACCCAATGGAGACCCTGGGGCAGGGTCCACCTCATCTGTACGGTGTGCATCTGCAGATAGAACCATGGAATGGGTTGGGTTGGAACGGGCCTTGAAGCTCATCCAGTTCCAACCCCTGCCATGGGCAGGGACACCTTCCACTAGAGCAGCTTGCTCCAAGCCCCATCCAACCTCGCCTTGAACACTGCCAGGGATGGGGGCATTCACCACTTCTTTGGGCAACCCATTCCAGTGCCTTATGATGCTGGGGAACCGAGGAGGGCAGTGGGTGCCCATAGTGATGTTGCTGTTAAATTCCCCCTCTTCTCGGCAGGGATTTGGCCAGGAAGGACAGGAATGGTGCCTCCGACCCTTTTGTCCGCTTGCGCTACAACGGGAAGACACAGGAGAGCACAGTGAGTACAACTTCAGCTGGAGAAACCATCCCACTGGGAAGCCCTGGTGTTCCTGGGCATTGCTGGATGGGGATGGGGATGGGGATGAAGGCATCACCATTGCAGGTGGTGAAGAGATCCTGCTACCCGCGCTGGAACGAGACCTTCGAGTTCGAGCTGGCCGAGCCCGCGGGGGAGAAGCTGTGCGTGGAGGTGTGGGACTGGGACCTGGTGGGCAAGAACGACTTCCTGGGCAAGGTGAGCCCCGAGCCCGTGCCCGCTGCCCACCCAGTGACAGGGACCCATCCCTGCCCCGTGCGTGCGCTCAGAGCCGCGGGTGCTGCTGCTGCTGCTGCAGGTGGTGTTCGGGGTGCAGGGGCTGGCGGAGGCCGGGCAGGAGGAGGGATGGTTCAGGCTGCGTCCGGACGCGTCCAAGGCGAGGGAGGATGGGTGAGTGCGGGCACAGGGGGGCTGGGGTGGTCCCGGTGCCCTGGGGGGGCTGGGGAGGGGCTGCTCTGGGCAGCAGCATCGCTCTGGAGGGCAGCTCCTGGGTGTGCTCTGGTCTGGGATGGGGGGAAGTGCAGGGCAGCCCCATCTGTGTGCCCTGGGCTGTGGGGCCACGTCCTGCTTGGTGAAGTACTTCAGCCTGCCTACCCACCCACTCACCCACCTGCCCACCTATCTATCTGCCCATCATCTACCCATCATCTACCCATCATCTACCCATCATCTACCCACCTATCTATCTATCTACCCATCTACCCACCTGTCTATCTATCTACCCATCTATCGACCTGTCTATCTATCTACCCATCTATCCACCTATCTATCTATCTACCCATTTATCCACCTATCTATCTACCCATCTATCCACCTATCTATCTACCCACTTATCTATCTACCCATCTATCCACCTATCTACCCACCTATCTATGTATCTACCAATTTTCCCATCCATCCATCCATCGACCCACTCATCTATCTATCTACCCACCTATCCACCTATCTATGTATCTACTGATCTACCCACCTATCTACCAATCTACCCACCTATCTATCTACCCATCCACCCACCTGCCTATCTATCTACCTCTACACACCCACCTACCCACCCACCCACCTGTCTACCTACCCACTCACCTACCCATTTACCTCCCTCCCTGCCCATCGCTCCCTCCACCCCGTGCCCCCGCAGGCGCCAAGGCAGCCTGGGCTCGCTGCAGCTGCAGGTGAGGCTGCGGGACGAGACGGTGCTGCCCTCGCACTGCTACCGGCCGCTGGTCCAGCTCCTGTGCCAGGAGGTGAAGTCGGGGCTCCAGGTGAGGGTCCATGCAAAGCACCCCGTGTCCCCCATCTCCAGTGTGCCCCTGCCCATGGCATCGCGGTGCCTGTCCCCACCAGGATGGCCAAGTGCATCTGGTCACCCTCCTGGATGAAACCACCACAGCCGAGTGCCGGCAGGAGGTCGCCATCAGCTTGGTCAAACTCTTCCTGGGCCAAGGGCTGGTCAAGGAGCTCCTGGACCTGCTCTTCGAGTTGGAGCTGGCCAAGCCCTGTAAGGCGGGAGCGGGAAGCTCACCTGGGGGTGCTGGTTGAGGTTCATGTGCTCCAGGTGGGCATCCCTTGGGTCCATCCCAAGCAGCTCCTGGGCTGAGGTTGCTGGAGGAGCAAGTGGTTTGGGGTTAGGGAATCCCCATGGAAACGGCTGGGGCTGGAAGGCGCAGCCCATAGGAGTAACCCCATGACTGCAGCTGCCTGGGGGTGACCTGTGGCCGCAGACCCTCTCCTGTTTTGCAGGCGAGCCCAACACTTTGTTCCGGAGCAACTCCCTGGCCTCCAAGTCGATGGAGTCCTTCCTCAAGGTGCCGCAGTGCCTGAAACCTGGCTCTGGGCTGTCCCCATTGGGGGACAGGAGGGCTGGTGGGGCTGTGCCTGTTCTCTGGGATGGGAGGTTGGAGATCATCCCCTGGCTCACCCTTACTGGGGACAGTGGAGGTGGTGGTGCCAAACCTGTGTCCGTGCCCCCCATCAGCATCCCTGCGTGGTCCCTCTGCAGGTGACGGGGCTGCCGTACCTGCATGCTGTGCTGGGCCCTACCATCAACCGCGTGTTCGAGGAGAGGAAGCACGTGGAGCTGGACCCCGGCAAGGTGGAGACCAAGGATGTTGGGTAAGGGGTGCATGGGGCCATGGGGCAGGGGGGACCCTGGCCATGGGGTGGTGACAATGACGGTGCCCGCAGGTGCTCGGGGCTGCACCGGGTGCAGACGGAGGGTGAGGTGATCGAGCAGGGCCGCCAGCACCTCCAGTCCTACCTGGAGGAGCTGCTGGATGCCATCGTCAGGTCGGCTCCCATGTGTCCCCCCGTTATCCGCGCTGTGTTCCGGCTGCTCTTCCAGCGCGTCGGGGAGCGCTTCCCACAGCACCAGGTTGGGCTGGGGTTGAACAGGGGCAGTGTCCAGCTCTGGTTGGTGGGGTCTCTATTGGGCATGGGGCAGCCCCCCGGGGGTGAGGCGCAAGGGTGGCAGTGGGGCTGTACTGGACCAAATAGCAAGGATCTGAAGGGGGACCCCAGTGGTGCTGGGAAGGGGCTCTTCATCATGGACTGTAGTGATAAGACAAGGGGTGATGGGTTCTAACTGAGATGGGGGGGGTAGGTTGGGTATAAGGAAGAAGTCAGGGTTACCTGTGGCTGCCCCATCCCTGGCAGTGTTCAAGGCTTGGACAGGGGCTTGGAGCAAGCTGCTCCAGTGGAAGGGGTCCCTTCCTGTGGCAGGGGTTGGAGCTGGATGAGCTTTAAGGTCTCTGTATCCCAAACCATTCCATGACTCCATGTCCCTCACTCAATGGTCCATGCGGTGCTGGGGGCTGTCCTGTGCTGGGACAGACTCCCCCCCACCTTGTTGGCTGCAGCACATCAAGTTCATGGCCGTCACCAGCTTCCTTTGCCTCCGCTTCTTCTCTCCGGCCATCATGACCCCCAAGCTCTTCCACCTGCGGGATGCTCACGCTGATGCTCGCACCAGCCGCACGCTGCTGCTGCTGGCCAAGGTGAGATGGGGGGCACATGGAGGCAGGGGGGTGCTGTGGCCCTGCTTCCCACTGGGAAGCGCTGTGTGTGCTGCCGGTGACGCTGCCATCCCGGGGGTGGGGGGGGTGTCTCCAGGCCATCCAGATGGTGGGCAACATGGAGCCAGCAGCCGGGCGGGCCAAGGAGCTGTGGTTGGCCCCGCTGCTGCCCACCCTGCAGCAGGGCATCGCCCGGATGAAGGACTTCATCACCCGGCTGGTGGAGATGGAGGAGGAGGAGGAGGAGGAAGGTGAGGGGCAGCCACTGCCCCCCCCCAGCGCGGTGCTGAAGGAGGGGCTGCTCTTTGTGCACAAGACACGGGGCAAGGGGCCGCTGCTGAGCGCTGCATCCAAGAAGCTCCACTTCTGCCTCACTGGGGAGAGCCTCAGCTTCAGCAAGAGCCCTGGAGCCGAGGTAGGGGGGTCCTGGGGGGCTGTGGGGGGGGCAGCGGGGTGGCACTGACCCCCTGTGTGTGTCCCCCCTCCATCAGCAGAGCGGTGCCATCGCCCTGCCCGACATCCTTGCTGCAGAGAAGGTGGAGGAGAAGAGCTTCGGGAGCGCCCACGTCATGCAGGTGGTTTACATGGATGCGGGCGGGCAGCAGGAGACCGCTTACTTGCAGTGCAAGGTGGGATGGAGATGGGGGGCACACATGGGGGGTGTCACAGCGCGGGACCCCCCTTTTCACCCCTAACCCCCCTGCAGTGTGTGAATGAGCTCAACCAGTGGCTGTCAGCCCTGCGCAAGGCGTGCGGCAACAACCCCCGTGTGCTCCGTGCCTACCACCCCGGCGTCTTCCGCGGGGACAAGTGGAGCTGTTGCCACCAGAGGGACAGGATGGGTACGAGGAGGGGACCCCCGCAATGGTGCTGGTGGGGTCCCCCCATACCCTGACACTGCTGCCCCACAGGGCCGGGCTGTGACCGGACCCGGCACGGGGTCACCCTGCAGGACTGGAGCGACCCCATGGACCCTGCGGTGGAGGCGCAGCGCCTGTTCCATCACCTCCAGGGGCTGCGGGACACCCTCAGGTGAGCCCCAACCCCTGGGGGGACCCCCCCTGAACCCCCTCCATCTAATGCCAAGGTTCCATCCTTCTCCTCTCTGTATCCCCAGGGAAAAGTACTGGGAGCTGCTGGAGGACACCCAAAACGGTCCTCAAGGAGAAGGTAGGGTGGTGCTGGGGATGCTGTGGTTGGGATGTGCCCTGCCCATCAGGGGCTGTGCTTCTGGGGGTGCAGGGTCTCACTGTGCTCAACCCCTGCAGGTGCCCCCCTGCCTGAGGGGCTGCGCCGGCTCTTTGGGGTGCTGGGGGAGCTGGAGAGCTGCCACCGCCAGGCACAGCCCCCAGCCCCCCCCACGCCCACCCTGCTGCAGCTGCAGACATGAGGGACCCCCCCCCCCCCCCAGCAATAAAGCTCTTTGTGCCCTGCAGCCCTGTCCTGGCCGTCTGTGGTGGATGGGGATGGGGACACGGATGAGGCTGGTGGTGATGGTGGCACTGGTCACATCCCTGCTGGTGCCATTGCTGGTGGTGTCCCTACTGGGACCATCCCTGATGGCATGGTGGGTGTTGGTGCTCCTCAAGGCATCGCTGATGACCTCAGTGGTGGCCCCACTGGTGTCCTTTGTGGTGGCACCAGTTGGGGAATGCTGGTGGAGGAGTCAACCCATGGGTTTGCTGCTGATGGTATTGGTAGTGCCAAGCGGTGACATCAGTGCCATTGGTGGTGACATCAGTGCCATTGGTGGTGACATCAGTGCCATTGGTGGTGACGTCAATGCAAGTGGTGACATCAATGCCATTGGTGGTGACATCAGTGCCAAGCGATGACATCAATGCAAGAGGTGACATCAATGCAAGTGATGACATCAGTGCCATTGGTGGTGACACCAATGTCAAGTGGTGACATTGATGCCATTGGTGGTGACATCAATGCCAAGTGGTGACATCGATGCCAAGTGTGAACCTCACCATTGCCCCTTCTAACGCCACCTCTGCTGCCGCCATCGCCGCCCCCACTCCTCACGTCATCGGCGACGTCATCGGTGACGTCATCGGCGACGCCATCACCACTGTTCAGCAGCATCACACGGGTGGGGTGTGCAAATAGCACCGACTCCTCCCGCCCGCTTGGGGGCGCTGCCGCCGGCGCCGGAGCGGAGCGGAGAGGAGCGGGCGGAAGAGGCGGGGCTAGCAGCAGTAGTGGCGGCGGCGTCATGAACGCTCCTCCGGCCTTCGAGTCCTTCCTCCTCTTCGAGGGCGAGAAGAAGTGAGCGGAGGCGGTGGGGAGCGGCTTGGGCCCGGGCAGCGGCATCGCTTTGAGCCTCGGGGCCGGGGGGAGGCAGCGCTTGGGTCGCGGGGGTCGGGGGGGGGAGGCCCGGGCTCCCCATAGGCCCGCTTCCTGAGGCGCTTATGCTCCCCTGTGTATCCCTTTAGGGTCGCCATCAACAAGGACACGAAGGTGCCCAACGCCTGCCTGTTCACCATCAACAAGGAGGACCACACGCTGGGGAACATCATCAAGTCGTGAGGAAATTGAAGAGAAAAAGGGTTTTTTTGGGGGGATGCTCTGTGGTAATTCTGCACTTAAAAGTGAAGGGGTAGGGTCCACAGATGCATACGTAAGGGGGTGTGTTGGGAAACTCCTCAAAACCATTGGTTTCAATGAGTTTTTAATAGGAAATGAGCTTTTCAATGGTGTTTTAATAGAAAATGAGCTTTTTCTATGATCTTTTAATAGAAAACGATATTTTCAATGATCTTTTGATACAAAATGACCTTTTTCAATTATCTTTTGATATAAACGATCATTTTTTATGATATTTTGATATTAAATGACCATTTTTATGATCTTTTAATAGAAAATGATCTTTTCAATGGTCTCAATATAAAATGATCATTTTCAACAATCTTTTGATAGAAAATGGTATTTTCAATGATTTTTTGAAATAAAAGCTTTTCAATGATCTTTTGATATAAACGATCATTTTTTATTATCTGTTGATATAAAAAGATCTTTTTTTATAATCTTTTAATAGAAATGATCTTTTCAATGGTCTCTTAATATAAAATGATCTTTTTCAATGATCTTTAGATAGAAAATGGTATTTTCAATGATTTTCTGAAAAAAATCTTTCCAATGATCTTCTGATACAAAATGACCTTTTTCAATGATTTTTTGATATAAACTAATCATTTTTTATCTTTTGGTATAAAATGAGCATTTTTTAATGATCTTTTTAATAGAAAATTATCTTTTTCAATGTTTTTACTATAAAAAAGCACTTACATTCATGCTGTGGGGTTGTTCATTGCTGCTTTCCCATTCCAGGCAGTTACTGAAGGACCCCCAAGTGCTGTTTGCAGGGTACAAGGTCCCGCACCCGCTGGAACACAAGATCATCATCCGTGTCCAAACCACCCCTGACTACAGCCCGCAGGAGGCGTTCACCAATGCCATCACGGATCTGATCAGCGAGCTCTCTCTCCTGGAGGAGAGGTTCAGGGTACGTTGGTTTCCTTTGAGCTCCTTGCAGTTCAGAGTGAAACAACAGGAGGGGTACTGCTGATAGTTTAGGTTAACAGCTTCATCACAGCCATGCAGCACCGCAAGGCAAAGGGCTGGGTCCTGCACTTGGGCTGCAACAATTGCCCCATGCAATGCTACAGGCAGGGGAAGAGTGGCTGGAAACTGCTCATGGGAAAGGATGTGGGGGGTGCTGACTGATGGAGCTGAGCATGAGCAGCTTGTGCCCAGGAATCCACCAGCATCCTGGCCTGTATCAGCACCAGTGTGTCAGCAGGGCCAGGGCAGGGATTGTCCCTCTGCACTGGGCACTGATGATGCTGCACCTCGAACCCTGTGTTCAGCTCTAGACCCCTCACCACAAGAGAGACATTGAGGTGCTGGAGCGGGGCCAGAGAAGGGCACAGAAGCTGGTGCAGGGCCTGGAGCACAAGGGTGATGGGGAAGGGCTGAGGGACCTGGGGGGGTCAGTCTGGAGAAGGGTCAGAGGGGACCTGATGGCTCCCTACAACTGCCTGACAGGAGGATGGAGCCAGGAGGGGCTGGGCTCTGCTCCCAAGGAGCAAGGGATGGGACAAGAGGAACCGGCCTCAAGCTGCACCAGGGCAGGTTTAGATGGAGCTGAGGAACAATTCCTGCCCCAGAGGGTGCTCAGGCATTGGAACAGGCTGCCCAGGGCAGGGCTGCAGTCACCATCCACACACTGTGGAGACAAGGCCCTCAGTGCCATGGGTTAGTGGTGGCCTTGGCAGTGCTGGGAACGGTTGAACTTGATTTAAGATCATTTTTTGATGATCTTAAAGGTCTTTTCCAACCTGGTTGATTCTATGATTATTTGGCTCCTGTCCTTTGCACATCTGATGAGCATTATTTGCACATCTGATGAGCATTCAGTGAGTGCTCTGTAACTCCCTAGGTGCCCAGCATCGGTCCTCTCAGTCATCTTAATGTAGAAAACAATTTTCCATTCTTCCAAATGCTTTCTAAGACAGTTTTAGGAAGTTTTGGACCACTTCTCATTGCTTTGCTCTGCTGTGCCATTGTATTTATTTAGCCCCTGATTTTTCAGACTTAATCTGCCCAAAAGGTTGTTAGACAAAACCAGGGAGGGTATGATAATGTCTGTAGGATAACGTCTGTGTCGTGTTCTCTGATGTGCTGGTACAAGGTCACAGTGCACCAAGTCTATAAATACAGCCTGGTTTTGCTTGAAATATTATTTCTCTGGACGGGGTAGAGGTTTCCACTGCTGGTTTGTGTGGGGCTGTGTCTCACAGGAGACTGTTAGGAATGTTTAAACGTCCTCCAGCTCAGTAACAGTTCTTGTCTGAGCGTTTGTGTTTGTGTTTTACAGGTTGCCATTAAAGACAAACAGGAAGGAATCGAGTAAAATCACCCTGCTTAGAGCAGGCTCTACTTCCGAGGCAGAATCATGTGGCTGTTTGTTAGATGAATCCTGGATTCAAACTCATGGCCAGTATTTTCCCCCTTAACCCACTCAGGTTTAAGCAGCAGCGGTGTTTTGAGTTTGTTTTTTTGTATTATATTTTGCCAAGAGGAGAGCTGTCATGTCTGAGCTGATGGGTAAGGCATTAAAATGATTTATACTTTCCCTATTGGAGCCTTAATGCAAATATTTGTGCTGTTGGTGAGGTTGGTGTGAGAGCACTTCCAGAGGAGCCGCTGCTGTGTGACAGCAGTGGATGAACTCTCTGCTTTTCCTTTCCAAGAAGTCCAGGCACTGCCAGCAAGACTGGGGTTTTGTTTTATTAAGTGTCATTTCTATATAAAACAAATGCACCAATTGTGGAAAACTCACAGTAACAGAAACTGGGTGTTTACAATGATGGGATGAGTTTAACAAACAACTCTTGGTGTCTTGTCTCTTGCACATAACAGCGGGTCTAGAAAAGGTGGTGGTTACGTGGGTAACAGTCACTAACACTGCACTAATTCAAAGCACGGGCATGAAACTGGTGGACAAGGAACTATGACTTCTTCCAAATTGCTGTTATGTTCACACTAGTTAGGACAACAAGGTAAGTAAAAGTGGGGTCTGAGACCACGTTGTTTACTAGGATTTCATCCAGTTGCTCCCCGTTTGCTCGCAGCTCTGGCCACTGGAGAATCTAGGAGGAGAAGAGAGGTTGGATAGGCAAGGGCTGCTGGTGCTGTCTCGGAAGGTGGGAGGACGTTAATTAGTGTTAATTGACAGCTGGGTCTCTGGAATCTGGTTCCCTGCCCACCCGCAGAGGCTGAATGAAAGGCTCTTGCCCTTTCTGAGGGAGGTGGTGCAGCTCCTCCAAAACATGTGGACTTGATCAGAAAGGAGAAAGTGCTGCCTTGGGCAACGCACTTGCAAAAAGCTTTTGGAACACTGGGTCACTCCATACCTGCATCTAGTGCAGCTCAGCACCAGGTTCTGATATGAGAGTATGTGGGACTGTCCTTTCAGCCGCTTGGTCACTGCCCAAGACAGAACTGTCCCTGAAGGCCAGGGATGTGTACAGCAGGAAAAACGTGCATGAGCCCTTTCCTCCACCAGGAAGAACTCTGGTTTCCCTTTGGCTTCCATCCCCTGAACCCAGCAGGGAAGTGGTGTCTCCACAAATGTATCATCAGGCTCTCCAGTTTAACCATCAGCTTTGAGAGGGCCCTTCAGCTATGAACAGTTGCTTGTTCCTGCAGAATGCAGAGTTGTTTTACAGCTCCTAATTCCTGCCACAGCTGGGTGTGAGAGTTGAAAGATGGCCTTGGTCATGCTCTAGAGATTACTTTTAATGGTGTGTGAGAGTTGGGTATAGACAGCAGCAGGTATGATCTGTTGTGAATCTGCTCCCTGCTGGGGCAGAAGGGAGACCTACCTGTGCAGGAGGGATCTTCTGCAAAGGGGAGCGTTTCCCCTTTGCAGAGCTCCATGCCTTGGTGTAGCTTGAGAGGTTGTACATCCACACACTTCCCTTCTCATCGCCACAGAACACGTACTCTTTTGCTGCAGGACCAAAAGAAGAAGATGAGAAGCAAGTCTGGAATTAAGGATCCACTCTCCTGTAATGCAGAACTCAAGCCAGTGCTGCAGGAACCCAACAGAGGATGTGGTATTTCAGCATAATACAGCACAAATATGCTAAATTACCTTGCTCTGAAAGCTCATTTCACCTAAGGCTAAATCAGTTCTCTTGCTCTAGCAGAGAGAAGCTAGTGAGAAACACTAGGGGATTTCTTCTGACCTTTTTTAGACTTTTTTTGGTCTAGTCCCTATTAGTCTCAAAAGCCAGCTGCCCCTGGCGTATCCTGCCCCTTCCTTGAGATGTTAAAATGGCTCCAGCTACACTACAGGGCCAAGCCATCAGCTCTATGTACTCTGAAGCCCTGTACAATTGAGACCCTGTCATTGATCAATGCCTTTGTGGTTTCCCCTCGCATGGCAGATGGTAGAGCTGTAATTAATTATTCCTGATGTTATTTATACACAGCTAGTGCTACACAGTGCTGCAGCTGCATTACAAGTCAGGGCTCTTGGTAGTAGAGTGGAGATCAGGCTGATGGGGACTGAAATCCAGCTCCAGGCTTCCCCACGCCAATCTCAAGTCAATCTCAACCAGTGCAGCATCCCTGCCACAGGGAGTGAGGAAGAGCACTGCCTACCTGGGCAGGTGCTGAGTGTCAGGTAGGACATGTTTGTCGTGGACCACTCGAGCTCAGCCAGAATAACTGCAGCTATGGTTCGTTGGCGTCCTTTCCCCTTCGTGTCAAAAGACCGACTCCAGCTCCATAAGTATATGCAGCCTGCTTTAGAGCTCTTGGAAACTAGGGAAGAAAGATGGGAGAAGCTGTGTCAGTGACATGGGAAACCTCAAGACAAAGGCTGGTTGCTGGGGAAGGTGGTTCATCCAGAAGGTGGCTTTATGATGTGGGACCTGATATCAGCGGTGTAGGTAGTTAGGGTCTGGCCATCGGAAGATGTCACGCTGTATGGAAAGATAAGACCCCCCTCCGAGTAGCCAATAGGGCCTAGCCTAGGTCCTAAGCAGACGGACGTGACGTTGTAAACCCAGGCTCTATAACGCCGTGTTACTCGCCAATAAAAGCCATTTGCCATCCACCACATTGGTGTCCATGAGCTGATGGCCCGAGCGGCCTGGGGTTGGTCGCCATGCCGTTCCTGAACCAGGTCGCCTCGCCAACGAAGGCAACACAGCGGCAACTCTTTCCACCTCCTTTACCTCATTTCAGGATAACTGGAGGCTGCAGAGGGATTTTCAATCCCACAATACATTCCTGAACTGCAGAACAAGCATTAGCCCATGCTAGTTCTAGCCCAGGCCCAGGCCATGCTTTTAAGCACTCTCCCAACAAACACAGCTGGCACCAGCCTTTCTCCCTTCCACTTTGCCCTTACTTGGCCAAACATGCTTTGGGGATGGGGCCATCCCCATCGGTAGGCCCGCCCAGAGGTGTATTGCACCTCTAGCCCACATTTTAGGGAAAGATAAGTGACTCTGGGAGGCAGCTCCATTCTGTACCCCCCAGCAAACTGGAGAAGAGGTAGCTGCACCCCATTCAGCCTGCCATGTGCTTAGGTGCCTGTTTTTCTGGGTTGGGCTATTGTGTTTATACTCACCCACAATATCATCATTCAGAAAAGCCAAACCATCAACCCTGTGCAATGTTGTCATGCTTCCATCCTCATCAGGAAACTGGAACGTGGCATCAAAAGGCCTGGAAATAGAGGGAAGGGTGAAATGAGTCGAGGCCTGGATGGGGAGCAGCGGATGGGCACATAGTAATGGGATGTGTTAGTAAGTCTCTTGCCAAACCCAGCTCAGTTCCCACTTGGAATTATGCCTTTGGCCACCTGGGTTAATTAATGCAGCCCTTTTGCTTAAGAGACTGCTGGTTTACTCCATCTGTTTGTGCAGACCTCAGGATTAGTGTATGACAGCGGGGCATGACTCCACTTGCTTTGCTGTCGTCATTTCTTCCTGTGCTCCCATAGAGTGCCCTTCCCTGGGCAACCTCCTGCACCAGCAGCAGGATTGGCCTTATGGGAAACTGAAACTAGAGCCAAGACTTTACGCTCTGTTACACTGCATCAAGATCCACACCTTCCAGTTTTAGGGTATTGCATTCCAGTCCTGTCAGCCTTCCTGCAACACTTGTAGACTGGAGCAGTGATACACACTCAGGGATGTTGGCTTTGAACACTCCTTTAGCATTATGCTAGTATTTTTTCTTGCCTCTGTGGGAAGGGATGTTTTAAATTGGGTAGGACATGCTGCCTTTTCTTGCTCAGGCCTCAGTCAGAAATAAAGCCTTTGCCAGGACAAGCTCTTTTTGATAAGGAAAGCAAATACATGCCCCCAACTTTGGGATCTCACCTGTTTTTTTGTTCCTTATCCAGTTTTATATTCCAGGCAAAACAGCCACCTTCACAGCCAGCCAGTAGGTACTGATTCGGGCAGGTGGGGACGAGGGCAATCCGTAAGGGAACAGAGAGCACTTCCAGCACCAGCAGCTGGCTAACAACAAGAAAAGAGAGTAAGCAGTTACGTGGTGCTGCGATAGTTACAGGCTCCTGGGCTGGACATGTCTGGTTTTTGAACCTTTACCTTGCTTTGAAATTGTAGTCAGAGTCTGGAATCCCAATATCCCAGAGTGCAATTCGCTTGTCATAGGATGCAGCTGTGGGACACAGAAGAGAAGCAGGTAGTGACACCGCTGCTCATCTAACTCTTCTCGTGCTAGCTGGCAATTCTACCCGTGTCACAAGCTGTAACACTCTCAGCCTGGGGCATCAGAGAGCTCCTTAAGACAGCAGCAGTCACTGAGGCTCCTGGCTCAACACCACGTCACAGACACTGTCAAACAGCATGGTCAGTAATTTGCATTCTTTATCCTGTGCTCTAAGAGGAGCAGATAAAAGAAAGTTTGTTTCTGGTGTCCATTACTAAGTTGTGGCTTCATAAGGTCCTTAATGAGCCCCTTTCAGCTCATGTTTCTGGGGGTCCAGGGGAATCTAAGCCCTAACCTCCCCTCTCAGGCAGACGCCACTTTATCCCATGCACCCATGGCTTACTGTGGTCACATCCACAGTAGCTCCCATGGGGAAACTTAGGCATTGATGTAAAGTGTGAAAGACCCTTCATGTCTTTGTCACCAAAGTGATATACTGCTAGCAGAAACAATCCTAACAGCTTACACAGAGTAATCTGGATCCTGATCAGAAGACAGCCCTCAAATGACTACCTGGGGTAATGTCCCATCCCCAGACAGGCATGCAAAGACTCTCACTTCATTACTATGAATGTTTCCATGCAATGCAACAAGCTGTCCACTCCATTGTATGGATGTGCTATCCACCTCCTTAAACTTCTAGGCTTCTGCTTTTTGCACTCTTGAGCTGCTTCTTGGAATTATCCACTACAGCTACCTGTGTTTCAGAAAAATCCCACTGTTAATGGCTCATGTAGCACTCTAACCACTCCAGGATGTGAGTAATTGTAGGCCAGAGGAACAATGTGCTGTGGGGTGCAGTTTGAATGGCTCTAACAAATTACTTTACAGGCCTGACAATGCAGCTGCAATCTGTAGTATAATAGTTCGGTCCTACCAGTCCATAACTTCAGCTCTGTGGGCCCTACTGTGTGGCAAAGCTCTCTTTTGCATCAGGCTAAATAGTGTAGAAAAAAAGAGGTCTGACAAGGTACAGAACTCCAAACCCCTGTCATTCATCCAGAAGCACTTACTTAAGTGCATAATTTTGCTCATTGGAAAAAATGAACCCTAACAGCCCATTGTACACTGCTTGCCCCTGTTGCTATGCTGCTGAGAGCCCTGACCACCTGCTGCCTGGTCCCCAGCAGCCTGCCCTGGCTCTCATTCTTCTTACCCATCCCTGCGGAACGGGGCCACTGCTGGGCTTGTTCGTGACGGCCACCCTGAGAGAGAAACAGGAGCTGCTGCACCTCAGCTAAAGGGTCAGGCTCTGTGGCTGAAACAGTCTGTACCTTCTGTAGATTACTGTCATATGAGACTAACAATACTCCCTCCATAATGTCTGGCCATGCTTTTTCTATGTGTGTGCAGTCCCTGCTTACACTGCTGACAGTTCCCCTTGTTAAGGACGCCCAGCCTTTTCTACATTTGGTACTAAAACTAATGAGATTCTGATCCAGACTTACTGAAGAGGTGAGTTTCTTGAGTTGGGCTGAAGCAGACAGTAGCAATGGGCTTTTTATGAGCCTTTATCTCTCCGTAGCAGAAGTCAGCTGCCACATGGATCAGTTTGACAATCCCTCTCCTCCCAGCAGCAGCCAAGATATTACGAGATTTCTTCCTACTGTCACTGATGACCATTGTAAGGGTTGTCCATGCAACACTGAAAAACTCCTAGGACAGAAAGAAACCATGAGCCAAGGGAAAGATCAGAGCCAGGAGGAGAGCTGTCAGCTCAGAGATAAGACAACCATCTGAGAGCTATCGAGGTGAAATGACATGACTGTTTGAGGTGCGGCATTGAAGCTCAAAGCCGCCCTCAGAAGAACACAAACTATTGACACAGGATGTTTAATCCTCTGTGCTGTCAAGCAGTCTTAGCAGAACACACACGTATGCCTGCGTGAGGAGAAGAGAGGCAGACTAATCTCCTAAGCTAACAAAAACCACCCAAAACAAACCAGGCTAAAAGGATAAGCAATTCAGTACCTACCTTCATCCTTTTAAGACCTGCTAGAAACTCTTTCAGAACTCTTTGTAATGTACATTATGCACACATGTATGTAATTATAACAAATGATGGTATTTCCAGTCAATGCTTACTCCTCCCACTTGCAACATACCTCTGCAGCCACCTTATACTTTTTCAGCACTGTCCCTGTCTCACAATCAATCAGACAGACAGATTCCCCTCCACATGTTGCCACGGTTCTGGAGGAGTTCACAATGGGATCTGAAAGATGGAAAGAATAGGTGAGAAGTTCCCAGGTTCATGGATAACACCTGAAGACTGCCTGGTGCTCTCCCAGTCTCCTGTTTTCAAAGTCAAAGAAGAAGTACGTAAGCAAGTCTCTTCCTGACAATGGAGACTACAGCTTGAAGGAGCAGGGGTCTAATGCATGGAGTCCGCTGGGATTCCAGAGCCGGGTGGTTCTGGGAATCCTGCAGACCTCTGTAAGAGCTCACCTTTCCTGGCTCCAGAGTCTAGCAATGGCTCGAAGACACAGGACCAGAGCTGCGTTTTAAAATCCTCGCGGCTGTTGCCTTTACTGTGACACTGAAGAAAATGCAATGGCTCTGCACTGACATCCTCCTACAATAAACCATCCACATTTAGAAAATTCATTCCCCTGACAGCGCTTTCTTTGCCTGTGACTGCCTGGACAGAACCCTCCACTGAGCACAGCAACCTGAGTTAAACGGAAGGGTCTGATCAGCCCTTCTCTGCTACAGAGAACAGGAGAGACTGAGGTGCCACCAATGCTCCAGACTCCTAAGCCAGCAGGCAACTGCTTAGAAAAGATGTGTCTAGCAGAGCCCAGCAATGAACCCCATTTCCTGATGCAGAGAAGTGTGAAAAACCCTTTATATCCCCACTGCTCTGAGCTGAGGGGGAAACACCTTTCCCCATGCAGCCATCATTTTGACCTGAGTGCAAGTCATGGCAGTCCCGTTTCTAAAAACAGGCCTTCAGTGCACCACCTCAGAGCGCTGGTCCATCCATCCCCTGCAGGGATTCACTGTGTCCGGGGGGGGGGGGGGGCCTTCCCTGATGCCTCTGAGAGATTTAAACCAACAAAAAGCAAAACCAAACCCGTAACTCACAATATATCTGGCCAGTTATGAGCTCCAAACTGTGCAGAGCTCTGATGAGATCTGAATGCAGCTCTTCCCACTAAACCAAGAGGCCAAAAGCCAGTCCTAAGGAGGCTGATGAACGTACCTTGCCCTTGGACTTCTTCACTGGGGTCAAGGTAACAACTCCATTGTCCTGCTCCTGGCTTTTCTGTTCCCCTGTCAGCTGGCTGGATCTTCTGTTGCTTTGCCCCTTGGGCAACTGCTTTCCGTTCTTAGGTGTCTCTTCAGCTTCCTGCTCAGGGCTCGCCTCTTTGGCTGGCTGTTTCGATGTTCTTGGTTTCTCAGGAGCTGGCTCATCCTGCACATGACTGGACTTTGTGGGATTAACTACAGCCTCCTTCTCAGTGGTCACCTGGGGCTTGGACCTCTTCTTGTGAGAGTGTGTTTTTGAGCGATTTCTTTTCCTCTTTCTGGCTGTTACTGTGACCTATAAGGCATGTTGTCAGTTTGTGCAGGTTTCTGGCTTCCCCAAGATGTGCAGATGATTTGTAAGTCAGAGATATTAATTATTCAACTGCAAGTACCCTCCTATGGTTACAGACTGGGTTCCAAGAATCAGAAAGCCAAGAGCTGCAGAGTTCCTAGAGGCAGAAGCTAATGAAAAATCACTTCTCTCTTCCCTTGTCCCAGTTACTTGTGATTGAAAAACAATGTGGAAAAACCAAATCTGGCCCATGGACCCAGTGGGTTTAGTCTGCAGCCATTTGAAAGAAGGTGAGCACTAACACAGTGTGGCCATGTTATCAGCCAGTTCTCAAATATACCCCTTCCTCAAAGGAGAGGTGCAGTCAGTAGGACTATACTCAGGCAATCTTTTGGGTATCCTATGTGAATGGAAGCTTTCCCCTCTTGGAGAGCAACTCAACCTTCACATTGCTGGGAAAGGTTCAATCTGGCTATAAAGAACAAGCTTCAGTTGTTGAGTAACAGGCTGGAGCCTGAGGCTGCCCCTACAGTTACCACAAGGTCATAAATGTAAACTGACAAGTGCTATGGAGTTCACAGGAAATAAAAAGGACATTGTTAATCGAACTGGAAAAATCACCTACCTGACCCTTGTCCTCTGCATCTTCCCCGGGGCTTTCTGTGCTTTCTTCTTCCTCATTCTCATCTATCTTTTCCTCTGGTTCGGGATCTGAGTTTAACTCCAGACCCAGTGAGCATGCCAGAAACTCTTCTGCAATCATTTTCACCTTGGAAACAAATATGTGGCTATGTAAAAAACCCCCACTGAAAAGACACACAGCAACAGCAGAAACACTGCAGAAAAATGAGGGCTGCTTTGCTGAGTTCTTAGTATGTGCTTTCACTGTTCTACATGAATTTTACACGTGATGGAGGAGCTGACAGCCTGGCAGGCCAAGTCCTTTGCTGATATTACATGACCCAAGAACTTCACTTTGTCATGGACATCCGGGGTGCACATTTGTGAGAACAAGAGTACAGCAATGAACGAAGACAAAGGAGAGATGGAAGCCTCAGTTGTATGTATGTACATACAACTCAAACATATGTTACAACTAAATGGTATCTTTCCCCACTGGGAGTAACTACAGTTCTGTTATTACCTTTTCTCCTCTCATACAGCTTCCATCAAGACTAAAGGATGCCGTTAGAGCTATATGCAAATAATTAAGTACTAAGGAACTGCAGTCTCATTAATTAGTACAGGTATAATTATTGCTTATGAATTAAAACAGTGTTTAATGACAGTCATTGCAGCTTGGTGCACATTCATACCTAGTGCTTCTGTAACAGCTTAACAAAGAAAACCAGAAAACGTGATCCCCCACCCCTGTCTGCAAGAGCCCTGACACCCAAATCCATACAGCATTTTAATCAAATCCATTCAGGATCAGCCTGCAAATTCCTTGCCTGAAGGACAGGAGGGCAAGTGAGTGATATGTCACCTACCCGCCAGCGGGTGAACTCACTGAGTGAGCTGGGCCCACATACTACATTGGTTTGGACTGACTTCAGGAACTTCTTCTTGATGGACTTCACTTGCTCAGCTGTGTGTTTCTCAGGAAGTTGGTCACGGAAGAATTTTTCCCAGTGAGCAGTAACCTGGGCAGCGAGACTGAGTTTAGTCATCAGAACACTACAGAAAACCAGAGCAGAAGAGCACGGGAGTACTTGTAAAAGCATTTAAGAAGTTGCCAACGCTGAGGCTCTGCTGGCTGCGTGACAGCACTGCTTCCATTGATTTTATAGTGTTCAAACCACGACTTCAGCTAAGAAGAAACCCAATTCCTCTGAATCAAGCTTAAGTGAGTGTGGGTAAGCGGAGAGCAGACCCAGAGCAATGCCTGATTTCATGCCTCTGGATCCATAGCAAAAGGTGTTAAGCATTCTTACATCATGCGAGTACCTGACAGGTAACTAATTTATTATAACAGGCACGAGATAATGGGGGTGGTTGACTTTTCCTATATTTCAAGTGTGTTCATGAGCAGCACTGGTGCATGTCATTCCCATTTATAAAGATACCTTGGCTCCAAAAGGTTTCTGAACTATGAGCGCAATCACTCAGATGTCACTTACCAGCACAGTTTCCCACCTGAGAGTTTCTGGTGGGTACTAACCCATTCATAAGCATTTGGACCTAACAGACATTTTACATTTAGACACAGCAGTAAGAACTGGGGAGCCGGGACAGAGCAATACCAGCAGGCAAAGGTAACTGGGGCACAGATACCAGCACAAAAGGAACAGCACAGGGAGCATTTGGTGTCTCATTAACCAGCCAACCATGCCCAGTTGCCTGGAGGATAAGAGGCTGAGCAGCCCCCACCAAGACTCTTTGAGATACAAGGTATGACATAGGTAACATGAAGCACAATAAGCTATTCCAGTTCAGTATTTAACCTCTCCACCACTGCTACACAGAGGGAATTAACAAGATCAGCTAACAAGAAATCAAATGGTAAGAGCAGTACTGCACAAAAAAACCCCAAACCTTTTTCATCCTACAACAATTTTGCTGAGGATCACAACATGATTCATGGGGACAATCTGTCAGGAGCTAAACTGTGTATGTAAATGAGTGAAAAAACAATTCCAAACATGCACAGATGAAGAAGAAAGAACAAATCCTTGTTCCTGGTGTATGATGGAAAAAAAAACAAGATTATTTTGAGCTTGATTTTATGCTCCCCATTCCTGGGGCCAGGACAATAACACAGATTAGATGGGGAGGTGCATACAGCCATTATGTCAGCACCAGGATCCACCTATTTCTGAATGATGATCCGAGTGACCTGAAAAACTAAAAGGTCAGACACAGACCTTGTTGGCCCTGCTCCTGTGGTTTAAACTGAAGGCAGAAGTTTGCTACACAGAACAGGTAGAGCAAATGCAACCAGTGACCAGAGAAAGCAGCAATTCCTAGGTTGCCCACACTGTGAGCTGTGTTCAGAGGATGTCAGAACACATTTTGTTTTGTATTTAGTTACTGTGTTTAGAGATTAAGAACTACCACATCTTACCTTGTTGGTGAGCTTGCGACTATTGACATGCCTCACATGTTTTGCCAGTTTGGTGATATCTTTGCCATTGAGTAGCCGAAGGTTTTGCAAAAGAAACATTACTTTATAGTCATCGTTGAGCTAGAAAGAGAAGCCACCAAAGCTGTTGTTATATGGTACTTACTTTAGCTTTAGTCCTTTATTAAAATACAGGCAAGGATAAGAAGAATATATTTAGGCAGGAAAGGCTATTTCATAGGATCACTTCAGCATTTCTGACATTAATATAGCCTTTTAGTTGTAAATTAACATTCTCCCACCTCAATCCGCAAACAAAAGACCTGCCTAACGATTATGCAGTACTACCATCCAACGCAAGGTGGTGACGGTGTAACCTGGCTCATCTGCTCCGGCCCGGGTGCAATGCAGGGTATCCTGCTTGCATCCTTCGGTGCTAAGCAAGCATCTAAGGCAGATGCCTACAGCAAAGGCACCAGCAGGGCTTCTTTGGGTCAGGTGTGCTGTAGGTCAGACCAGTTCACCAATCCAGTTTACCCAGCGACACATATAATTCTGTGGGCATGCAACAGCAAACAAGCATCAGGGCCTGGTGGCTGTTACCAGTTTAAAGCACATATAAAACTACAGTTTGAATGCTTTTAACCGTACAGTCAGCAATGCTTCTTGGGATACATCAGAAAACCCAAACTAGGCTAATCACCAAGCAGCAAAGGACCAAGTCTGCTCTTTCAGAGCACAAGTGGTACCAAAACGAACATCTGAGAAGGAGGCTTCTACAGAGTCACCACTACATTTCACATGTGAGCATAAGATATCCTGCCTGATAAACTACCTAAGACAGGACTGCAACCTGGAGAATCAGGAGTTCAAGATAACCAGATTTTAACATCTGAATGGTTTTGGGCAAGTCACTTCTGCAGATTGGGAAACAGTGGCACAGACTAGCGAAGTAGCTCAAAAAGACTTGCTGCCTTCTCAGATGCCCTAACACTTGCTGCCTAAGAACAATATATAAGAATTAGGTGTAACTGCTGTTTGTTGCCCGTCTACTTAATGCTTAGCTTTGTAAGGACGTGAGGTAACTCACGGTCAAGTACACGTTGTTCTCGTAGGTCAGCTCCTCGAGCAGAGGGAACTGTTTCAGAGCAGTTACATCTTCCAGTTTGTTGTTGTTGCAGTTTAGGACACGCAGATCAGGCAGGGTTAGACTGTTGGGAAATCTGTCCAGTAAATTATCAGAGAGATCTAGTTTCTGCAGATGCCTCAGCCGGGAAAACAAACGCGGGTCTAAGTCTCCAGTCTTCAACTGCAACTTGGACAGGCTGAAACCAGAAGAGACCATGAACTATCTGCACCTCTCAGTTCAGCACAACTCACTGGGTAAATGTGATCCATCCTGCTTTTTCTTGACTGCAGGCACAGATACACGGAAAAGATGCCGTGTCTGAGCTAACAGCCCCCATCAGAGACTCAAGTCTACCAATGTATTGCAGTACAACTAACCTGCTATCCAGAAAAAGCTCTGATGGGTAATAGAGATGCTGTGAGCAGGGAATCACTGGAAAAGTTCTTGATCATAGATAAAATTACTAAACCTCTCAGAATGTTGGTATTTTATTCCTTTGCACCATCAGTTCAGCAAACCTGTGGCAATATGAGACCCTCACTATACCATCCGTCCACCCTGCCCACAGAATGCGTAGTTTCATCATTACACTCATTCTTTAGAAACCACCATCTCACAATTGGTATAAGTAACAGAATGCTCTGGTGATTCCAAAAGCTATTCCTGTCCTCCCTCTGACTTCATGCTGACACTCACACAGATTGGATCCAATTGGATCAGTTTGCTGATCTGGCTTAACACTTTTCATCCCTGCATTAGAAGTTAAGTTCAGGCCAAGTGCAGAGTCATTTGGCTGCTTTCAAAGAAACTAACTTCACAGAAAAAGAAAAATGAAATTTTCCCATTTCTTTTCTTTCTTCCAATTCACTCCTGAAGTGAATTTTGCTGTAAAAACTTCCAATGGCAAATATGGAATTTATGGAAAATCCCAAGGCTGCCACCACAACAGAAGCATTTTGTCCTGAGAGGAAGTGGTACAATATTTGTGAGGGGAAAAAAATACCCCTTCTCTGTAAGAAAGTGATAAGTGCACATTATAAGAAAGATCATTTAGATTTGATCATTTAGTTGAGCTCCAAAGGGAGCCTCTAGTCCTAACAGCAAGCCTCTCATGAGGACACAAGTCTGAGTTCCTTTAATAAAGAGAATCTCCATCTCTAATGATTAGTAATAAAAAAGCCTTCTAAACATAAAAAAAGTGTGGCTAAATGAGGTGAATAAAATCAGGAAGCAAACCCACTTCTCCTTCACTTGCCATCTCAGAAGCCTAACCAGCCAGGCAAAGCAGGTAAGAAAGGCTGGAGAGAATTCAGCTGGCTGCAAAGCTGGGTGCGACAACTGTGTCATTTTGGGGAGAAACTCAACACAGTGTTCCCCAAATGGCCCTTCAAATATATCCCTTCAAAACCATGCTATGAGGCTGCATGGAAAAAGCCATGCTCTGGAAATTCACTGCTTCACACATCTCAAGATCACTTTGTTACCCAGATCACTGCAGCCTACACTCTTCAGAGAAACTTCAGAGGTTCTCTCTAAAAGCGATTATTTCAGCACAAGACAAACCAAAATAAAGCTACATGAAACCCCAAACTCTTCCATCAGTGACAAAAACATCGAAGGCACCAGCCAGAAACTGGCTGAGTCACTCGGATTGACCAGTTTTGGAAAAGCAAAATTCCACTGTATTAAACGTTTGGAAAGACACATATTTTCAATGACCTCTGTTAAGGATCTGAGCAACAAAACTGGTTTTCGTGGTTTCCAAGCGTGCCAGAGTTTACTTATTCACCCTCTTCACAATGTCTGAGGTACTAGCATAACTGGATTTAGAGGAGATGGAAAAGGGTGGAGGGAGAGGAAAAGGGAGGGCAAATAAAGCCAGAAATCTTTTTAAATCCCTTTAAAATCCAGGTCAGAAGAAATTCTCTTACTCGCAGTAAGCAGTTGCCAGCAAAGACAAGTGTTTTGGGAATAGGGAGTCTATCTTAGGGTTGGAAATCAGGATCTGGGCTTAAGCAGTTTTACAGAGGTGGTACCCTCTCTCGTGAATACACTAGTGCTAGTGAATGCACTAGTGCTCACTGATCCTGCACTGAGAATGCCATCTCCTGCTCCATGCTTTGTAAGTGTCTCTCTTGCGTGCAAATGCTTAGGGGAAGAAAGGCAAAACAAGGATTGCCCAGGCTGGATTCAGCTGGAATTTTCCATGGGCCTGCCTGCACTTACTTCAGCGTCTCGATCTTTCGGAGCCTTGTGGATCTTGGAACTGCTCTTTCCAACAGAAGTTCTGTAGTAATTTTTGACATCTTTAACCTCCACCCCGCTGCTGGAATCAGTCAGCTGTAGGATCTCTTCTTGTTCCCTTCCTGGTAAAACAAACATGAATGAGAGGAAGTCCTTTCAGCTGACTCCAACAGGGGAAAAAGAAGCAAGTTAGGAGGTTAGCTACTGTCTTCACTGCTGTGTTTGAAGTCGCCTGTTTGACCTGGTTGAAATGGAAATAGCAGAGATTGTTGTTACACTGGGCACATGCTCCCAACAACAACAATCCCTCCCTCGGCTATGAAATTGCTGCAGATGAAAGCTGTCCCCAGGGCGATGGCACTGGGAACTAGGACAGTCTCCCTGTCACCTGTTTGGACATCTCCTGAGCAACAGGGCTCTGCTCCAAGAACAGGCTTTCAAATAAACAGCAACAGTAAGAGTAAATACACCTGTTGAGAAGGAACTCCTCCCAAGGAAACAGTGCACTCATTGGCCTAACAATACGGGTAGGCTCTTTCCTAAATTCCCTAAAATTCTGGAAAACTGAATTAATTATCAGAAATGTAAATACTTACCCATCACTAACATCATCTCCTCACCAACAAAAACCACCCCAACAGTGCTGTGAATGCTATTGGTAAACTGATGTTTTTGTGCATCACTGTGGCCAGGACGGCACACACAGACTCTCTGATATTTATACTAACAACATAAATAGAGCCAAAGGAGCTTCATGGAATTACTGATTTGTGCCTTACTGCTCTTCTGACACGGATTCCAAGAGAAGGGGAGAAAGAAGAGCTCCAAGGCCAGGCTTGCTACCGTCTTTCTGAGTTAGTCTCACCGCTGCCTAAATGCCACTGCAGTAAATAGTGGGGAACATGCAGGACACTAAGCTGTCCTTAGGCTTGACTTCAGCATCACAACATACCTACAGCACCTGGACCGGGTTTGATGAGCAACAGGGCAGTGCTTTGTTAACACCTGTAAGCAAGAGCAATCCTTCACATACGGGATGTTTTACACCAGCATAAAAAGCATTGAGCCTGAAAAATGCTGTTGAGGATTTGATCCTTCAAGCAGCAGAGCTGTCACTTGAAAGTCAACCCACAGGATCAGGCCTTCACCTGCTGAACCTAATAAATCCACTTAAGCTCTAGTATTCACACGATAAACTTGACACCAATGACAGTGGATGTCCCCATCACCCTCTTCTGCCCACACTGACACCTCAGCCACCACTGTGTCACCTGTGACACCAGGAGAGCTGCAGGGAACACCACAACATAACACGCCCCATAGAATCATTATAGAACAGTTTGGGTTGGAAAGGACTATAAGATCATCCAGTTCCGAGCCCTGCCATGGACAGGGATGCCTCACACTAGACCAGGTTGTCCAAGGCTCTGCCCAACCTGGCCTTGAACACTGCCAGGGATGGGGCATTCACCACTTCTCTGGGCACCCGGTGCCAGCACCTCAGCACCCTCACAGGGAAGAACTTGCTCCTTATCTCCAACCTGAACTTGCCCTATTTCAGTCTGAACCCATCACCCCTTGTCCTATCACTGCAGTCCCTGATGAAGAGTCCCTTCCCAGCATCCTTGTAGCCCCCCTTCAGACACTGGAAGCTGCTCTGAGGTCTCCATCAGCTTCTCTTCTCCAGGCTGAACAGCCCCAAAAGCCATCACCACGGGTGACACCAGACAGCAAGCACATTCAGGTACCCCGGGGCCTGACGAACCCATCACCCAGCGCATCCCCGATCCACCACCAGCAGCACCCCAGTCCCGCAGCAGGATGTCCATGCAGGCCAGGCATCCCGCGGGGATGAACGCGAGCTCGGTTTTAGCTACCCGCTATGGCCGGAGCTCTGCCCCAGGGGAGCCCGATGTGCCGGGCGCTGCACGACATCCCCACCGCCATGCTGGGGATGGCACGGGCGGCGGTGCCAGCCTGCCACCCACCGCGGCTGTGCGGCTGCCCCTCGCACCTTGGGAACACCGGAGCCGGGCAGGGCCGCTTGGCGCCGGCCAACCCGAGCGCGGAGGCCGCGGTGAAGGGGCCGGCGTCGGCCCTCGGCCTCAGGGCACCACAGCGGGCTGCGCGGCCGGACTACAACTCCCAGCAGGCCCCGCGGCGCAGCCGGGCCCAGCACTGCTCTTCGGTGCCGCGGGGGCTGCTGGGACAGCGAGTCCGCGTCCACCCGCCCCCCCCCCTCCACACACACACACACACACAAAACACACCCACACACCCGAGCTCACCGGACCAACCGATCAGGCGTGCGGCCTGCGCCCAGCCCGCCGGCCCCGCCGCGCTCCCCTCACCTTGGGACGGGCCAGGCCGCGGCAGGGCTGGCCGTGAGGGAGGAGAAGTGTGTGTGTGTGGAGGGGGGGGTGTCCCCGCGGAGCGCAGCCAGCGAGGATGGAGGAGGCGGCGGGCGGAGGCGCCGGGCCCGGCTGCGGCTGCAAAGGGATCCGCTCCTGCCTGCTCTGCGAGGGGCCCGCGCAGGCCGCTCCGCCCCCACAGGTACCGGGGAGGGGGCGGCGGGGCGGGGCTTGCGGCGGGGCGGGGCCGGGGCGCCCAGCGTGCCCCCCCCCGGGCCGGGCTGGGGCCGCGGGGACCCCCCTACCACGGCAGAGCCCGGTTCTGCTCCCTATTCCCCCCCCCACACTCCCCGCAGGGCACAACGAGGGGCTGGGGACAAAGCGGGACCGCCCGGGTGGACAGAGCCGTGTGGGTTCAGCGATGGAGGCACAGCGCGGGCCTCACCCGCGTGTCCTGCAGCAAGGAGCGCTGCAAGCGTGGCCCCCTGTCCTTGTCGGTATCTTCCCTCGTTCAACGTGTATCGGTGTGGCGGGGCAGCCGCCCTGAGGAATACATCCCTGGCAGTGTCCAGGGCCAGGCTGGACACAGGGGCTTGGAGCAAGCTGCTCCAGTGGAACGGGTCCCTGCCCGTGGCAGGGGGAGTGGAACTGGATGACCTTTAAGGTCCTTTCCAACCCAAACCATGCCACAGTTCAAGCAGCAGTGGTGAAAAAGAAGCAGGGATGAGTTGTTCCCCAAAGCAGCAAGAATCCTGTACCGTTTATATAGACGTTGCAAGGGGTAAATCATAGAAATACCTTATGGCAAGAAGTCTTTTCCCCCATGGCTTTTCTTCTGTGTTGTTATTTCCGCAGGGAGAAGATAATTTCACTTACTGTCCAGCAACGGGCCTAGCTAAAGGAAACGAGCACTCGGAATTTGCTGGCTGGGCATTTCCATTTCCAGGGGTGCTCCTCGTGGAGGAGTTCATCACTGAAGATGAAGAGTCTGAGATAGTTGAACTGATGGATCGGGATGACTGGAAACCCTCACAGTCTGGCCGGAAGAAACAGGTCTGACTTTAGCAGCACATTTGATCTTAGGTCCCTCTGGGAAGGGAAAGCTGTTTTCAGCTGAACCCCCACAGCTTTAGATGTTTCATTAAAGGTTTGCCTTTGAAAGCAAGAATTACTTGTCATTAAAGTCGACTTATGGCAAAAATATGTGATAGTTACAATAAACAGCATTTTTATGCATGTTCAGGCATTAAAGTTCACAAAATCTCCAAGCCAAAGAAGTGGGTGGCTTGGTTTGACTTTACAGGTGGGAAACCTAATTCCAGATTAATGTGGCTTCACTGAGCCCTTTCGCAACCTGGCGACCAGGTCAGTGGAAGAGATGAGAACAGGACCCAAAGGCTTGACCGTGAGCCCTGTAGGGATTGCAGCCTCTCCAAAAACACTTGTCCTAGACTTTTCCTTAACAGTAGCTTTCCCCTCACCCTCTTTTCCGACAGGACTACGGTCCCAAAGTGAACTTCAAGAAACAAAGGCTGAAGGCTGGCAGCTTTACCGGTTTGCCAAGCTTTAGCAAGAAGATTGTGGCACAAATGGAGGCCTGCTCTGTGCTGGGTGGTTTCTTACCTGTTGAACAATGCAACCTGGACTACATGCCAGAGAGAGGTTCTGCCATCGACCCCCACTTTGACGACTGGTGGCTTTGGGGAGAGCGTCTGGTGAGCTTAAACCTGCTCTCAGAAACGGTGCTGTCCATGTCTTGTGATTCAGAGGACAGCATCCAATTATTTCCCACTTCCAGCAAAGAAAACGGGGAATTAAATCCCCCGGGATCTTTCACACAGACGCCACCGTGCCAAAACCCAGGCAAAGAGGGACGCAACTGCACGTTATCCCCATGGCTCGTTCCAAGCCGGGAGGTGACTGTTGCCGTTCCCTTGCCGCGGCGGTGCCTGGTGGTGCTCTATGGCGAGGCGCGGTACCGCTGGAAACACGCCATCCACCGCAGGCACATCCAGCGCCGCCGCATCTGTGTCACGTTCCGGGAGCTGTCTGAGGAGTTCAGTGCAGGGGGAAGGCACGAGGAACTGGGTAAAGAACTGCTTGGAATAGCTCTTTCCTTTCAAGGCAGGCCGGTGTGAGCAGCGAGAAGCGGCTGGAGTTGCCTTTTGTTAAGGAATATGCAAGATAAGCTGTACAAGTGGTTATTCCCAAGGTGTGTATACAAAGATACGCTCAAATGAGCTTATTTTTTGATGATAAGAAGCAGAAATAAAGAGTGTGCAAGAAGAGGGCGAGCTGCTTGTTTCTCCCAAGCCTGACCTGGGCATCGGGAGAAAGTCAGACCTGAGCTGTTGTATTCACTTGCTGTATTGTAACAAAGTGCAAAAAGCAAAGAGCCAGGGCTTAAGTACTTCAGTGTATCAAAGGAAGAAACATAGAATCATTAAACTGAGCTGAGTATCAAACAGCACAGGCTGAGCCCACACCCTCGGCAGATTTTAACCTTTCCTGGCCCAGAGCTGATCCTCTCACATTGCTTTTAGCATTGTACTGTGCCGTGGGGACACAACTACCTCCTAACCCACTTCGGGTAGATCCTTTAGAGATCCACTCTCCAGGGGAGGAGGGTAAGCATCTCTCACAGATAGTCCTGGGAACTAATTAAAGTAATTATCCTTTGCTGACGATTCATGCTTTAACAGGGAGGGTTAATCATAAATACTGTGTGTGACCCATATCTTTTGGGACCATACAGCAGCATTTGCAGAGGACCAATGCTGACTCTTCTGCAGCTTGGACGTTGTTCAGAGCAAAGACCTGCACAGACTGTGCTCTTTTCTGACCATTTCTCATCTCTGAACCCTGCTGTCAGCTCTCAGTAGCAAGAGCCTGATTTTGGGAATAAGCTGGGCAACAGACTGCAGCACTGGCGGCTCTCATCCTTTTTCCTGGCACCTCCAGCAGTCAGGTTTGAATCATGCCTTGCACCTAAGACCCAAGAAGTCAGCAGAAGCTCATTTGAGGCCATCTGTCTGCTCTGTGCAAACTCCTGTGCTCTTGAAAATGAAGTTGTGCAATGGAAGAAGTGTGATCCTTTAATAAACACAGTTGTGTGATCAGAACCACTTGGTGCAGTCACACCTACAGCAGTAAAACACTTCACAGTGCCACCTGGTTTCAGTCAGTAAAGAAAGGGGATGCATTTTTACATTGATATCAGTGTCCCTAGCAGAGCACAGAGGTTTTACCGTACAGCAATGTACAGCTGACAGTGCCAGGGAGGGAGCTCCTCACCCAGCAAAACAGTTACTAAGGGTCAACTGGGTGAATCAGGGTGTATTTTATCAGTTTAAGCTAACAGATACAACCACAGTGTTTTTTGGCTGCAATGAACCAGTTGCAGTTAAGCCCAGTATTTAAACATGGTGGACACCAGCAGGGCAGTAATTCCAACAGGGACCCGTGCACAGGGCTCCCACAGGCAATCCCAAACCCCAAACCTCCATCCAGACCAGCTACCTACATGCTCCAGCAGCCACTTCAGCAGTCCCAGCATGGTCTCTCCAACAGAAATCCATCACACAGCCAGCCAACACATGACAGGCAGGCCATGCTTGCTCACAGTGAGCTTTATCCCAGGGGCTTTCTCCTATGTTGCAACCTCTCCAGCTCACTCCCAAAAGCAGGGCCTCATGCTCACACAGTTCCTAACCTTTTTCCAGCAGGCTGGTGTCCACAGGACTCAGCAGCCATAGAGAGCATGATGTCCCCAGGCCAGCACCTGGAGCTGCTGTCAGAGCAGAGGAGCTTCAGCCACATAGGAGGACAATCAGCAGAGGACATTCAGCCTGCTGGAGCTCAGCACAATGCCACATGACAGGATGAAACCCAGGGCAGGCTTTTGGAGCTGAACCAAGCACTGAGCTCAAGTCCTGAGCCACTCCATCAGCCCGCTCTTTGCTCAAACACCAGCAATCACGTAGTTCCCATTAATGTTTGGCCCTTATTTCCAAAGCTTCCTTTTAGATTTATATTGTTCTCTCAGCCTGTTAAAATACTTCCTGTGCATGTACCTGCTGTTTCATTCTCTCTGCAGTGAAAGCGGATAATGATTCTGATGAATCAGAGTGCCACAATAGGAAGATACACAATATTGGTTCATGCTGTGCCCTGCATTTGTTAGCTGAACTTTTCTGCCTCAAACAAATAATAGAGGAAGCTGCTGTTCCTGCTAGAGTATTCCAGCTCTTCTGAGTTGATATCTTACATTTGAAAACATGAAAATAGCTAAATACTCAGTTGAAACCTGAGAGCTTTGTCCAAATGTCTTTGAAGTCCAAAACCCGATCTAGTCACTACACAGTCATTGCTGTGTCTATCTTTTGACATTCTTCACCTGTTAAACAGCCTCTTGGGCATCATCTTAGATCAAAATGCAGTTACACACCCATCCATCTGTAGAATCATAGAATGGTTTGGGTTGGAAAGGACCTTAAGATCATCCAGTTCCAATCCCCCTGCCATGGGCAGAGACACCTCACCCTAGACCATGTCACCCAAGGCTCTCTCCAGCCTGGCCTTGAACACTGCCAGGGATGGAGCATTCACCACTTCTCTGGGCACCCTGTGCCAAGGCCTCAGTACCCTCACAGGGAAGAACTTCTGCCTTATATGTCTTAGCTCTTCATTTTGATGAGTATTTTGGCTAGTATTGTTCACATAAGACAAGCTGTAATGGTCTTCATCCTATAGAATTCCTGCTACAGCTGTTTATCTCTTTAACCAAGATTAGCACTTGTAAAATGCACACCAAGAAGCACCCCCAAGTGTTACCTACTTGTGTATGTTAAAAGCAGAAGGATGATATCTGAGCAAGCTCTTGTGAAACAAAGGCAAACCCCAAGTTAACCCATAGAGGATGCTGGAGGACTTGAGCTGCCTTTCAAGAAAAATCAGCCTGAAATCAGCAAGAAGCATAAAACTTCACAGGTTTATCCAGTTTCTCTGAGATAGCTGGATAACGACTGAGATCTAGGCTGTTCTACATTAAGGGCTGTTCATGTAGAGATAAAACAAGAACAGGCAAAGCAAAAATAAGAGGTTTTCTTTTTCTCCTAGCACTTGGCACTCACCCTTGTCACAACCCTGGGCAGGAGGCAAGCTCCTGATCGCACACACAGGGATTCATGGAACGCTTTCCAAAGTCAGGCAGTCAGTAGTTACTGGAATAGCTTGGCTTGAAATGGGTGCAGAGGAGACAGCCTGGGAGAAGGTAACCAGAAAACAACCACACAGCCCAGTTGTGCTGGGATCTGGATCTGACGTTACAGCTTGGAGGGCGGTTATTGAGGAAGCTGTCTTAAAAGCAGACGCAACAAGATTTAGCAGAAAACAAAGCTGCAGCAGCAGGGGAACTCGAAGGCCTTTTGTTTGCTTTGAGGCAGGGAAAGAAGAGAAAGGACTATACAAAACCCCACGTAAAGCTACGGAAAGAGCAGGATGCGAAGTGCAAGCACCCAGTCCCACAGCCCACCAGGCACCCGTGCAGTGCCAAGCTGGGATTCCCAGTGCTGGGGCATGGAAGGATGTTTGCTCTGCAGCTGCACCCATCCCACCAGCTCTCTATAAACACTGGCACATATCAGAGTGCTGACCGCAGGGTGCGCTCCACCCGCGGCTCTTGCTCGGTATCGCTTTCATCCGTCACATGGGTCAGCCCCAATCCAACATCTAAACCATTTCCCCTGGTCATAAAGCCTCCTCGAGGGTCACCCAGCCACAGAAACAACAGAGCCAGGCCTGCCCCAGGGCAAGGTTAAAAATAGGGAGCTGCAGAGATCTGCCTCTAAGCACAGCAAAGGTATTGCTCCAGCTCCCACGCTCTCTCTGGCTTGCCTGCTCCCTACTCCTGCTAATGAGGGAAGGGAGAGACAGGAGTTACCTCCTACAGCAAGATAGGTGCCCAGGAGCCATAGGAAGCAAGGCCGGCCCTCTGTTTTCAACAGCTCCTCCTCTGATTTAGGGCAGGGGCCCTCCAGCACTGGAGCCTGCAGAGGCATTTTTCTGATGGGCAAAACCTACTTAAATGGAGTCTGAAGGAGGACTGTGCTCTCTGGAGTGAGACAGTGGCTGCCCCTGCAGTGACCCTCACTGCAGAAATGGCCCAAACAAAGCAATAGCTGGTCCAGAGAGTCACAGCCCAAGAGAGATGAGAATTAGGGCAACAGCATGCCTGGGCCCAAGGGTGGTACAGAAAGCTAACACATGTGTCAGGGAAGATCCTTGATGCAAGTCCCCAGCCCTTGGGAGAAACATCTCTGTGCAGGCATTGCAGGAACGGAACCACTCAAAACCTGGGACATCCCAGGAATGACAGAGAGGTGACAGCACAGGATGGACAGGGCCAGGCATCAGCAGGCAAACCTGGACGTGACACAGCACGCTGCCAGCCCTGCTGCGACAGCAGGGATGGTGTGGAAAGGCAGGCATCTCCATGCGTGACTGATGGGAATCCTGCTGACAGCCCGGGGGCAGCAGCAGCAAGGAGGATTTTCTGGCACTGTAGCACAGAAACACCCACCTGGACAAGTGCAGTGTCTGTTGGGGGAAGAGAGGCAGGAGCAAGAAAAGCAAATGCTGCCGTTGGGAAAGAAGGAGAGGAGTTAGAGCACAGAGGTGATGGGTAACCTAGAGAGATCCCACACACCAGAGTCAAAGAGCAAGAACAGTCCTGTGAGCTTCTCATGGAAGGGAGAACTTGGTGCCCAGGAAGACACAAGAAACAAACCTGCAAGCAAAAATGGGAAAGCACATGGTTATTCTGTTTTAAGTGTGTTTGCCCTTGGGACACCATCTCAAACCGTACCTCAGAATCCCTGCTGGAGTAAAGTGATCCCACTCCAGTCACAGATGCGCTGCCTTGAGCCTGATCTTGAATCCAATCCCAGCAAAGCTTCACCAAGTTATTCTAGGAAATCAAAGCACAGTTTTGGCTGCATTTCTCCATTTGCTAAAATTTATTGTATTAGCAAAGAATTAAATGAACAATTTGGCTGTTTCAAATGAGCTGCATTGCTGCTGCAGCACTGCATGCACACTGTGAAACCTTTCCTTAACGGCCTCTTGAGCTCCACAGCAAACAGAGCCCTATTATGATTGATGGCAAAGGAGAGTGCAAAGTACAGATGAAAGATTCATCCTGTCTGGCCTGGCTCTGGCCTCACAACAGAAATTGTGTTGGTGGAAGAGCCTATTGGCAGAAAACTCAATTCTGGTTTTTGTTGTATAAACCTTTAGTTTTTATTATGGTAAAAAGAAGAGGGAGAGAGGGCAGACTCCTGGGGAGATGGCAGGAATTCCATGGCCACCCACTTCCAGGAGCACACTCCTCATTTTTTGCATATGCACATAAGTACAGAGTAGGCATTTAGCACACAAAGACTATCTTCTTTGCTGCACATCAGCCAATGTGGTACATACCAACTGCGGCAAGAACAACAGATGAAAGCCAACAGACACAGTGCTAAGCAACTTGTTCAGCAATGCTCAAATTCACATGTAAACAAGAGAGATCAGAGTTGGGTTTCCAAGGCCCTCGCCAGAGGGGGATATAGGGACAGTCTCACCCTGCTGCAGCGGGATTTGAGTGTACTCTCCCCATTTTGGGAAGCTGATGTAATACGCTGTCATTAGATTTCTCAAATCCCAGTGGAATAAGGGAGCGGGGTTAAATAGAACACTACAAACATCCTTAATGATTTCAGAAACGTGTAAGGCCTAGGAGGCTCTGAAACTGCAGCGTCTGAGTGCAGAGCAGGAAACCAGCACAGGATCAGGGCCAAGAAAACATGCTTAGGCTTCTTTGAGCCTTACTTTCCCTTCAAAGAGCTGATGACTGCAGAACACCCCTTTCCCTCCATTAAGTTACCATAAACCATAACATCATTTTTCACACAAGTTTTCACCCACAAGGGTGCCACGGCATTTATAGGTTTCCCTTGCTAAGCAGCGCCGATGTGCCACTGTTTTCTCTGCTGCTGAAAAACAAAGTTAGATCAATGAAACGTGATAGCTCTTTAATGGCACACAGCTCTCCCGCCGGATCCAGCTCCGTCACACTAGCCAGTACAGCTCCAGGTTCCACAGGGAGTTGCCTGCTTTGGTGGAGGGAGAAGGGAAGCATTTGGTTTTGACAGACAAATGCTACAGCTCACGAAAAAAAACCCCAAACAACTGATGGAATATCCAGGACTGGGGCTTGTTCTCTCTAGCAGCCCAGGCTAAAGACATTGCAACAATACATACATGAAGACAACAGAGTGATGGGTTTCTACAGCATGCTATGTGCTGTCACTCCTTACCCTCCTTGGAACTTGCTTTTCTAGTCCTTCAAAGTTCTGGCTCATTAAATTCCCTGTGACTGCTCTAAGGATGTCCTTGTTAAAACTAAGCCACCTGTAAGCCTTCCCTGGGCACTCTTGCCTCTTACTGAGAAAAAAACACATGACCTTGGCAGTCATTCAACCTAATGAATTGATGCTACTGAAGAAAGTGTGACAGAGCTACCCAACCTCCTGCAATTCAGTCTACCTCCCCAGCTGTAAAAACAGAGTAAGGAATAACAAGAACATAAAAGCTAAGGCTGATTTCTTTCTGGTTATGTATCTATGGAATACTTGCTTTGGAACAAAGGTGATCAACACTCAGTTTCTATTGTGCTTTCCTGGATGTCCTCATGCCAGCTGCAGATACTCATATTGACCAGCTCAGCTCTAGAAATGAGCTGCAGACTAATTGCTGCTGCTCTGACAGCCAGGGAGCTCTGACACGAGACAGGTCCTACACACACACTGGCTTTTGGGACAGCTGACCCAGTTTTACTTTTGGCAACAGAATATTGCATTGGTAAAAAAGACAGATTTTTTGGCTACCTAAGCCAAGGTTAGGTTTTGGCCTTGAACTCCATGGCAGTGTTGACTTCAGTATGCAAGAGTGTAGGACCAGAAGCAGGCCAGAGACCCCAGCATCTGAAACAGCCCTAGAACCCACAGCTATGGATGGCAGGCGATTAGCGTTTACATAGTTAAGCCTCAAGACAATCCATCACGGGTGCATCTCACCAACTAGCAAAACAGGGAGTTTGCTCTTAGCCTTAGCAGAAGGATTCGCTGGAAGCAGCCCCTGCCTTGCAGTCACACTACCTGCATGCCTCTGTCATGCCCGTCTAACTGCACTTTCAGTTTGTGAAGCTCTTCGATCTCCCGGTTGTGGCGCTCCGTTTTGTGCCGCACCAAAGAGCGGTAGAAGTGAATGGTGAAGACGACAAAAATCAGACCCACGGGGACCATGATGATGGTGGAGACCAGTGCTGACTGCCACCCTGCGTGGCTGCTGGCCTTCTCCACGTTGGTGGTCTCGTTTTTGAGGATGGAGCCCACAGGCAGGAATTTTATCCAGCACAGAAGCACGACTTCCGCGAGGAAAAGGAGGATCCCCAGCACAGTGGAGAAGCCCCACGCCAGCTCGATGTAGGGATGCATGCGCTCATGTGGGGACTCGCTGATGGAGTTCAGGTTGTGGATGTTGCTCACTGCTTCCACGTTGGGCAGAATGCAGGTGCTGATGAGAAGGGCGAAGAGATGAACTGCCACGAGCACCGTTGTGCAGGCACTGAAAGCGATCAGCAGCATCTGGGGGTACTTGTACTGTACCTCCAGCTGTACCTCCACCATGGCAACCTGAGGGGAAAGGAACACAAGAGCTTGTCAACAGCTGCTGGTCTTCCTCTTTTCAAGGCTTTCATCCAGGAAAGCATCTTTATTCAGGAAGAGCACCTAAGGTCAAGTACACACTCAAGTGCTTTTTAGAATGGCAGCCTGGATGGATCATCTCTGTTTCCCATGAAGACGTACGCGCGCTTTGTGGCTCGGCCTTTCTGCAGGCTCGCACGCATGTTTCTGTGCTGTAGCTTTCTGAATAACATCTCTCTCCTTGCAACCAGGAGCCATATGAACTGCATCAAACCAAGCACACAACAGAAGGAACTCATTAGACAACGAGCGGAGCAAGGAGGCAGCAGACAGCCCGCTAGCCCAACCGCCCGTCACACGTTCCCCTTCCGCTCCTCACTCGAGGCTGCGGTGCAGGAAGTTCCGACTTCAGGCACGTAAAGAAAAGCAAAAGCAAGCAGCTCTTCTGGCCAGTGGCCAGCAAGGTTTCACCACCCCCCATGGGAAGCACTTGGCAGTTTAAGTGAGTCCATAGTTAAAATAGCTGCCTTCTATTCTCAGAACACCATACGTTCATTTCTATTACAAAATAAGTCCAGATACAAGTTATTTTTAACCTCAGATGTCTCCCTTGAGAGCTAATAACTGACTGATAGACTCTGCAGAAGTGGACAGCTACAGCTCAGGCTGGCGTTTGTTCTCAAAACAAGAGTTATCACCTAGCAAGTCCCTAAAGCAGTCTACTTTAATCAAACAAAGTTTAACAAGCAGAATAAGTGCAAGAGAGCAGAGGGCTCTTCTGAGATCAGAGCATGAGTCCTCCTACAGGCCTGTTAACTGGTTTAGCATGGGAATCTGTAAAGTTACTTAGCCTACCTGTGAAGTACAACAGTATTTTAATGTGTGGCATCCCTGAAGCGCCTGCAGAAACGTTTTGCTAAGAGAAGCCACAAAACCAAGGGACAAGACTATCCAACATTCCTCTCCGGTAACTCTCTAGGGGCTTGCTTGGACCTGCAGATGTACTTCATGATTCACACAGATACCAACTTGCCTGGCAGCAGGCAAAACCTCCGGTGATGCCAGGCAACCTGTTGCTCCAGCACAGCACAGCTTGCCACATGGTCTAGTGGAAGGTGTCCTTGCCCATGGCAGGGGGTTGGAACTGGATGAGCTTAAGGTCCTTTCCAACCCAAACCATTCTATGCTTCTGATTCTGTATGCGTTAAGGGAAGGAGAAGCCGATGCTCAGACGCCTGCCTCAGGGCAGTACCTCTCCAGACCATCAGGAGAAGGAGAAGTCCAAGCCAACAACTTGTTTCTGCGGGGTAGATAGGTTTTGCAGATTACTTTATCCAGGCTTCCCATGAGACCCTCACTGAGCAGCTGCTTCAGACTCTGTATAACAACCTGCACTACTCACTCTGGCATTACTTGTTATTAGCATTATTTAGGTACTGGAAGATTAGGGGCACACTCATGCTCTCCCTGTAGGTAGCCCCCAGAAAGATTAAAGGCGATAGAAGGAAGTCCCTATGTTGGTATGACTGCTGCCTTCCTACCTGCCTTTACTTTGAAACCATCAGCAGCCTGAACAAGGGGATCACAGTCAAGTCTGAACACACTTAATAGCAACCAAGATACAACATGTGTGTTTGTGGTGGCAAACAGTCAAGCTCTACAAGCTCAGATTTTATACCTACACCAACTATTTAGGATATTAATGACACCACAAATACAGTAACAGTTCTTGGATAGTCCCAGTCTTTTGGTCTGATTATGAACATGGGGGGGGGTGTCTGTGGTATTTTTTTGTTGTTTTTTTTAAAGGCAGTTTACAGTAGTTCTTGTCATATAGCAGGGAAAATAATAACACAGGATTAACTTCACTATCTATTGCAAGATCAGGTTAATTAAAAGGCATTACACATTGCCTTGCATATATTCCCTTTGCAATTCCTCTTATATTGATTTGAGGAGGAAGAGATCAGACTTACTCTCTGCTGCACTGTTCTGTACTAAGGATTTGTACAGTGCTGTGCTTGTCAGTCACACCCTATCAGGCAGGAAAAGCTGCAGGTATATTTGTTCTTTACTGGGTGCTGTAATACCCAGAGACACAGTATTCAGCAAGCTGAATAGGGATTGTACCTGCATGTTCAATTTATGGCTTGATAGTAAAACTGAAAGCCTGGCTGATGTCAACATATCAATTTCTCCTTGTTATCCTTCACATGAGCACTGCTTTCCAGCTAATTGGATGTTTCCTCCCAGACTTAACCTATTCCCTAGGGCTAGCTTCAGCTGTGCAACATGATGAATTTTTAACACTGACTGATGGCTCAGTAAGAGGTATTTCAGAGGAAAACATCAACAATCCAGATAGGGCAGCAAGGCAGAAAAATGATTTATTTAACCCAAACAAGTACTGGAAAGGTGAGTGAGCTCTTACTGCTTTACTCGCTACAGACAGTCACGTCATTCTCTGACCCGGATAAGAGAAAGAGGACAAGCTGACATAACCCATTTAAAAATCATTAAATATGCTGCTTGGCCTGTTAAACTATTAATGTCATGTTTGATACAATTATACTCTTCTGTGATAACAGCCCCTTTTACTTTAACCTCTTCCCAGAAGCCAAAGTGTCAAGGGCTCAACTCTGCAAGGTGCTGAGCACTCTGATGAGCCACAGAGTATCTCTGCACAGGCGTAATTTCAAGCTTGTGAATTGCCTCCTTGAACTCCACACTCACAGGTTTGCTAAAGGAGCAAGTACTCAGAACACTTTAAACAGCAACTAAATTACATGCAGTCAAGTTGGGGTTTTTAGACCAGTAGAGCTCAGGTTGTCCACAACAAAGATGATGCTCATCTCAAGAAACTCAGACTGGGATAGATAGTATCAGGCAAAAGGATGACAAACGGCTTTACATAAGCCATGTTCCTTTCACACAGATGGTTTGGCAGCCTGTAGAAACAATCACTCCATTAGATCTGTTAGGTTTAAAAAGAAATACCAAATACATATCCTGTAGCGATTTGACAAGTATTGAGAACACTGATGAGCAATTACAGCTCTTATTTCCTTTAGGAAAATTATTAAGGAGGTTTCCTGAACTCCATCTTCACCTGCAGTCTCCCTGGGGCAAACACAGTAGCCCTACAGCACATCTCCAACCAGCCCTGGTGCTGGAAAGGACCCACATCCTCCTGATTCACCCAGCTCTCTGCCAGAAATACCAGAGATAGCATTGAGGAAGGTTCACGTTATCCTGCAGCCTGTCCAGAAGGAGCTGGACCAAAGCCACTGCCTGTTGATTAAATATCCATCAGCTCATATTTTTCAGGTAGTATGGAACTGGCCAGAATCAAACACACTGACAGGGAAGTAAATGAAGCAATAGCCAAGCCCTTGGGTGACAGTTGTTTACATAGTTAAATGCACACAGGGAAACTGCTTCATAGAATCATTTAGGTTGGAAAAGACCTTTAAAATCATTGGGTCTGACTGTTAACCCAGTACTGCCAAATCTACCACTCAACCATGCCCCTAGGTGCCACATCTACACATATTTAACTCTAAATAACTTCTCTACTTTCATCAATAGCCACACAGGTGCTTTTATTAGAGAGTAGACAGCCGTGTACCACATACCTGTGTGCCAAATTACCAGTGGAGAAATAACCCTGCAGGAACAAATAGCTCAGCTTCCACTGGAAGGTCCAGTATGACCAGCTGGGAAAAAAAGCTTGCTAATAAAGGGAATCCTTTATTACAACCCCTTTTATTTCTGACAATGACTGATTTCAGGTGTACTTATGAACTTAAGCTGATGACTATAATTGATGCTACTTATACCTCTGTGTTTATTTGCATTATTTACATATTATATTTACATATACCTATGTACTACTTGCATTTTAAATGGTTTAAAGAGAAGTTAAATGGTTAATCTTGTGTCTGCCCAGGACTTTCAGCAACTCTCTGTTGCGTGAGTTGAAAAGGCAGCTTTGTGTTCAGATACATGGTTCAGCCTTGCAGTGTGGGTGGGCTATAAGGCCCCCCTTCATCCCAAGGGTGCCAGCAACAGCAGCACCCCAGCACAGGCACCTGCTTGTGCAACCACACTAGACAGATCAGTTTACAACAATACCAAATGTTAACTTAATAATCACATTAAAGAGAACAGTCACAAATGACCAACATAGAACTTGAGCAACCCAGAGGCACAAAGGGCAAGCACGTGTGCAGCTTTTTAAAGGGAGAAAGCTTCCAAGTGAAAGGAAAATACTACAGAAAAGCACACAACTTTCTCAACATGAGGAGGTACCTTCTGCCATTCCAGCACATGAGCTGGGTTACAGACCAACATACACCATGTGGAAAGCTTTCACCAGCATTACTTCCATGCAGTCAGTGAGCAGAGAGGAATCATGAGGCAAGCAGGCACCCTCTCCCCTGCAGCCTGCTCCCACTTCACTCCCTGCTTGTGTCTCTCCAACTTCACTTTGGGTGACCAACTTCGTCATCCCAGACTCTTGCAATGTTACAGATGATTCATGTTCTGGGGGATTGAGGGAGGAAAAAGCAGCGGAAGAAGCTAAAATAAAACAAGGAGAGCTATCTGGAAAGTTCCTGAGATCTGTCTTCCCCTCCAGCTTCTGATCTGCAGGATGCAGTATCTTCACGTCCCACTCACCCAGGCACTGCCCTCTGCCTCTGCATTCAGCTGACAGATCTCAGGAACAACCAGACCATTCCCTGAGCAGAAAACCTCCTCTAAACAGGTTGCAATTCTCACTCCCAATAAGCAAGAATCAGAAGGGAGATGGAAAGAGTCACACCGACACAGAATACCAACACAGAATGGCCATGTTCTGCTAACACCACAGCTCAGACAGGTCTGAGCACTAGACCACTGTCTCCATGTTCGTTTGCTCATTCCCTTTCATGGTTTGGACCTACGCAAATAGCTTCCAGGTAACACCCAAGTGCTGCACAGAGAAAAGCAAGTATTAGGGATTATTCCCAATAGGCAGCACTGACAGAATATACCAGCCCTCCAGGCCAGAGTCCTCTGACACCAGGTCTGAGGCTGCAGGGCCTCTTCTCACACCTCAGAGTATAACACAATTGCCCCAATCACACTATGCAAACTTTGCTCAGGCAGACTGTGACCCAACCTCCACCTTGTTTTAGGCACCATGACCTGCAAAAACATACAGGAATTAAGATAATAGAAATTAAGATAATATGCGGGACCACAGCAACCACAGAGGCCCAGAGGAGCTCCACACCCAAATGTAACCTCATGTGAAGGCAGCCAGAGATGAATGGCCTCAGGGACAAAGGAGCACCCAGCTCCTGTACTGTTTAGCAACACTGGTGGAGCACTCAGTTGCAGGTAGGGGATTAGTACTTTTAAAGGGCTGACTTGGGAGTGTGTGGGTTGACAGGCAGCTCATGCAGCCTTGAGAGACATAGCCTCAAACTTCTCAGCAGCAGTCACACAGAAACCCCCAGACAGATGCCTCCTGCCTCTTCAGACACCACCAGTGTGTCCTGCTTCTTCACAGGAGGAAAAAGCTCCCATGAATAGATGATTTTAGAGAACCAAAACCTTCAAGATCCAGAAAGTGTTGCTACCAAGTACACATACCATTGCAAATCCAGACAGCAGAGCAGAGGTTCTGCTGGAAGCTTTCAGTTTGGCTCGGCTCAGGTAGAGTTTTCTCCAGGAAAGGGCTTGAACGGAGTGGTGATTTGATGTGACCAGTTCCAGGTAGCTGCGCCGGACCCAGTCCCGATAATCCATGCCTTTTGTGCCAGGTTCAGAGCAGCAAGCAGGAGTGGAAGGATCCACTGGAACGTTTAGTTCAGAACTCATGATGGGAGAAATGCTGAGGGAACAAAATGGTCATGTTCAAAAGGAGGCAGTGGGCAGGACCAGCACAAAGTACTCAAAAAGCTACGTTTAAACAAAGTTGCCCTTGGTTGGCAGAAAAATGATGGACCAAATACCATCATGTTTGCAAGGCACAGACCAGGGAAAGGACCATCCATAACTGCTAAAAATGACCATGGGAACTAGGAAAGATTAAACAAGTAAAGCCGGGAACTACTCCAGCAGAAGGTCAGGAAGGCAGCACAGCATCTGGCTTCCCATTTCCAAACTGGCATCTCACCTCTCCCCTTTAATTCCTCCTTGCTCATAAAAAATCTGGTTTATATAAAGACACTGTGGAAGTGGAGGCTCCATCTTCTGATTCTGTTTTAAGTTGATAGTTAATTTCACAGAGGTTTTTTTCCAGTTAAACCATTGCTCATCATAGCTCAGTTTAGATGGGCACAGTTCTTCCCCAACAGCCATAGAGCTGAATGCTGCATAGGGTTAATAAAGCTTCCGCAGTGGGAAGTTACATTTCCTGAACTGCTCCCACCATCAGACTGAGAATCCTGTTCCCTCACTTCCACCAGTGGCTCTTAGCACAGGGAAAGGAAAAGACAATTCCAAGGGGAAAAGCCTTCCAGGTAGTTTCAGCATCTTATTCAAGAGATTACACTGACAGATGTAAGAAAGCAGCAGAACAGATCTACCAGGTGAGCAGAACTCCCTCAACTCTCACCAGCCTCTGAAACCAGATGTTTAACTGGGCCTTCCAAAGAATGGAAACCACAATGCTCTGATCGATCCCCACCCTCACAACTCGGCCACCAAACACCATGGCAGTGGCAGGGAGCAACACCAGAGCTGCACCACACGAGATCCTTCTGGCTGTAAATACTCACCAGCTCCTAGGAGGAGGACATGCACGCCCAGAATGACACACGGTGTGGTACTAATTAGTCCCAGCACCACACCTCAAGGTCACAGGCACCTTGCTGCTTGCTGGAGAGGAGCTCCAGACCCGCCTGCATCCTCCAGCTCTCCATGACCATGTGCCACATGCTGCCAGCTAATAAACCCATGTTTGCTGTGAGATTTGAGGAAGTGGTGAAGATGAAAGGGACATCAACCGCCCACAAGTGTAAATATTATTACTAAAAAGGAACAAAACTGTCCCAGGCACAATAACAAAGATTAGACTGCAGCACAGCAACTAAAGCATTGCAGGAAGCAAGACTGTCCCTCCCAGGCATGATGGGCTTTTAGATTCCAGCCTATTTTACAGAAGGCAAAAACCCCAGCCAGCAGCTCTCCCCCAGCCTCCTGGGGAGGATCAGAGGGAGAAACATTCTGTGAGCAGTGAACCTACAAAGCTGTTTCCTGTGACAATATCCTGTGCGGATTTTGCAATGTACAGCATGGGGTGCACTCGCTTTGTCCTTAGCTGGGACACCAATGGCCTCTACCCAGTTTGTATTTGCACAAAACTTTACGTGTAGGAAACTGCAACCCTTGGGACAAATGCCATTGAAAAGACGAATGAATCCAGAGGTTATAGAAGGGAGAGCAAGAGCACCCAATCACGTCTGTGTCTTCCCTTAGAAAAATAAGCTAAAAATACCACAAGGATGAATTTTCACTCTGGAGCAGCTCAAGAGTTGTTCCCAAATAAGTAAACAGCTTCAGAAGAAAATCCACAACACACAAATGTAGCCCAAACAAGCAGGAACAGGACGGCAAACTCACCTTGCTGGCTACGGACATTGAGGGACTCGGTGGAGGGCTCGAGGGCTGAAACACAAGACCAAAAAGGCATTTGACATACACTGTATGTTAAGCAGTTTTACTCCGGAAATACTTTCCAGCCAGTTATCTGCATCAGGGTGAGTTATTCTGGAGAGTTCATGCTCCTGCCTTGCAACGTTAAAGCTTTAGGATGCTTGCTCTTACAGAAATAAGTATCCTATGGGGTTTTACTGCACAGGGCTGTTGAGTTTTGGGTGGAGAATCAGAACTTCCCCTGGAGACCTCTTCCTTAGCCTAACAGCCAGCTCTGTGTCCATCCCAGCTGTGTCATTACTCACTTGCATTGCGTATCTTTGGTCCCACTCCCTCATATCCATTTGGATCACTTATCCAGCATCGCAGGGAAAGCCTTTGCTGTGCCTTACACCTCAGCTGCCCCCGTGCAGCTGCAAGCCCATGTGCAGGGATTTCTTCACAGCAGGGAATGAAGGCGATGCTGCCAGGGCTGAGATTTGTGGATCCCCCTCCTGCTGCTGGCATGCTCTGAACCATCGCTTGCAGACTGCTGTCTCAGCAGCGCTGTCAGCTTCCCTGCCTGGCTTTGGGATGCCAGCCTCCCCCTCAGACTCATCAGTGTTTGTACCAGTGTCTTCCGCCTCTGCACAGCATCACTCAAGGCCCCACATATTGTAATTAACCCCAGGCTCCACTACTCCTTATTCCTCTGCTACACTGGGCCCCCAAGCTCAGCCCCTCTTCACTATGGGAAATCCCTTCACATGTTCTCATTTGGCTTGTGATCCCCTCCCTGGGATGTCACCACCCAGGCAGGGTGTGAACGCCCCGCAGCTTACAACAGGGGATCACCTCCCGAGCAGGATGTGACCCCTCTCCCCACCACCACGGCAGCGATCCTGCTCACAGGGCATCAAATGAGCAGGGCGTTTCTCCTCCTCCCCGAGCACTCTCAGCACACGCCGGGCAAGAGGTGACCGCACACAGCAAGGATCTCCCCTCCAACAGCACCCTCAGACAGGGGATCCCCAGGCGAGGACGAGACCCCCACAGCGTCCGCTCCAAAGACACTGTGGACGGAGGATCTTCTCTAGGCAGGACAAAACCTCCTACCACCAGATCCCTGTCCGGCATCCCACGGATCCCCCCATCTCCGCAGGCAGAATGGGACCAGCTCCCTCCCCACACCAGAGACACCCCCCCCCCTTCCAACAGCACCGGAGGCTGCCCCGCACCTTAGGCTGGCGGTGTTTCCCTTACAGCCCCGCGGACCGTGGAGCCCTTTGTCAGGATGCGACCCCGGAGAGCCGGCCTGCACTGTGCCACCCCAAGGGAGCTCCACAACACCGCAGGGCGGGACGGGACCCCCTTCCCTGCCGGCTGCCCACACCCACCACCCCCGGGACAGGGCATTCGGGCCGGAACACGGCACCCCCCCCACCCCGGCCCGGCCCGGCCTCGACCCCGGCTCACCGCTGGCTGCCCTGGGCCGGGCCGGGTCGGACGCGGCGCCCCGGGAGCACCCGCGAGCCGGAGCCGCCTCCACCGCTGCCACGGCAACGCCGCGCACCGCCACGTGACCACACAGGAAATGGGGGGGGTGCGGGAACGACGCCCCGCCCACCTCATGTGACCGCTACCTCATTGGTCCCCTGGACGGGAGGGGCGGGGCTAAAAGGGCGTTTCCCGCGCTGCAGGTCCCCTAGCGCCAAGCAGGGATGGAGCGGGGACGGAGGTACCTATGGATGGCACGGGAAGCGCATCCCGGGATGTCCCCCGGCGCCACGGGGCTGATCCGGCAACGGGATGGGATCCGCATATTCCCTCTGAACGCGTATCTGCAGGAGAGAACAGTCAGTGCTAGGCTCCCGAGCTTCATGGAGCCCTCCCCGCTAAAAACGTTACTCGGTCTGGACCTCTTGCCTCTAGGTATTCCCACAGAGAATGTCCCCAGGCAATGGGGTGTAAATGTGATTTTATTACAGTTATTAATGATACAGCAAAAAATCTACACTCACATAAGTCGAAAGGCAGCGCTGGGTTGTGCCCCCACTGAGTGAAGCACGGGCAGAACCCCCTGCTCAAAGGGGTACAGGGGCAGCCTGCAGTGTCCCCACATCCCTCCTGCACAGACTCACCGGGAAATCCTGTATGAACCTATCAAAAGGTTGATGGGGAAAGAGGAGGAAGCTCTTTCCCTGAAAATGAGATAAAGGAAATGCCAAAAGGCTTTATCACACCACAATCCTATCTCCCTGAACTCCCTCTGCCTGGGGGAGGGAAAAGACAAAGGCAAACTATGCCTAAACACTTATTACAGAGACAAGTACATTTGTTACCCTGAGTGGGCTTTTCACCTCTGAGATTACGAATACCTCTGCCTGGTTTCAGCACTAACACTGCTGTCTCAGGGTCCTGAGCTTGCAAGAGCACACACAGAAATGGAACAGCAGCAGGCTTTAGCCCCTGGCAATTAGTCTCCATCAGAGAAAGGAGAGGAACTCCTCTAGGAGAGAATCCAGAACAGTAATTTTAACGTAAGCAGATCAAACTCCTTGGCAGTTTCAAGCTTCAAGCTTTTGCAGTGCTGTATTTGGAATAGGAAACAAGTGTAGAGGTGATCCTCATTTCACTACTTAAGGGAGCGCTTCCTTTTTTCTGCTCCTCAGTTTGAGGCCACAGAGTACTTGTATTTTGTCTTAACTAAGAACCAGCCCTTCAAACTCTCTCTCTAAAGTGACTTTGTACTCTTAAGAGATGTGGCACTGACACAAACCACAACACAGAGTAGTAATTTCCAGAACTCATAGCAAAACCTATCAAATGCACCTCCTGCTGCTACACTCAGCCACCCCAGCAGGAAAGACCATATAGCAGATACCACCTTCAGCAACACATTCTCTTTGCTTTTTATGGATTTCACCTACAAATGTGGTATCCCTAGGAAATGAAGGGTATGAATAATTCAACATGGGTAATGATGGCATCTTAAGGAGGCAGAATGAAGCCACACAACCTGAATACATTTAGTTCACCAAGAAAAGCTTCAGTCCATCTTCCTCGTGACTGAGAGCCGTGTCCTCATGCGGCAATGTCTGCTCTACTTAATGCAAAACAGCACTTAATTATTCAGCTTGAAAGCCTGACACGCTCAGAGGCAGAACAGTCTTTATTTGTGAAACTCCCACTTCTCCATCCACGAAAGCTACAAAACATGACAACGATTTTACAGCTCATCCTACAACACCAAAGAATCAACCGAGTTCACCTGCCCTAAAGGGGATGCAGGTGAAGTAGTTCTCATAGCTCATCTCTCCACAGGGAAAACGCCAACAGCAGAGCATCCATTCTGCATCTGAAGTATCAGAGAACAAAGCACTGTCACAGCTTACTCTGAAGCACTTGCCTCTATGGAGATAAAGCAGAAAACAATTCCATGCTGATCTCTAACTCAAGGAGTGGTGGGATATAGGCCTCGCAGCTCAGAAGTTACCCAGCTCTGAAGTCTTTGGGTACTTACAGGCGATCAAAACACAAACACTGCTTGCACTTGATGACATCTGCTTCCCCGCTGCCATGGCAGTACCACTGAAAAGCCATTGCATAAAGCCAGCTCAGGCAACATGCAGGATTTCTGGCAGCACTGTTCAACAAAGGCTAAATCTAAAAAGAGATTATCCCTTTTTATTGTTTTCTTTTTTTTTGCTTGAAATAATTTGGCATTAACAAAGGCTTGAGGAGAAGTAGCACCACATTCTGGATGCTGAGGTCCTGGGACGAGCATGTCTGAAAGAGAGCAGGCACTTCTAATAGAAGATACACTGAAAAGACAACACCACAAGTTACAAATAAAACCACTGCTGCATATGCTTTTCATTTAAGCACCAATAACTATATATATACATATGGATGTGAGGATTCCTACCAGGGAACCCAAAGTTCAAAGCAAGAGAGCAAGGCAGGCATCATTATGTGAAGCTAAACACATGCAAAACCATTCCTTTCCAAGCCTTTCTGCCACAGGATTTGGAGGCTTTACAGATGTAATCTTTTGGGAAAATATATTGTTCCAATCCAAAAGCAAAAAGGAAATGAAATGCAGCTGACACCTTTACCCTCATTTTCATGTGTGCCACATCACTCAGCACTGCAAGCATCTCTATTTTACCGAAATCCTCTTCAAAAACAAAACAACAACAACAAAAAAAGAACAATCCAACACATCCCCTTTATTCATTTAAAAAATCAGGGAAGAAAAACAGTAGGGAAAGTTTTAGCCATAAAAAAGGGATCCTGCTTAAAAATCTATAGAACTTGTCCAGCAACATAAACTGATTTCTTTGGGTTAGAGATGACCCCATACAAAACCCCAAATTCACAACACTCACAGTGCAGGAGAGTCTGGCTACAGACCACTTTTCTACTTTAGGTTAAACTCTTCCCTTAGATTCACATATCCCACTGCTACCACCTTCAACATAAGTAGAATACGTAGCCCTCACAGTAATATTTTCCTTAAGTGGTAATGGATATGTTTTAGCTTTTAGACCAAAAAACCACTCTGGGCCATGTCAGAAAGAACTCTAGGGTCACAGAGACTTATGGCTGACTCTTTAGAGCAAACTTCGAGCAGACTGCACAGCAGTTATACAAGCAATTAAGAAAAGAATCTCTTATTTGGCATTTCTCTATCGGTATCTCTTGGGCCTGTGATGTGAAGGTCATTCACCGTGAAGCAGATACAATGTATGTCAATGGGTTCTGCTTGGCTGAGATGAAAGACTTCCATGCTCCTGAATATAAAGCGATGAACAGTGTTTCCAGCTGTCCCTGAAAGGCCTCATCCTCTTCCCATCACAAAGCTTGGCTCTTCAGCATCATCTTCCTTCTCTTCCTCCTCCTTGCTATCCTCATCATCATCCTCGCTGCTGGCTTGCTCTTGAGATTGGTCAGGTTCTGAAAACACAAGTTAGAATTGATAACATATTCCCATGTGTCTTCCTTGTTAAGGATTTCACAACAAAATAACCTCAGGTGCTCAGCAAATGTGTATGAGGTCACACTAATTAGCAGGGATGGGTAACATATTCCCATGTGTCTTCCTTGTTACATATCTCACAACAGAGTAGTCCCAGATACTAAGGAAACATGTATCAGGTTCTATGAACTCTACCGAGCGATGCAGAGCTCAGAATATCAAATTCTCCCTTGGAGAAATATTCCCTTACCTCCAGTGTTACCACTGTGCCAAGTCCATCATTAACAACTCCACCTCCCATGGTATGTTATTTCAGAGGCAGTCAAATGCTGAAGTGATTGACAGCCTCACTCCCAACCTCACCTCTGTGTGTCAGCATGAACTTCTCAGTATCAGAGTACTGATAGAGACTGCAAGCACTGGGGAGCTGTGGGCAAGGCTCAGGGTGTTTCTACATTTTCCAAGTTTACAGAAACTCTACAAGGTGCCATTAACTTTACAGACTGGGTTTTATAACACAAGTACAGGAACTTGTTAAGACATGGGTAAGATTAATGAGGGCCACAAGAAACAGGAGGCCAGGTGGGATGGGACTTGGAGCAACCTGCTCTAGCAGAAGGTGTCCCTCCCCATGGCAGGGGGTTGAAAATGAATGAGCTTCAAGGTCCCTTCCAACCCAACCCATTCTATGGTATGATTCTATGACACTCATGAAGCCTGCTAGAAGATCAGAAAACAACTACTAGAATTTAATTAACAGACAATGGAAATTAGGTACAGCATAAAGTGGAACCTGACTAACAGCCATTCTCTGCTCCCAGCAGCTCTTGCATCTTTACTGTAGTTTCTCAGGCCAAGTCACACCCAGCTCCTGCTCTGACCACTTACACGGAGCATTTAGGATCAGTGATCTGATGCCACCGCGTGGTGAAGGTCTGTACTTTCATTTTTTATTAGGGGCCTAATGCACCTTTTAACAGCTGATCGTTATATAGTGCCACCCTTTATTCTTAATGGTTTTACTACAACAAAGATGAAAGATGGCAACTCGGAGGTTTTATTTATCATTTAAAGAGGAAAATCAATGCTTGCCTGCGAAAATCCAACCAATATACTTCAATTAACTTGGAAAAACTCAGATTTCAACCTGGACATGCAAAACTAGAAAAAGACAAACCTGTTCTCAGTAGACTAAAGATGGCTTTTAGGGGCTTCAATCTCCACTGATTATTCCCCACCTCCCCCAGTTACTCTTCTTTTTCAAACAGAGAACCACAAACTGTAAAGAGCTAAGAACTGTTTTAAAGACAGGGGAGTTTGGATTCTGGCTTCCAGGGATGACTGCCTTGTGCCAAACAAAACCACACGGCAGTCCCTGAGCCAGCTCCCTTCTCCACCACTCCCTAAAGAGATGAGTATTCTGTTTTGCTCACTCAAAGTGAACAAAAGTACATTGATTCATACCTAAATTCTCCTCCTAGTCACGGTTCATCAACAAGTAGCTGAAAAAAACACCCCAGAACCAAAACAAAACACCCAAACAATCCACTGTGCTACATTCACTTGATGTCCCAAGTAAAATTAACCTAATGTTTAATTTGTTCTCCCATGTTTATTATGGGAGGCTGGCAATGGTTTGATTGAAACAGATCCAATTCTGAAAAGCACAGCAGAAATAAGGCAGAATTTCCAGACAAGTCACTGTTCCACCAGAATTACCAGCAAGTGCTTTAAGAATTACTGCAGGGTTAGTGCTAATCCATGATGGACTATTTGAAGGTGCAAGCTAAAATATGCTGACTGGAAGGAAGCAACAAGTACTGGAAAGTTTGAGCAAGCAGTTACACTGACATGGCTGAACATTAGTTTTCAAGACTGCAGGATAATGGAGGCAATCAGGTTTTTCATGTTTATTCCTACGTGAAATAAGTCACGTGGAACAGATGGCACCAAGGCGACTCAGTTTCTTACACACAAAATCAGACCTCAGTTTCCTGCTGTCCAAGTTGTGCATTTCCCACCTGTTTTCCCACACACATTCAAAATATACTTAAAAAAAAAAAAACACCTTTAACAATAGTGCCTTTTTTAGCAATTATGTTCTAAATCTGCAGTTTGTCAGAATAGCTGGGGCAAAACATCCACAAAACAAAATCCACATTGAACAAACTCTGATTCCAAGGTTTGCTGTCCAAAATTTTCCCTAATAAAGGGAAAATATTTTCAAGCAGACGAGTTATTTGGAAGATTAAATCTCAATATAGATGGCTTTCAAAGAGGACTTTTGAAACATCAGCTAAAATAACAAGCTTATGGCTCAGTTTTCTTATCACTGTATCAAGAATGCTTGGGGCAGGGGTAGAACAAACCCTTTTAGGCTTCAATGAGGGAACAGAACTAAGTCTTCACAAAAGAAAACTAAATGTCACTGACCTTTTTCTTGCTTCTTTTGCTCAAGTTTACTTTTCTTAGCTTGCAGTTTCTTCTCTTTTAACTTCTGACTATAAGGCAAAGGAAAAGACTCTTCTGCAAATCCAACATTGTAATGCTTCCACACATTCAATCACATGCTGATAAAGGACATGTTACAGACATCTTTGAAAAGCAGACTTCAGAAGAGAAGTTGAATTTAAACTGAAACTTCAGCAAGAGCAAACTTAGACATATGGTCAACAGAAAAGTTTCTATGTTGCTTTTAATCTAATGGATTATTTTAAGTCTTCCATGATGCCACTGCAAGCAAAGCTATGATACATAAGAATCTCCAAGAACACAGAAGGAACAAAAACGAAACTACCCCTGCGTTTTAGCTACCCACCCTAATAAACAGAGAAAACAGAACCATACAATGGTTTGGCTTGGAAAGGGTCTTAAAGATCAAGTTCTCAAAACCCAGGCTGCTGGAATGGAGCATTGAAAAAAAGTAAAGTCATCATCAGTAATATATAATTTAATTGACAAAAATTAATGCGCTATGCTTTGACTTTCGTCTTTGGCTATACTTCATCAATATGTTGAGCCCTAGGAGTAACATTAGGGGTAAAAGTGAATTTCAGTTCATACAAACCAGTTCTGTTTACCCAGCAAAGGTAACCAGGCAATCTAAATGCAGACAAAAGGCAGAGCAACCTGGGATTCATGTTCCTCTCTCAACACCATAAACAAACTCTTGAAACAGAGAGCCAAGCACTGTACCTGTTAGGTTACAACAGAAGAGAAAGGGCAGTAGGGGAATGCAGAGGGGTTCCTACAGGGCAAAGCCACTTGGTACCTGCACCCCTACATAAGGGGGACAAGGAGATTTCAGTGTTTAGGCAGTATCTCCTGTTTGAACAGTTGTTCTCCATCTCAGCCAGAAAAAAGGCAGCAGGCCAGATCTGACTTGCTGGCCATCTGTTGGACCACACTAAATTAAAGTAAGATGGCAACAGTGTTTGTGCTGTGCACTTTTGTGCTAACATGCCAGTGAGTCACTCTGCACAGGCCTTTCTGCAGCAACTCTCAGCTACAATGTGTAAACCCCTTCTTGAAGGAGGGAGAGGCCAGACCCTCTGAAAGAGCTGAGCCATGATACCCTGCTATTTCTGACACGTATGGTGGACACAAACTGTGGAATTTGAATTCCTGTGTCACTGCATTACAATGTTCAGACTATTTCTTGAGAGCATCAATCCTGTAACTGTCTTTGTCTAAAACCTGAGAGAAGGATGGATTCAATATTTATTTTTCCATCTAACTTGCTAGACTTGACCTGTCAGGCATTTCAATGAGGTAGGTAGAGGCAGCTCCTGATTTTAACAATACTGCACCCATGAGTGGCCTTTTCAGTATTCACAGACTGAACTGGACTAGTCACACTGAGTGCACAGTAGACAGCATCAGGCCCCACCACGCTCCGCTAGTCTGAACCCCCATGTGTACCCATTAAGCAGCACCCATTTTTGCACTTAAGCTGCTTGGTGTCAGCTGTTTCAGGTATTTATTTAAGCCAGCTGTACATACAAACCTTTCCAGACATCATTACAACAAATATGCAGTGAGGCACGTTGCAGGCAACACCACAGTGTCAGCAAAACCTGCTTAAGCAGTGAAAAGTAACCATGCCAGCAAGGCCTGTCATGTTTACAGCTACCTTTAGAAACCAAACAGTGACATTAACAAAATCAATTTCCACAGCCAGACTTCTTAGCTGATAGATGTAGGCACAGAATGATAGCATTTATCCAAAGCATGCAGCTACAGATGAGGCACGGGGCACGAGGGTTTCCATGTCAAGCCTCCTGGGAACAATCTGCCCTTACCGCTTCCTTCTGCGTTTTGCTGTTTGTTCTTCTGCAATCATCTTATTCCTCTCCAGTTTCTTCTGGAATTCCTCATCTAGTCTTTGCTGTAATTGATCACATGTCACACTTTGGTCACAATCTAAGTTAAAATACTTCTCTTAAAAGTCATGTCCTTTTAGGGAGAAGTCTTTTAGCAAAATACAGAAGGGAGCTTTGCCAGATTTTGTTTGGCTGCTTTTTTATACAAGAGCCATATTCCTACGGACGACTACAGCATTTTGAACCTGCAGCCTGTGCCAAACACTGAAGCCTTCAGAGGGAGGTATCCTCACCAAAACAGATGAGGGAGGTTGGGCTTCTGCCCTAAAAATGTTTCACTAAAAACAAGAGAATAATTTGAGACACAAACATTAACATACGGCTCAAAGGACTGATCTTGGCCAACAGAGAGTAGAATATTAATGCTCTCTGAAAGAGTGCTATTCTACTCAACCAAGACTTAACAGAAAGAGACTCAAACTCTACGCACAGGCACTTGCTTCAATTCTGTCTCTGCAAGACAGTGACATTAGGAATTTCTAGTTTATAAAGCATTTTCAAAGCACCCTGAGAACACACATTCATGTGCAGTCTTACTGTGTGCTAGGACTCCAGTGAACAGAGATGATGGAGCACATCTGACACAAAGCACTGAATGTTTCGATACCAACAAAGACACCACATATCACACACTCCTACAGTTCTCCTCTGGTAAGGGGTGGTTTGGAACTGAATTATTTGTACATGAATTTAAAGGAAAAAAAAAGATTTGCAATGAACATCAAATAGCTGGGGTTTGGAAATGATAGCGAGTCCTCCTGACCTTCTCAGCCATGGCATCCATGAAATCTTGCCTCTGGTACTCTCGCCGACGAAGATGCCGGTACACATGGAACTCCCCACTCCCAGCTCCAGCGCTGGAACCTACAATAAAGAAGTGTTAGTCTACCAGGAAATAATGCACAGTAGATGCTCACAAATGACTATAGCTAGATGCTGAGGAAGGAGATGCACTGTAAGATGAGGATTTACAAACACAGAGTGCATCACAATTTCATACAGAAGCTCAACTCATGCACAATCAAAAGCCAAAGTGAGCTGCAAAACCTCACACTTGTGTATCACTGCAGCTTCTACTGATCAGTTACTCCCCTAGAGAGAATTTGGGCTTAGCTGGGCATTGAAGCAGTAAAAGAGCTAGAGATCAAATGCACACCCCCTTCTCTTAGAGGCAGAGGTGAGCTAAAATATCCAACTGAAGTTGCTTCTGACTAATTTTCAGCATCTCATACAAAAAATAAAGGTCAGCAGAAAGGTGTTAAACCCCATCGTATTAAACTTTCCCATGCAAGGCAGATACCACCAACAGTTTTTGACTGTTTCTTCCTAGGTGAAATCCCTAAAGCTCTCTCTTTCTGGCAACAGTCTGCACATTGAAGTCTCACAGGAGCTTTCAACGTTGCACTCCATCCTCTTCCCCTGTCTCCCGAGCCATTTCTCCATGCAAAGCACACAAATACATGCTTCAAAGAAGACACACAGTGATTAAAACATGGCAGCTGGGATCAACAGGGATGATACCAAGAGATACCAAGAGAATGATACCAAGAGAATCCCAGCACATCAGGTCCTCCCAGAAAAACAAGACAGCTCAACTCAAGCCCACAGCAAAGCTATTTGAAAAAGCCATGAGGGAATTACAATAAGCAAAAGAGTGTAAAGGCTTTAGTCCAAGATCAATTATTCTGCAATAAGAACAAGTCAGGTTCTAGAAAGGATCATTAATAAGGATGAAGGTCCCAAAGAAAGCCAGAATTCTACATGCTGACATAATTTATACCACAACTACTACATTTAATCCCTGCAGCTAAAAGTGTAAGCAGAACACTCTTGTTGGGTTCCTTGTACAGCTGCCAGCTCCCTACCTGACCATGTACAATCATATCCTCTGCACGTGTCTGCTTCTCACCGCCTGAGACTCAGACTCAAAGCAGTCAAAAGAGGGAACTCATAAGTTTCCAGAGCACTCCCATATCCCTGGAAAGGCCAGATTTACTTATCACCATTTACCTGTCATCACCAGAGCAGCACTTATTTCACTGCATGCACTCCACATGCTGCAGTGCCACAGGCATTGTGCACTTTGCATTCTTACAGCAAGCAGGGAAGTGAAACCCACGAACCAAAGAAAACCTGAAAAAGCAATTCTCGAGGCATATTTCATACCTCTTCTCTTTAGCAAAATGAGCAACAACAGAAAACCATCTCTGGCCTTTTCTGCTAAAACACTTGTCTAAGTTCTATCCAGCTGACCCTAGAGTTATCTGAAGAGTATTGTCTTTACCCATCACATCTCTAACGAACTCCGGGGGAGGTCGTGGTGCCCATTCGTTCAGTTTCTCAGGAATTGGGACAGTCTTTTCCTGCAAGAACAAACCAAGCAGTCATCAGCACCTTCTAGGAGCAAAGTCTGCAATTTTAACCCATTGCTGGAAGGTGGTGCATGTCTGACAACAGCCTCTTCCATCAGATCTCAGAAGGAGCCCAGCTGTAGCAATTCATTCATGCATAGGGATCAGGAGCAGGCAGAAAACAAGAATCGGGAGGTATTCTCTCTGTTGACCCCCATCCAGGCCTGTAGGTCAACAAACCCCAGGAGGATTAGGAGTGTCTGTGCTGCTTTTCAGTATGGAAACTAGAAAGAAGCAAATCAGCACCTCCAAGCAGTGCAGAAACTGATTATGCTCCCACTACCAGTAGTCTGGGAAACAAGGAAAAGCATTTGTGCACCTTCCATGCCAGATCTATGGAGGACAGGGAGAAGCAGGGAAGGGAGAACTCATGGCACAAGGTCAGAGGAAGAACACGGTGTCGGGATGTCTCAGCCTCCTCCAGCCCACACAGAGGGAGGGTGACAGTCTCCACCTGACAAACACCTCCTCCCCAGGACAAGGATCAAAACACCCGCTTAGAGGAACCAGGGTCCTGCTCCCCCCTGTTCAAAGCAGCAGCGGGCAGAGCACCAGGGACCAGTCCTCCCCATGGGAGAAGGGTCTCTCCCCTCACAGCACGCCAGGAAAGGTGGGTCCCCCTCCCCTCACGCCTACCCGGACTGTGTGCTTGTGGGCCTCTGTCCCCTCACAGACCCGGGGAGATAGAGGCAGCACCGGGCCCGCTCCCTCACGGCCCCCGGGGGAGCGACTGTGGGGGGTGTGTTCCCGCTCCCTCACGGACCCGGGGAGGAGGAAGGGGAGGTCGGTCCCTCTACCCTCACGGACCGGGGCAGGAGGCAGCGCGGGGTCCAGCCTTCTCCTCCCCTCACAGAGCCGGGAGGAGGGGGGTCCGGATCCCTGTCCCGCTCCCTCACGGACCCCCGCGGGGGGGGGGGGGTGTCCCGGTCTCCCTCTCCCCTCCCGGCCCCTCCGCGGCGGGCGGGGTGCAGAGTCCCGGCAGTGCCCTCACCGGGTTCCTCATGAGCCGCTCGAGGCGGAGGCGCTGCTCCTCGGCGGCGCTGCGCGGGATGACGAGCGGCTGCGGCTCCTTGCGGGGCCGGGGCGGCCGCGGAGCCGAGGGGTCCGCCATTGCTGCGCCGCGCCGCGCCCCTCCCGTGACGTCACGGCGTGCGACGCGCCCCGGCTGTGCGAGGCTGCGGCGGGCCTGTCATGGCGGCGGAGCCCGGCCGGAGGGGATGGGGCTTGGAGCAGCCTGGTCCAGTGTGAGGTGTCCCTGGGGTTGGAGCTGGATGAGCTCGCAGGTTCCTGCGGCCCAAACCAGGCTGTGGGTCTGTGAGCTGCCGCATTGTGCTCGGCAGAGCCCTCACAGGAGGGTGAGGATTCAACTAACCTCTCCCCGGCAGGCTCAGCCGTGCCAAATCGGTTCCCCGTGATGGTGCAAGCGGTACAGGGATGCTGGGGAGGGATCTTCGTCAGGAACTGTAGTAATAGGACAAGGGGTAGCAGGTTAAAACTTAAACAGGGGAAGTTCAGGTTAGGTCTAAGGCAGTTCTTCCTTGTGAGGGTGCTGAGGCACTGGAATGGGTGCCCAGAGAAGTGGTGAATGCACCATCCCTGGCAGTGTTCAAGGCCAGGTTGGACAGAGCCTTGTGCGGCACGGTTTAGTGTGAGGTGACCTTGCCCATGGCAGGAGTTTGGAACTGGATGAGCTTTAAGGTCCCTTCCAACCTTAACTGTTCCATGATTCTATTATTCCATTCTATGTTTCTCTGATACAGGACTTCTAGTGCCTCCCCGGCAGGCAGGGCAGGCTGCCTGCACCATCTGTGCGTGTCACTTGGTGATTACCCAGCGCTGCCCGTGCTTTGTCTGCTGACAGTGATGAACAGCAGCACCATTCCCCATGGCGCAGCCTCTCCGGGCGCTGGGGGAGGGCAGGCAGGTAACAGCGGGGGGACACTGCACTGTCTGCATTCATATTCACAGCTGGGCTTTGCAGGAGCGGTGCCTGGACCAGCTGAAGGCTTCTGCACCCAGATCCATGCGTGTCTGACCGGGCTGGAGGAAGGCATGAGTGGGGAGAGGAGCTGGCTGCGATACAGGCTTCCTCTGCAAGCCAAATGTCTTCTCGAGCTGCTGTGGCCCTGCAGAAATGGCATGGCATGTGCTGGGGCTGTGTGTGCGTCAGAGAATTAGCTAGTAAAGGTCAGCTGCAATGGAAGAGGGGCATAAGCCTTTGTGTAGTTTATGGAGATAAGCTGGAGCGGTGAAGCTGGGCTCCGGGTTTCAGACAGCTCCGTGCTGTGCATGCGGAGAGGGTGACAGAAAGGGGAGCAGAGAGGTTGGGAATGGCTCCTTCAGAGATTTATGGGTTGTTTGTATGACCTGAATTTATTAAGCCCCTGTGCTCTTCCGTTTTCCCTGAAGAAAATCAGAGCTGATCCTCAGGTTCAGCCTTATGTTTACAAAAGACTTTTCAACCTCTGCTGAGGTTGCTATGGAAATCACACCAGTTTATGCCTCGTGTTTGTCTTACCAGCCTGATTTGTAAAAGAATGGTGTGAATTTAGCGTTGGCTGAGTTCCCAGCTGGCCGGGCTGGCCCTGGAAGGCATCCTTGCAGTCAAAGCCCTGGCTGAAGCAATGCAAGCAGCTTCCCTTATGCTGTCTGCCAGCTCACGAGCTCCTGTGCCCACAGCTCTCCCAGCCTTGGGTCCTCTTCAGCTCACCAGGACACAAACCAGACAGTGCCAGCCTGTACTCAGCTCCTACCAGGGAGACACCAGCTCCATTTGCAGAGGCTGGGGCAGGTATATGTCCCTGTTCCATCTCAGTCACTGCAGAACGGGTTTTAGAAGCAGAGTTGCTGCAAATCGATTTGAGTTTCCTCTCCCCTCTGCCCTGCTGAGTCCTGAGCACAACATGGCCCACTTTAGCTCACTAACCTGTAATAAGTCACCCTGTTTCTTCCTCCGTGCTGTCATGGGCACCCCTCCAAACACAGCTTCCTGAAGCAGAGGTGTGAGTGATGAGCAGCCAGGTCTCAGCCCTCTCGTGCCCATCCCTACAGTGGAAGGCAGAATGGCAGCTGTGTCTGCAAACATTCTAGCAGCCCCAGGGCTGCAGGGAGCAGTTGGGCACCTCGATTCTCCTGCCCAAACCATGGCTTGTGCCAGTGACAGCTCACAGCCCTGGGAAACAACAGGCAGCTGCCTGTCATCCAACAGAGCCCACGCACACGGCGTGGGGAAAGAGAACCGGGAGCGTTTCACTCTCAAAAGACATGTCTAAGGAATTGGTGCAGTCTTGATGTGTTTTGCACTTACTACTTTTAAAATACTTCTCTCTGGGGATAGGGGATAAGTCTATTGCTGGCTTATACAAAAATAGGAGGTGTTTCATCAGACTATTCAAACATACAATGCCCATGCAATCAGAGTGCTGGGCTGGGTTCTGGGCAGGCTGGGCTTACTGGGCATAGAGGATTTTCATTAGAATAGGGAGGTGTTCTCATAGTTCAAACAACAAAATTCAGCTTCTTGATCCATATGAAATCAAATCACCTGTGTTTCGAAGCAAAGGCATTCTGAGATTTCCTACTAAAGGGATCCTTCTGGAAGAAGCACTGTAAGCCTTTGCTGAGAAAGACCCTGTATGTCAGGCAGGCAGGAGCAGCCACGGACAGCCACAATTCCCTCCATGGTGTCTGCAAGCGTGCAGCTCAGCACCAGCATCCCTGCAGAGCATCCTGCTGTGCCGCGGGCAGAGGGCATTGCTGGCACACACCCCAGGCTGCTTTCCCCTTGCTTCACAACTAGATCTCTGCGTTTGATGCAGAGCGCTGGTGCATCCTGCCCCTGCCCTCCCACAACCCTGCAAAAGGAAAGGAAAGCTTGTTTTCCAGCAAGCCTCATGCTCAAACTAGTCACTTTGCTAATACACTGAGGTGTGAAGGGCCCAGGGTGATGCAGGAGGAGCAGCTGTACTGCAGGTACAGCCCTCAGTCCCTGCCTTGCGGGCAGTAAAGGAGGAGGTCCATACAGAAGAGCTGTCACCTCCCAGCTCCCGGTGGATTAAGCCCTCCAGGACTGGGAAACAGGCTCTGGAAACCTTTTAGGGTGGGAATGTTTTTGTAGGGTGGGAATGTTTTTGTGAATGGAGCACGACACAACCGTGGCCTGCTTACAGAGCTGAGCAGCTCCCTCCGCCCCCCCAAAGCCATGTGCTAGCTGCGTCTGGAAGCTGTGTCTGTCATGCTGCTTAGCTGTGACAGTACAGTCTGGGACAGTGTCCCTGTTTCCCCACGGGATCCTCAGCAGAAAGACATACAACAGCAGACTGTGAGGCACTGCCTCCCAGGAGGGATGACGGCGTTGGAGGGGAGATTCACATGCTATAAGGAACTGGGCTGTTAGGAGATGCTAGCACAGGGCTTTGGGAAGGGAGGGCCATCTTCAGGCCCCACGGCTGCTAATTCACCATTATCTGTGCTGCTCCAGGGATGGAGGTGTTTCAACTTGCACCAGCACCAAAGCAGACAAGGAAAATGGGAGGAGAGGAAACCCTGCCCTGCCCTACACTGCCTGGGCCCATCCTTCCCCTCCCTCTGCTCAACAGTGAGGAAAATACCCCTTCTTCCACCTTCAGTGCACTCCATCAGGCAGAAACAGCCTGAGCCCAGGCCCAACTGCCTCGAGGTAGCAATGAGGTACACACATGCGACATGACAGCATCCTCTCCTCTCTCTTCTTCCTGTAGCAAAGCAGCAAAGGCCCAAGCTCATATGCTGTCCTTTTTGCAAGTGATTTTATTTTAAAACTGGAACTCGAGGTCTCCATTTGTTTAACAAGTCCCTTTTGGCTTTTTTAAATAAAATTAATTTATTCTACACAACAGTAAGCTCTTCCAGACTCTTCCCTATTTACAAATGAACAGTTTTGCTTGCAGATCATTGCTTCCCCCTCCTTTTCCTATCCTGTGATGCAGAAAGAGAAAAAAAAACAGCCACCATCTGAAGGGCTGTAAGGCAGTGCTCCCATCCACAACCACCTGGCCCCTTGGGACCTCAGTGAAGAGCAAGAGCTGCATTCAGTGTCCTCCACCTCATTCACCATGTGTGTGAAGGAAGCAGGTCCATGTTAAGCCCATCAACCAAGAGCGTTTGGCCTCTCCATTCTGCCATGGGCTCCTCCAAGCTGGGTTTAGCTGTGCTGAGGAAGGTGAAATATCCCTGCCAGAGGAAACTGCTCCCACTGCCCTCTAAAGGGCCATGCATTTAGGGAGAAGGAGGCATTTGCTGCAGGAATGAGATCTACCAGCCCTCGTCTCACACACCCATGGGCCAGAAAGGCAGCTCTCACATTGCAGGAGGTGGCAGGAAGCCTTGGAGATGCCTTTCTTGCCCTCTTGAAGTGGGAGAGACAAGTGACTGCAATGCTTTGCTAACTCAGGACAGAAGGCACCTAGAAAACCAATACTGACCCAACCCAACACTCCAGGCAAATTCAAGGGGCTTTGAGTGAAGCTGCAGCTTGGCTCGTACCTCTCTTTGCACTGATAGCCTTTACCTGGAGCCTTATCCAGACACTTCCAAGCCACCTCACTCAGGTCCTGCTGGCATTGCCACCCATGCCTGGTGGCCACGTGAAGAGCCAGGAGTCCTGGTGATGGGTAAGACAAGCTGTGTGAGGCAAACCAAGAGGGATGTGCAAGCAAAGCTGCCCTGTTGGAGGGTCTCCCACCCCACATGAGACATCCTGTAAAACCACCCCAATGCCACAGCAGGTTTCTGCTCTACATTCTCTTCCAGGGCTCATCTCTATCAGGGGACCTCCTTTTCCTGCTATAGATGCATTTGGCTGTACTGGTGGAGTAGAAAGCCACCAAGCAGCAGTGATTGCTGCAGTGCCTGGTCCAGGGCTGCTATAACCATCAGCCAGGGAGGGACTTCAGCCATGGGCAAGGGCAGTCCTGGTGGCTGGCTGGCTCTAGCCCCATTCCTTTTGGTTTTCCTGGGCATTTCTATTTCTCCAAGAAGAACCCCAACCTTCAATAACATCTAACTGCACATGTGTAATGTTTTCGCTCCCAGCCTGCAGGACAAGGCTGCCCCTCACCTCTGTCTGACCACCCCAAGCCATCCCAAACGACTAACAGCTGATGC